ACATTTCAGTAATGAACAAAATGTCCTTCCTGTCCTTTAAAAAACTCTCAGTTGCAATACAGTTCAACAGCAACTGCAAATAAATAAAAAAAACATCATAAAATTAATAAAAGTTCAATCTTTTGCAAAGCTGTTGTATTATACTGCAATATTGCAAGTTGGGTGATAAACTAGAAAACGAGTGTATAAAAAAAAAACATTTCTATATGACAACATGACAATTAACCATTAATAGTTTAGGTGCTGTTTCCTTTCCAAATGCTCTGCCCTCTGCTTGCTGGGCAGGAGTGGAAAAAAAGGGTGCCAAAATGTTCCGCCTTGTTGTCACGACCTTAAAGGTAATTTATGAACGGAGACACGTCAACTACTCAAAGCTTCATCAGTGCTGAATTCATCAATAGTAGCCCAAAGGAGAAAGTCAAAAACAACTTCAAACATTAGCTGAAATGCACATAATTTCTGACTGTAATGCTGTAACATTGTACTGACCTTTCACCCCCAGGTTGATAAAGATCTCCTGGTTGCCCTTTCGCGTGCTCGTGTAACATTTGTACCTGCCCTTGTCTTGAACTTTGACCCTCCTGAGGAGCAGGGAGGCATTGCCGTGAGGGATGTGCGAGTTGAACAAGCAAGTCCTTCCGCTGAAGTGCTTGTTCTGGAGTCCAAACTGATCCTTGTTGTAGTAGTAGCTGTGAACGGGGATTTGCTGCTTGTACCAGTGGATCACCACAGTGCCGGTGGGTCTGAAGCTGCAGGGCAGGATGCAGTCGTCATGGATGATACAGGTGACGTTGGCATCTGGTAATATGACTTTGAGATGGTGAGACTACTGTCAAGATTCAAAGTCACTGCATAGTTTGTAGAGTTGTCATTATTGTTGTGATTAAAATTCAAATATTGTAACATCTGACCACACTTATGTTTATGTTCCACAATTTGTCTTTAAAGTTTAATCTTTACAGTTTGACAATAACAAGAAAGATTACCACCATTTCTTTTGATTTCCTTTATAATTACATACTCTTGCAGGCATTTTTTTCCCTAACTTTTCCCAGCCACCTCAGTGGTGTTTTCTTTGGGATGGCGGTTTTTAAGAGCCTGTAGACAACAGAATAAGCTGTAAAAGTCCAACTGTAAAACTATTTGTTGTAAAAGCTTGATTGAGTTTCAGTAGTACAAACCACATCTATTGACTTTTGCTCCTTTCTATTGATGCAGCCATATCAGATATTTGACAACAGCATGAAACTACACTGGAGAGGAATTCAAAATTCTCACAAAAGAGCTCAGCTGATTTCATTGACTAATAAACATCTGAGTGTGTTTGTTTTACTGCAATTGTTTTTTTTACACCTCACCCCTGCTCAATGTTTTCCCCAGATGTGTGCAGCTGTCACGGCTGGGTAACACTTGCAGGGCGCTGAGGACACAGTGCAGCTGTGTTGGCTCCTCATGTGGAAATATGAAGGCAAACTAATGTTGTTTGTGACACCTTTTAAAGCCCTGTGTCATTCTTCAGCTTCGTACTGCTGCTCAGAGACAACACAGGTGACATTACAAGAGTTACTGAGCTGTAAAATCATGTGTTGAAATATTGTGAATGACATAGCAGAGATAAAGAGCAGTTTCTTCTTTTGCAAAATGCTCAGTGGATGAGGTCACCTTTTAAAGTGGAGCAGTCACATTTCTAATTTACTGTATGACTACTGCAGTGCTTTCCACGTTGCCTCATCCTTGCAAGCATAAGCTATCATCAGTATATTTGTGGTACCATGGTTATCTACAGTGAACTGTCCACTAACATACTCTCAAGATACTTTATACACCGTACAATGTCCTTCAGATTTTGCAAAGTTAAAATCAGCTCCCCAATGATAATCATAATAAAATAAATCACAATTAAGGCTATTCAATTTGAATTTTCTTACTTTAAGTGGGCAATACACAGCACCCATCTAACATGAATCTCATCTATTAAATTCCCTTTTGTCAGAACAAATTGCTCATCTGTGAATTATAGAAGAGGTTGTATGTTACTATACCGTTTGAGTCTGTCAATAACAATCTCTCCAGGAGGATTAGAAGCACAATCATGAGTCCATGTGTAACAGCCATGTCAGACGGCCTGTGCTGAGGTGTCGGTCCTGTAACGCTATTTGGCGTGCATGTGTGTGAAAGCAAACTGGTGTGCAGTGAACTGTGTCTGTGCGATTCCACTTTACATCCTTCCCAACACTAATGAAACACTGACTAATTAACCAGGCAGGTAAAAGTTTAACCATGCTTCTTGTGAATGCTCCACCACACAGCACCAGCACTGAAATGGCTCACGAGAACACATGCGACACCTAATGTTGATTTCTATTCACAAAGTGAGTGCATGTCATCCTCACTGTCTAAGAAAATGATTTTATCTTGAAAGGAGGAGCTCCTACACATCACATGTCCTCATAATGACAGAAAGTAATTTGCTCTGATGGGGGAAAAAGCGGAGCAGAGAAAACATGTAACTGCCTGGAATAAGTGAAACTTCTTACTAGAAGTATTTCCAGTTTAATTATATTACATTTTTTACAAAATCCCCTTTGGAATACAACCTGGTGAAAAATTATATGTTTAATAACATTAAACTTTGTCACAAACAGGAATGAATCACTGTCTTGTTTCACATACAGATGTTTCCTTTTTGTTAAACACCAGCTGGAAGAGACTTCAGCCCCACGTGACCCTACACAGGCATTACAGTATAGAAAATGATTACATGTGATGGCATTAGTGATTTACAGTGAACATAAAATTTGAGTAATGCTTGAAAAATCATAAATTGTCATTTAGAAGTTACAAAAAAGTTTGGAATATATCTATGATAAAGCTGTTATTATGTTGATATGCATAAAAACAAGGTGTGTCTGTCAATAGAATATGCACTGTACAGTTGTTGATATATGTTTAAAGATGGTGACCTCTAGAGGGCACAGATGAGATGTCACCTCCACATGTGAAAGGCTGCCTGCTGTCCGGCAGCTGTGGGGTCACATGTACAAGTGAACCAAGGTCCACGTGCATGACTCTTTAAGATGGCATTGCTCATGTCTGCCCTCAATCAACTTAAATCCCAGATTAAAAGGACCGTGCCACTAGGGTGGAGTCATGCTGTCCATGTTTTGATTTGATTATTGATTCTGTACATGTGTCTCTGTCTGTGTTACAGGTTTTCATTCTATTCATGACCATTAACTGTCCTTTTTTCTACAGACTTATTGTATCTCCTCATCATTTCTTCATTTCTAAGATGAAAAAGACTTGAATTATTAAGAAGCCATTGGCACTGTAGTTAACTTTTCTTGATACAGGATGATTTACTGTATGTGTAATGTGCAGTATGTCATATGGACACATAGACTTTTAGCTCCATTAACATCTGTCATGTTGAACTACGTATTTAGAACAACACTACATTTTGAGTAAAAACTGTATGAAGTTTTTGAGAGCGGCATGAAAGATCAATTATAAGTTTCTCTGGTATAATTATAATGAGAATGTAAAAATCTAAATCATAGTCTTGGCAGAGACAGAGAAATCGAGTTCCAACTTATGTCAGTGTTTGCCTTGAATTGAATCCTTTGAGAAGCACTAGTCAACACAACACGAATAAAAACATCCAGGCATCAACACTTTGGCGTTATGAGCATGATGGCACTTTGAACTTTTACAGAAGTGGCTTGTGATGGGAGCAACGCTGGTTTTGAATTCCCAAATCTGGGGAAGTCTGGGTGAGGAGAGTGGACAACTGCTGTCAATGTATCCCAGCAGCTTGTGGAGCTGCACATTGGATAACCAGATTTTAGATTGACTGGATGTGACCACGAGGTAGTGAAGTGACATAAGCAGTGAGGCGCTGAAGAACAGTATAAACATAAACGGGCAAGGATGTCAGATACAAGCGATGGAGAAAATAATAGGGGAACGATTAAAGTTATCATCGCCGCAACAGCTTATGAAACGTCATAATGTTTCAGAATTAATTCAACTGTATATTTGGTACTTTGCAGTTGAACTGGATTGCATTTTAGTATAAATCTTTTAGTTTGTCTATAAGGCAGATGATCCTGTGGTCCCTATGCAAGATCTAAACCACATGCTGAAAAACAAAAAAGGAAAAAAACAAAGGAGGGTGCAGTTGTATGACTCCATGTTGTAGAGCGTGGGACCGTAGACACAGTTGCACAAACACTGACACTGGCCTTATTCTTATTCCTTCTTTCTATTATTTGATGAGGGTAAAAGTTCAAAGCGGCAGTTTAGGAGTCATATCCTCTTACATCTGCTCAGGAGTCATAAGTGCAGTGTTTGCAGATGTGGCTCAGACATATGTTTGCATTTGTTTCCTCTCAATGGGATCATTTGCATCCTCCCACCACCACAGTGTGCGACTCGAGGGAAAATCCTGCAATGTGTAAAAGTAGGCTACAGGCTTTTTATTTTTATCTGGTCAGAATGATGATGAAACTGCTGGTTGTATTATCCCCCACCCCACCCCGCCCGCTGCTGCCTCCAGTTTGTAGGTTACTGAAAGATTTCACCAACCACAGATAAGAAGATTAGAGAGGAATTAATGGTATTCCTTTGTCATTATAGGAATAAATTGATATTTGGTTTTAAATCAGAGGGTGGGGACAGTGGGGAGTCGGAGGAACATGTTGTGTCAGGAGATGTAAGCAGAGGGATGGCACAGTGACAAGCAAACTCAGCCAGGGGGATGCCTGTGCACTGGAGCTAAGCATTGGATATCTCGACTGATGTTCACCATGTTACAGGAGATGAGAGAGCAGGATAACGCACAAGTAGCTGGGTGTGTGCGTGGCGGGGCAGAATGAGTGCCGCCGGGGCATGGACGTACCAGTAGAGGACAGGGACAGCTGTGGCATTCCCTGGGTAAGACACTGACGCAGTGGGAGGAACGCTTGGGTTCCTCTTGTCTTTCCAGCCCCAGCTTAACCATGAGAGTGGCCCCCCTGGCCCTCAGACTGATGTGCTTGGCCTGGTTGTGGCCTCTCACCCAGCTCAACAGCAGCCACTTCCCGAACAAGAGGAGACACAAGGATATGTATGTCGGAGAGAACACCAAACAAAAGCAAGGCGGGTGAGCCAAAGTGGGATTTCTTATATGACTTGTTGCTTTTGTTGCGATTGTGGATCTGCTTCTGTTGTTAAAAGACACCTTTTGATACCTGGCATCTGTGTTGTGTGGCTTTGTCGGAGGATTTTTGAACCGTGTGCTGCTTTACAATGTCACCACAAATATGGTTGCGTAATTAATCATGAGGCTTTCCATTAATGTCACAGTGGATCAAGGTAAGAGCAGGTCATAGGATCATGTGAGGTGAGAGGTAATGTAGCTATTACTCAGTGATTTGGTGGTGACTGTTGCTGAATGAAAAAAAGGTTACATCATCAAGAAATTGTGGTTCACATCAGTCACTTTCACATGAGATTTCTAAGAAGACATTAAGGACAATAAAAACAGAAAAAAAAAAATTCAGATGCAATTTATGGGACAAATACAAAACATGCCTCACAATATCTGCAACTGCAGCTGTATTAGATCAGTGTCAATACACTGAAAGTAAAAGAACTCTCATTACCAAGGCTTTAGGATTTCATCTGTGCTAAAAGTCCAATTAACATCACTAACTCCATCGACCAGATGTCGGCTCAAGTACGTGTCTGTGCTAGAAAGAGACAGGGTTTTTACACAAGCTGATGTTTGTTCTCTTTGGTTGTCAGACGGGTGGATCTTAAGATGAAAAAGCTGGACAGCACCAAGTCCCTGCTAATTAAATCTGAGCAGCTGCTTCGGATTGAAGACCATGACTTTGCCATGCGGCCTGGCTTTGGAGGTAAAACACACACCTCATATATCTGAAAAATCTATTTAATATTACTCATTCATCTTTGTCTTCATGTTTAATTTTATCTTGTTATTTTTAATAACTGTGTGCCTCTGTGGCAACTCAGTAACGATAATGTAGGTTACTGTGCTGTCTTTGGTATTACGCCTACCAAAAAAAAAAAAAAACCCTTAGTGACCTAGATTGTCTGCGGTGTGAGACAATGACAGCAGACAGTAGTACAGATAAAATAATCTGAACTGCGAACCTAATTCTGTGAGGGGGGAAAAAAAAGCCCAATGTTAGAGGATATTCAATGAACTGCTGTAAAACCTAAGCTTTGTAATAATCTAGAAACTCTTTTTAAATTTGAATTTCAATAAGTTATACTTATCTGTTATAACATATCTGTATGAAATATGTTTATTTTTTTTAATTTGACCAGTTTTTCAGAAACACAGCAAATACATATTTATTCTTATACAAAAACCATCACATAAAACTCCTGTAGTTACAACGTGAGAGTGTTGCCCTGTGACCGGTTGCCATGACTGACTTCCTGTATGGCTGTGTCACTGTGTCAACTCTCGGGTCTTTGTTTTCTTTGCAAACAATAAACAAAGTGCTGGTGGTTGGAGTGTTTTGTAAAAATCTTTATTTCTTGTGAGCTGGTATGTGTATGGTTTTCTTTTTGCACATTTATAAAGCACTACAAGCACTTCTCATTCTAGGTTCAGATGCACATCAATAAACAAATGCACTGCAAAGTATAATAGTCAATGGGGCTGAAGAGCTGACTCCAAATATGTTTGACATTTACTTCCAAACGATTAGATTTGTGAGTCAGTGAACTGACTCTGTTTGAGGGGATTCTACTGATCAGCTGTTACTGAGTCTGGCTCAGCTTAAAGAAAATGGTCGGATTGTATCCTTGCTCCTTGTTCATCTGTTTCCTCAACACTGTATGCACAGTCTTGTATCTTTTGCATTTTGATCAAAGTTTTATGTCAGATTATTTTTCACAGCACCTGGTCTTTGTCGCTACTGGTGAGTTTCAGGCCCGTCGTAGAGCTGAAAGAGATTCAGTAACGAAGCACTGAACAGGACTTTGATTCCAGGACCCTAGCTGCCTGATATAATCCCTCCCACCTCACTACTCTATTGTTATCATAGACTGATGGTTCTGAGTGCTTACCTTCATTAGATAATGGCACAGAGAGAACAGGATGTTTATAGTACACATCATACGTTTACAGTGTTCTGCCACTGGACGATGACATAAGGACCATTGCACTGACACAGCACTGGATATTTATGTTTTAGTAAAAATATGGTAGTATTTAACTTACTTTCATCCCAGCAAACTGCTACGCTGGCACACAGTGTGACTCTGACTCTTCAGTTTCTTTGTCATATCTGAAACAGGCAACAAAGCCACATGTAGCAAGAGAGACCCTGTCTTGTTTCCTGACTCTGACCCCTTCTGTACAGAGTCTCTTCCAGTATTTGTGTGGGTTTACTCCAGGTCATGTGAACTAATATGCCCACTGACATGTTTGTTTTGGTGCCTGCTAGGAGAGCTTCATACTCTTATGATATAGCCAGTTAAAGAACCTAAACAAATAATGGAATGAGTGTTTTATTCGTCTACATAGGACGTCAAAGACGTAACACAAGGGATATTATATCCATGCAGGTTGTTGTAGTGAGCCAGTTATTCCCATAGGCCAGATTTCACAAATACGATAAAATCAGCTTTGGATCTCTTGCCTGTCTGCAAAAGTCTTATTTTGAAAGGATTTGTTTGTATTTTGTCAAAGCTGTACCCTGATGTTAGCAGTCACACAAATGCTGGTAATATTATATAAATGAAATGTATATGGTTTCATAAGGTGATTTAGATGCAGATTTTGACAGCAGTGCAATTAGTTATCTTCTCATAGCATTCAGTTTATGTATTTTCTCTGAAATAGTGTTTCGTAATACTGTTTTGATACTTATAGCTCAACCAGAAAATGAAAAGCTGATTACAGGTTTAAAATGGCAAACATTTCTGAACACTTAAACCATTTTATAGTATCTTCTCTGTGCTTCCTGAGTGAGCAGCAGACCTGAAGAGATGAGCATGAGGATCACTGCTTTAAGGTGTTGTGTGTTAACCATTATGTGTCAGTTGTGTGTAACGCTCTTGATTGAGGCGATGCTGTAGCTGTACAGTATTTATTTATTTAGAGATGACATGGACACAGCTCATAGATTTACATGCATACATTTTTATGAGCCAGCATGAGTCAGGGTCGTCACTCATTCAACCTTATTGTCTCCCTCATCTGTAAGATGTGGTTTATGTCTTATAGCGCAGCAGTGGGATTTACGCATACATAATCTCTGGCAGATGTGCAGACGGATGGTTCATGGAGGATGTGATCCAACTGTTGCTTAAAACTGATCCATCACAACGTTTGACCTTTTGCAGGTTCAGCTATTCCGGTTGGGATTGACGTCCAGGTGGAGAGCATTGACAGCATATCTGAAGTAAACATGGTATGTGTCTTTAGTTTTTCTGCAGTCAGCAAATATACAGTGTCTCCTTTTCTCTGTTGGGCTTGAGCGACAGTGTTTTTTTTTTTTCCAGGACTTCACCATGACTTTGTACCTGAGGCATTACTGGCAGGATGATCGCCTGGCCTTCCCCTCCAGCAACAACAAGAGTCGTACCTTTGATGCACGACTTGTGAAGAAAATTTGGGTTCCTGATGTGTTCTTTGTCCACTCTAAACGCTCTTTTATCCATGATACAACCATGGAGAACATCATGCTGAGGGTTTATCCTGACGGCAACATCCTCTACAGTGTCAGGTAAGTTACTGATAAAGCGATTACTATCAAACTAGGAATGATTGAAGTGAGACCATATAGCTTCGGATGAATAGCTGCCAGTGTTTCCACAATTACAAAGTGTGTCTCCATCCAATTAATTCAGCTGTGTATCATTCTACCGTCAAAGGTTACATAGTTTTGTTTTAACCTTACATGTGTTTATAAATCTAATTCAATGAGTTATAATTTGTATATTATTGGAAATTAAAACCCTTTGAAAAGGACATCAGTTAAGATATAAAACAATCCACTGGACGCTCACAGCAGGGTTAAGTGAGCAGAGCCTGAATGAAATATAAGGCTTATGTGAGCTCATATGAGAATATGAGATATAAGCTTTCAGACTACATCCATCATATCCATTTCAGCCACAGATGTCGACAATATGACGTCATTCCTAGCAGCTTGCTGTGGCCACAGACAGTGTCACGTACAGGAGCAATTACTGAATGATTTGATCAGTTCACCATCAACATCTCAACTGTTACACATCAGTCCAGTTTTGTTTTATACCCCATTTGACATCATACTAGTTGATGACTGAGGTTAACCTACACAGCTACACTCTGAAAGTCACCAATCAATGCAAGTATAACATTTTCTGTGAACACAGTTGCTGATGCTTGATTCATGTGGGTGTTCCTTTAACTGTGAGCTGTGTTTCAGGATCACTGTGACTGCACTTTGCTCAATGGACTTCAGTAGTTTCCCTCTGGACACACAGAATTGCTCTCTGGAGCTGGAGAGCTGTGAGTATCAAACTACAAATGGGACATTGCTGCTTGCGAATGCCTGATAGGACACCCAGTGTAGAGAAATACTGTTAGTTGCTGCATCAAAAGTTTACAAAAATCTACTTTAAATCATTTGCTTGCTTGCTTGATGTTTTCCTGGTAAACATGTTACACAACCTTTAATACACTGCTTTGTAATTTAAAGGCGTTGGCTAAAGATAGCTTTTAGCCTATAAAATATTTAATCAGTATCAGTGTTGCTGGTTATATTTGAGCAATATACTGATACATTACACTGCATATTGCAGCTAACTTCATAAACATACAGTAACCATCACTACTATTTGCATAGCATAAATAAGTCATAATCCTCAATCGGGTCAATGTCAGCCCATTATACATGTCTGTTTTTCTGATGTAGGATTTACCAGGGATTATTGTTTCATTCTGCTCTGGTCTGAACTTGAAATTGGTCATAACTAAGTGATAGTCAGGATTACTTTCAGTGTAGAGTTTTGGGGTTCTTCTGTCTTTCTGGTGTGCTTCTTTCTCTTCATCTCTCTTTCTCTATCTCACATTATTGAACAGTTAAAGCATGGATCCTGATTTCAGAGGAGAGTTGGGGTCCCATTTCTGTGCACTCTCTCCTCTCCTCTGAGAAACATATCCATGATTCTTCCAAGAGAGGCAACATGTGAAGGTGTCCTACCCCCTTCCCCCTCCTTCTCTCCTCTCTTGAAGATGCTTACAATGAGAACGACCTCATGCTCTACTGGAAGAACGGGAACGATTCATTAAGGACTGACGAGATCGTGCTCTCTCAGTTTTTTATTGAAGACTTCCAGCCTTCCTTTGGGCTTGCCTTCTACAGCAGTACTGGTATGTCCGGTTGGAGCTGTGGGGCCCTCTGAGTTGTTCCCACTTTGGGGACAACCAGAGAGCCCCTGTTTTTATCAAATCAGTTATGGCACAAAACACAACTGTTTTTCTTTAAAGGAAAAATTTTAGATGTTTATGCCTCTATAGAGAACCATATATTCTTCTCCTTCACATCTGCTAGTAACTAGAGCTAACAGTGAGACCAGAATGATTATGAATAGACTACTCTATACCAGAGTTTCAGTAACATTGTTGGTCTAAACATCATCAACTTTTACTGAAAAGAAATAGTTTTACACTTTGGGAAATGTGCTTATTTACTTTCTTGCTGAGATTTAACTCTCTGACCAATATGAAGCTATAGCCAAAAGCCAATTAGCTTAGCTTAGCACAAAGAATAGAAGCCAGAGGAAACAGCTAGCCTGGCTCTGTCTGAACGTGACAAAGTCTGACACCTCTAAAACTTCTTAATTAACATGTTATTTTCACATGTTTTCCCCTTGTTCCCACTATTCGTGCAAAGCTTAGTGTGTAGCATCAATGCTATGCTTGGTTAAACAAAAAAAATCCCCCTTTTACATTACCATTTTTCATTATTACACTTTGGTTTTTCTCGTGGATTAAACAAATGATGAATAACACAATCATTAGTGAGCTTCAGAAGTTCTGGTAGGGGGATTTTGTTACCTTCTGACAGAGCTAGGCTAGCTGTTTCCCCTTGTTTCCAGTCTTTATGCTATGCCAAGCTATGCTATGCTATGCTATGCTATGCTATGCTATGCTATGCGGCCTGTTTCATATTAAAAGAACTGACATAACAGTGGTAACAATCTTCTCATGTAACTCTTGGCAAGAAAGTAAATAAGCACAGTTACCAAACTGTTAAAACTATTCCTCTTAATACTTAAATACTTTCGCAGAATACTGAAGCACTGATTCACTAAGATGTGATGACAGATGGTGAGGAGAACAAGATGTGTGTGTGTGTGTGTGTGTGTCTGTGTAAAAAAATAATTAACAGTCAAACAAGGACAGATTGCATGTCTGTGTCTACTATGTTATACAAATGCCTACTTAATTATATTTCAGTGTATTCTTTAAATCCCATTCTTTGTGAATACTGTAAAATATTGAAATATCATCTCTATGGGAGACAGTAAAATAGATGCCATTACTAAATACAATTCAAAGACTTTTAGCTTTTTGAGATCCATTTTAAAAATCATCATGTGCCTTTTGATATACAGTACTAAACTATAATGTAATACTGCTTCTGATTTAAGCACATCAGAGTTGTATGACTGACTGCTAAGCCCACTTCTTCTACGGTCACAATTTCAGTGTGAGTAAGACAGATAAAATGGGCCTGGGAGATTTTCTTCTTCTCAGTGTAAAATAATCTTGTGAGGACCTATCTTCTCTAAGAGGCTGTTATATAACATCAGCTCTAGACAGATCTGCTCCAGAAAATAATTACTTTCAAGTCTGAGTTCTAGGTTCTTCTTGTAGGCCCATCTTGTAGTTTCATAGACTTGCATCTGTCACAGTCTTGTGCAGGTGTTTCTTTTTTCTTTGCAACATTTCTCAGAGTGATTGCCTTTTTTTTCTCTTGCCATTCACTTTTATTATGCCCTACTCCCTACGTCCACTTTCTGTCTATTTATTTCTTTTTCAGGTTGGTACAATCGGCTCTACATAAACTTCATTCTCAGGAGGCATATCTTCTTCTTCATGCTACAGACGTACTTTCCCACCATGCTGATGGTGATGCTTTCCTGGGTGTCTTTCTGGATAGACAGGAGGGCCGTACCTGCTCGTGTTTCTCTGGGTACTGAGACTGTGTGCCAACACGGCCATTAACATGCTGAACAAACAGCATCTTACAAAAAGCAAATATTTCATATTATACACAATTTAAAGTGACAGATTATTTTCAACTGGCATAAAAATGTCACCACACCGAGATGTTCAGTTTTATTTAATGGAATATTTCTACATTTAGAGTAACACACTTTTCTTGCTGAAAGTTAGATGAGAAGATTGATACCACTCTCATGTCTGTACGCTAAATATGAAGAAGAAGCCAGCAGCTGCTTAGCTTAGCTTAGCACAAAGACTGAAAACAGGGGTAAACAGCTAGGCCTCTGCCCAAACTAATTGGACTTATTGTTTACAGGTACACTTATGTCTCTGATCTGCTGACAATCACAATAGTATATAGCATAATCCATCCAAACAATGGATGATATTTGTGAGGGAACATTTTTAATACTGATGATGTTGTGCTTTCAGGCATCACCACGGTTCTGACAATGTCCACCATCATCACTGGTGTCTCAGCCTCTATGCCACAGGTGTCTTACGTCAAAGCTGTAGACATATACTTGTGGGCAAGCTTCTTGTTTGTCTTCCTGTCTGTCATTGAGTACGCTGCGGTCAACTATTTCACCACAGTGGAGGAGATGAAGAAGGTCAAAGGGGCAAAGGTCATTCATATTCAGTTTTTTTTCTGGCGTCTAATGTCTTCTCAAATCCCATGTGACTTGTTTGACCCATAGTAAATAATTTCCTTCCATCTGGAGCTCAAAGCCTTACTCTCCTCTCCTCCCTCTGTCGCTGCAGATGCCCACCTTCAACGCCACCCAGGCTATGGTCTTTGATGGCTGTTTCCATGACAATGAAATTGACCTGACTTCTTTCCCAGAGGTCTCCAGCACCCCGAATACAGAGAGGAACACCCAGTCACGAAACTCTACTGTCTCTGCACCGACAGAAGGCACCAGGCTACGCCGCAAGAACCCTTTAAAACAAAACCTGAGCTTCATAATGAGCAACAGTTACATGATCGACTCTTACTCCAGAGTCATATTTCCCCTGGCTTACCTGCTCTTTAACATCATTTACTGGAGTATGTATGCATAGTACATTAACTATGCAGCAGAATAAACACTATTCTTTTCTTACTATTTTCACAACTAAACAGTGTAACACACAGGCTGCAACAAACTAACTTACAATACTCTGTTCGGGAAGGTAGCTCTATGTCTGCTGTTGAGCATAGATATCTTGGATGATGTCTTCTTTTTTTTTTGAAGAAGTGCTCAGTTGTAACTTGGAAAAAAAAATCCAAAATCAGCTATTGCATTGAATGGATTGTTATTTTTGCAGATGTTTATGTGTGTTTTTTTGGCATGCCTGTTTTATAAGAGAAAAAGTTTTAATCCAACAAATATATTTACATTTTTAGAATTTTATTTTCTTGTGTGATTTAACACAAAACATTTAATTGTATAATCAGTGTGTACAATGAAAAATAAATGTATGCTCTTAAAGGTGTGTGTCAAGCTAACCATTTTCTGATAAAGCTTTACTTTTTATTTAACACACAATAACAACATCAGTGCAATGTAAATGTAACAGATTTCACTGCAAGGCTAATTGTCATCTGCATGCCATTCCAGTAGGTTGATGTTACACATAAAAAAAACAAACAAACAAAAAGAATCCAGACAAGGAAGTCCTAAACCTGCAGTTATTGATCCTTTTGGCCACTTGGGGGCGGCAGAAGATATTCTAAAAACAACACATGTACAGCTTTATCACTATTTACTGAAAGTTGATATGGCAATCTTAGTGTACACACACATCTGACAGATGCAGAGAGACATTAGTATTTATTTGGAGTTGTATTCATGGCTATCTGGCAAATGCCCAATATTTACTCCTTTGGTTGTGTGTTTAGTTGCTATCAACTCCCGAGGGAGATGTTTGGCTCTGTAGCTCCTAAAAGCTATATTAGCTACTTGCTAAGTATGTCTGCTGTTCGGTGCAGAGCAGGTAGCAAAGCAAACGGTCGTTTGTTTGAGCTTTTACACTAAAAAACTTCCGCTGCAGCTGAGAGCGGGCCAAAACAGTAAAGTTACAGGTGGAAAACCAAAACAATGAGCTAAAAGATGCTAAAAATTAACATCTCTTTTCACATACAAATAGTCATGTGTTTCAATGTTACTATAAATATAATGCTGCTTTAAGGACTTTATGTCAATGTTAGTTCAAAGTTGAGAACTTTTAAGTGGATTACAGACCTTGGAAACAGTAGTTGAGAAAAGATTTTTACATCTAAAGAGTCATGACAATCATGTTATATGTATACATTAGGGGTGTGTGACAATAATATTTTAATATTTTTGGTATTGCTTATTCTATAATTGCCTCAGTTGGAGTGCAGCGACTATATTTTAAATTCCCTTCAAATTTCTTGCATGGTATTAAAGATTTATAAATAGTGGACAATATCCTAAAAAGTATATTATTATATTTATAAATCTTGTCCTTGTCCTCACAATTACCCGCAATACTATAGTACAAAAACAGACCACAATTTAGACTCATTTATGTAAAATAGTCATTAGTAGATGAGGATTGGAAAGTAGGAGAAAATAAAGGGGATTACATGCCTTTAAGTCAGTTATATTCAGTTATGTAACATTTTTCTGTGGTACATGAAGCCAGCAGAATGTCAGATTCATCAGAAGTGATTGACTGATAATGCGATGAATGCTGGCCGTGGAAAAGTGACCAGAGCCCTGTCCACATGGCTCAGTGGGGAGTCATTGTCTCTAATCAATACAGAAGATTTCAAGGTGCATTTTGAAGGAATAGTTTTATATTTGGAAAAATAGCATATTTGCTTTATTTGTCAAGAGTTAGATGAGAAAATTGATGACACATTTATGTCTGTATGCAACATATTTAGCTATAGCCTCGCAATGTTTAGCTTAGCTTAGCTTAGTGTTCAGACTGGAAGCATGGGAAATAGCTAGCCAGTCCAGTGTTAACTAATCAGTGTCAAATCTTGTTTGTTTAAGCCATACAAAAATAGAGTTAACACGCTAAGTGCTGGTTTTACCAGGACTTACATGTTAGAACTGTGCAGTCTTTCCGAAACTGCACAAAGACAGACAACTACAGACAACTCAAATCATATTTGCACCCCTAACAATGTCTGCAGACACCTGGATAATTTTTACATCTTAACAACTAATAATGTATAGGATGTAACTGGACAAACTGATCTGTTCTAACTTCTAGGGGAAGCTGTTGTAACAGATGGACAAAGATGGACAAAGATCAGCAGCAGGCTTTAAACAGATAAAGACATGTCAGCCTTTCACATCTCATTTCAAACAGAACAGAGAATGCACTTCAAAGTCGCTTGATCTTCAAAGACACTATTTGGATCTGCTCTGCCATCACTGTCGTGACCCAACCCTCTGCCGGAATGAATAGTAGGAAAGAGAGTCTGGCTTTGTAGGTATTTTTATCCTCGGGACTCCCTCTGGTGTACAGATAGAGAACTACACCTCTCAGTATTCTGTTTCCAACTTTATCTTATTTACAGGAAACTCAAATCATCAAATGCATTTGGTACCATTATACAATAAGGTATACTCATAAAGTCTATGAATTGTCTCAAATTCCTGCATGGATAAAAAAACAGTTACCAAGTTGTAATGGATTATTGGATGTAATGGATCCCTTTCACCATAGTTTGTTCTGTCTTTCAATCCAGCTCTTTACTGTTTGTGTCTGACCTCTGACCTCCTGGAAGAGGACTGCTGTTTTCTATTTTTATTGCAAATCTATTTTGTATTCATCCTAAAACAGGTTGGACTTATGTTTTATTATAACATTTTTTGATAGCTCTTAGCCAGTTAAACAACTTCAATCTTCTATCACCCAGGTGATTGTGTGTTCATAGACCTGAAAACCAGGTGCATAACATGCCAGAGATACTGTATAATGCTGCTGGTGCGTGACTTCTTCTGACGCAATAGTAAATGTCTCAATGTCATGAAGCTTTCTTTGTTCTTTTTTTTTTAACTCTGTATTTCACCCTGGAAACTCTTGTTTACTGTCATGTCTATCAGTGAGAACATTCGCAGGGTTAGGACACACCCTGAGGCATACCTTTTCTGCCAAACACAAATAGAAAAAGATAAATCTCCTCCCTCTAAAAACTTCTCCACAGGGAAATTAGTAGTGCAAACTCACATTTTATGATGACAGTAGAGCACAGTAAGCCTTTTCTGATCTGGTGTAAAATCAAGCCATTTTCTGTTCAGCAGGTGAACAATTGCTGAGCGAGACTTGCTTGAGGTAAAGTGGAAGTAGTGTAGTGACGTCCACCTGTGCAGGCTGACATTTCAGGGGTGTGCCACAAGTGTCAGCTATTAATGCTGCATGACAAAGTCACAGTGAACTTACACTGCAGACTGCCAGCAACAATAGCCAGGTTTGTGTCTATTAAGAGAAGGAAATGTTGATTTAATGTTTGTGGTTTGACTTTGTTTTCAAGTCTGGATTTTACCCGTGGGAAGTTCTGCTTCATGGAAAATGAAGATAAAGTCAGTCCGTTCTGGGGGATGCTGGCACATGTTCTCACCCTCCGTCAGGTAAAGGTGGTGGTGTTGATGTGTCTCCTTTTTCTTGATCTGGATGAACAGCTCACCTCCAGTTCAGATTTGATTCAGGATTATTCACCAAGCTAGTTTATTTAGATACACATCTTAATCAATTTTGAACATTTTTAACCTCTAACCTATTTTCAAATCACTTCATACATGACTGTTTTCCTTTTTTGTCACATGGTCTTACTTTCTGTTTTTCTTTCAGTGAATTTTGACTGTGTTTGAGAATGTTGTGTTTGATTTGATTTGTCAAGTGTTAACTGAAGTTACTGATAACATTTCTAAGAACATAAAAGAGGATACACCTGATCACGTGATGATAATGACTTTATCCGTTTCTCTACATCCATACTGAAACAAGACATCTGGATTTGTTGAGATAGGCAATGCTGTTCCTCTCCTCAGCCACATATAACTTGTTCTTAACCTGTCAGGAGTTGACTTCAGCTGTTGTTTGATTAGCTGTTTGCAAAGTTTCCCCCTCCCTGACGTGTGCTTTTTATTCTTATCCACTCCTTTCTTTTTCTTTCCCTGTCATGATGAGGTCATTCCTATATATATATATATATATATATATATATATACATATATATATATATATACACATATACAAATACACACACACATAAACAATGTAATTTATAGAGTTATAAATGCAACTCTACTGCTGCCATGGAACTTTTTTGGTACTTTTTAATCTATTGCATGACAACAGCACAGCTTCAGAACAGATGTCAACACTTCTGAAAACCTCAGGCCCAAGCAAACATTCACCACTTCATGGAAACCCATATGTGTGTCTATAGAGTACAGCATGTACTACTCTATATATTAGTGTTTGCAGTTCCCAAAAGCTGTGATAAAGGTTATGTGTTTGTTCTGTTGTTTTGTTATCTGATTTTACTCCGAACTTCACTTACTACATTCAAGTGTTTGATCTGGCATTATTTATTTTTTCCAGGGTATTAGATACAAAAAGTTAGAACAAAAAGAACAAAAGAAAAACACTTATCACCTATAATGACAGGAAAGGCCTTCAGCATTCATCAAACATAAGGGTGTGATAGGTAGAGGTGTTCCTCAAGTTTTTCCTATGACTCACTCTGACTTTTTTCTTCTACAACAATAGGTATAAAAAGATCCAAATCCCGCCACAATGAAGCTTAGCCAGACATTTTCATGTCATACAGGGCAATACAATACAAATTAGGGTTTAAATGATTTTATTTGTTACATTACAGAATGAAGAAGCCAGGCTCCCATGGCAGACATCTACACTGGTTGCAGATGCTACTGTTCACCCTACTGGCAGGTAAGTTCTCACATCAGCTATGACAGCTGAAGTTAAAAAAAAGTTGTTTGCAGACAATGGAGCAGAGGCGTCTGTCAGCTGGTCACCTTATCTGGACCAACAACTCTGCACCTCTATTTATAAACTGCAGTGTCTGACATGTCTAAGACGTGAGTTATTCAGTCATGTAACACACACACACACACACACACACACACACACACACACACACACACACACACACACAGAGTTGAATTCCTAACTAATTTATACCATAACTTGTTATTCTCGTTTGTTTCCTAATCACACAAAACTTCACAATGCTCTAGCTTCTATCTTGGAGAAGGTGGAAAACATGAACCGGAACAAACTAAGAAAATGTATGTGACATATACCTGAGATTCTCAACCCTTTTTAGGGAACTAAAAATGTTGTGTGATTGTGTGCAAGAGTGTAGCAGTAAATCCAAATGGACAATATAAAAATTATCCTATATTTTTAACAATTGTTTCTCCCATCAGGTCAAGCTTACTGTGAGGAGACCTCCGCTGCTCCCACTTCACTTCTCCCCCTTCCCACAATAACTGCACAGACCTCAGGTAAACAGAATCAGCCCACTCCCTGCCACATCAGTTGAAACATCTATAATTAAAAAAAAAAAAAAAAAGCCAAATGTCTGTTTCAGCAGCTGACAAACTCTTTCTTTTCATCCTCACACTCGTGTCTCCAATTTGTTATAGTGTATCACTGGTTGAAAATGAAAACCTGTCCAAACCTTTCCCATCTGTTCTGAAACCAATTAAGACTAATGACAGGATCCAAAATATATTCAATTTAATTAAATTTCAATTGTTTTATTTGTGTAGTGCAAAATAATCATAACATACATTATCTCAAGACACTGTAAGATCAAGACCTTACAATAAATAAAATAAAGACCATCCAAAATATTTGACAGAGTAGAGTTATCACTGTCAGTCTCAGTGATGTAGAATATAGGAACAATTGTGGTGAAGTAATCAGATAAAGGAGTTTGACATTTTAAATATGTGTAATTGCTTCTTTCCTGAGAGTTAGATGACAAGATTGATATAACTCTCTCTTCTGTATGTTAAATATGTAGCTACAGCCAGAATCCTGTTAGCTTAGCTTAGCATAAAGGCAGAGGGAAACAGTTAGCAGGGCTTTGTCCCAAGGTAATGAAATCTGCTTAAGAGCACATGTATCTCTTTTGTTTAATCGGTGGAATGCTAGTTGTTCTGATTCTCCTTGCCTTGAGTGTTTATGCTAAGCTAAGATAACTGGTTGCTGGCTGTAGCAACATATTTGTTCTATACAAATGACAGTGTTATGGACCTTCTTATCTAATTCCCGGTAAAAAAGCAAATAAATGTACCAAAATGTTTAACTGACTACCAGATAAAAGTAGTGGTGTTACTACCACTGTAAAGTCCAGCATTCAAAATTTTACTTCAGTAAAAGTAATGATGTATTTAGCAAAACATGATGAACCATCAAAGTAAAACTACAGAGGCAGAACGATACATATGAGATGAGTCCTCATTCTGTATAAAAATACATTGTGAAGTGGCCTGTGAAAACAGTCATATAATTTCTTCAGTGGTTCTGGGATGTGGATAATGTGGGTAATGTCATCTGGGTTATTTCTACTAGTGTTGAAAGATTACAAATTTATAACAGACGATTTGCATCATGTTTGCCAGACACACAGTCTAAAAATGTTCTTGTTGGCTGCATTATGAGCCACCAAGGGCCCTGTAATTTTTGACCATTTTTTTAATGAAATCCATCCCCCTTTATGTTTTGTCCTTCCTTCTTACAGCAGCACACTACTTTCTCAACATCGCGGTGGATGTCACTGGATCGAATAAGGAAGAGTCAGAGATTAAGGACTGGGTATGTTGGGAAATGCTTAGACAAGTTGCTTATTAAAGTACTGAATTTATGATGTGTGTATCCTGTAATTAAATGTAATGAGCATCTTCTGTTTTTGTTCTATTCAGCTTGGCCAAGTGTTTCAAAACAAGCTTGAGAACTGTATTTCCCCAACCCATGAAGAAACAACTACTTCTCCACAAACAACATCTGCAAGCACTGCAAATGAGACAACACTCAACACAACTACAGCAACAATATCAACAACACTAGAAATCAACAACACTACAGCTACAACATTCAACAGCAACAACACAACTACAGCTACACCATCGACAATGTTAAATTTCAACACAACTATGGCTACATCAACAACGTCAAATATCAACACAACTACAGCTACATCAACCATGCTAAATATCAACACAACTACAGCTACAACATCAACAACACTAGAAATCAACAACACTACAGCTACAACATTCAACAGCAACAACACAACTACAGCTACACCATCGACAATGTTAAATTTCAACACAACTATGGCTACATCAACAACGTCAAATATCAACACAACTACAGCTACAACATCAACAATGCTAAATATCAACACAACTACAGCTACAACATCAACAATGCTAAATATCAACACAACTACAGCTACAACACCAACAACGTTAACGAGGAGCATCACAACTACAGCTACAAAAGGAGCGACACAACCACAGCTAGAGCAGATCTATCCACAACAGCGGCTCTGACGCCGATCAACAGCCCGACAGCCTACTTACCTGACACCAGCCCGGTCAAACAGGTGCCTGATGGTGGAGGCAATGATGGACAATCGACTAAAACAAATTCCAATCAGTTAAACCAGCGGGTAGCTCGAGAAATTAGTGGCAGCGCGACACAAACCAGGTATCACTGCAAACATTTCTTTAAAAAAAACGAATGAATGAATAAATGAGTAAAGTTACCAACATTTTCACAGTTGTCCCAGAGATGGATATCCCACCAGAGATAAAGTATTGAGTAAAAATATCTGTGCAGCACCTTCTGCTGTGTCATTTTAGTTGTGCTGTTGTCATAGTGAACTGTCTGTTAGTTACTCCATACTGTAGGACCACCTTTTACCTTTACCTTGTGATTTGTATAATACTGTGGCTAAGAAGCCGACGCTTTGTGTTTTCTGAACAGCGACCACAGTGGCCACGAATTGCAATTACAAAATGATGGCACATTGAAATTTCCTTTGAATCCTCTTGAGACACACAATTCTTGCTTTATATTTGTTATAAAACCATTCAAAAACTTTTGTGACATGAAGAAATATAGAATACAAGTAGCATAAGTAGAGAAGAGGCATTTCTGGCTTAAAGGAGCAATTTGTAAGTTTTACTAATGCTACATAGCCAACGTTAGCATTAACAGCTGTTTACTTACCAATCTAGAAGAAACTTTGCAAGTTCACTATGAAAAAACGTCTTTCCTTTACTCTCCAAGAGGTGTCTTCAGCGGTGGAAAGTAACCCTCTTGTTTTCCTTCTTTGTGGATTAATTTTCCTCTATATAAGTTAGCATGCTAACCAGCTAGCTCTGGTCTGGCCGGACCATCTTGTCACTTTAAGATACTGAGTCACTATAGCGTCCAGTCTGCCCTGAAGAAGTAGTTCCTTAGAAAACGTATTATAACCTCTTTTGTTGTAAATGTAACACTGGCAAAACTGGTAAGTAAACAGCTGTTAATGTTGGTTAGCGATAGCAAAACTTTCAAATAGCTCCTTTAAGTTTTCAATATCAGTCACCATAAGCTACTGGTCATACCAGACCAAGTAAAGCTGTAGCAAAAAATATCCAAGTGTATTAAATTAAGCAAGAGTGTGTTTTATTGCTGATGAATTCAACTTTTAATTTGCTTTTAATAAATCTTGCTATTCATGAACATCTCCATTTATTTTTCAGCGGGCCTGGTAACACAACTGGCCTATTTCAAGTAAGTTAACATTTAAATGCATCTGTGGGTTACATTGTTTGAATAGAAGGATCATCTGAATAAAGATTGATTTATGTTTTAACAGGGACTTGAACTTTCATGCGACAGGAAGACTGCAATACAGTAAGTAAATAGCACACGTCTTTAAATGACTGAAATGAGTGGAAAGCATCTATTTGTTGGTAACAATGACCTTATACTTTAGAAAGACAAATTGCTCTGTGATACTGCAGCTGAGGCAGAGAGTACCTCCATGTTGCATCCTCCGTACTCTTTGTGCTGCCAGTAAAACTTCCCCTGACATCCATGTGGTGGGTAGAAGAGTAGATAGAACAGGTGAGTCCTGAATACTTTGAAATACACAATTAGCTACCTAACAAGTTCCCATAATGCAATTATCCTTCTGTGTCATTGAGCAGGTCTGCTATTCAGTGAGTGCAATAGCAATCCACATGGGATAAACAGTTGCATTTATAGAGGTCCGACAGGTGCATCATGGTAAGACGTTTGGTATTTATGATGTTCTTTTTTTTCAACATCCCAACTTATTCATTAAAATAACAACAAGACAAGAATCACTAGAGCATTTTTGTTTTTTGTTTTTTTCTTGAGCAATATTTATGAACTGATCTTAAAGGTATACAGCAACACCTTTTCATTTTTGTAACATTTCATAAGGATGTTGGGAGTTACACGCAAAATTTTTATGGAATGTGGTTATCTTTCAACAGTGAAGAATCTGGGGCGGCATATGTGGAAGGTGGAAGCAACTCAACGAACTGTGGCCCAGGTGAGCTCTAAATATTTAAACGTCTTCAAACCACACAAAGTAAAGAAAATATTCAACCCTTTAATTTTTTTTTACCATGTTAATGTGTTTCAGCCTGAATTACAAATTGACCAAATTTGGATTTTTGTCACTGATCTACACACAATAACCCAAAATGTCAAAGGAGACTTTGGAGAAGTTTTGTACATTTCTTACAGATAAAAAATATTAACAGGTTTTGAGTAAATACTTATTCACCCCCTTTCCCCTTAAAGCATATCCATATAATTGTCCAAAACATGTTAACCTGAGGCCACACATGCCATTGTTGGAGGTCTCAAAACTGTAAATTTGTCCTCAGTCAAATTTAAAATGTTGTAATGTAGTAATATATGACTGGATAAGATGAGTTAAATGTTCCACGAAGAACTTGAAATTAAGACAGTCTTTTTTTAATATAAAACTTTGGCTCTGTTCACACTGACAATAAACCAAAATTATTTGACTTTGTTTCAGATCCGAACAAGTGCAACTGCTCTGCTTATTGCAGTAGAACTGGTTAGTGTTTTATCAACTAACAAAAGTATCAGATTATTATCTAGACTGATATAGTCTGAAAGCCTTTCATAAGTTACTTTTGTTTCTTTGTTTTTAGATGCATACTACACTTTTAAAATGTCAATACAAGATCCCAACATCAACATTTCATATGTCTTGTCCTTGGTAAGTTCTTGTGCACACACACAAAACATGCATATACTGTATACCTACGTTTATGATTTTGTATTTCTCTTTATCCATTGTGCATCAATTCATTCTTGTAGCATCATGATATGATATCTTGAATCTCTACAGATTTCTAAACTAAAACAAGCACCGCCTTGCTCTCCAAGCACAGAGTGAGTTTTATCATTCAAGCATATACAAATCAAATTCTATTTGAATTAATTGCCTAAACTAAAATTGAAAACAATTCACAATCTTTGTAATGTTGCTTCACAGTTCTTCATGTCCATTGTCCATCATTGCAACAGAATACAAGGTAATCAGCCGCCAAAGCATAATCATACTGCCTAAACAAGCCATTCCAAAAATAAGTGCAAGTGCAACTTTATGGCACTTGATCACTTTTTATCTTTTTGTCACAGTCTGTGGGGCCTTTTCTTATCTTTTATTGCACAGAAGTACATTTTCTATACAAAGCATACAAAACACTTTGTCATACATATTTTGATGTATTACTTTAACATAATCACTTGAGATAGTTTGACTAAAATGGACATTTCTACTCAGGATTCCCACGTGTTCTGTGGAAGCACAGCAACAAAGTGAGTCTAATCATATTAAATCAGAGCATTTCTGTGCACTGATACATCTGAAACATTTTAACAGGGATTGAAATCTGTGCTCTTATTTTCTAATTCTAGTCTTGAAAGCTGCAGAGTGATTTTGGGCTTCGCCCATGAGGTTCCTATCTGCAATCTGTCGGCACTTGTGACAAAAGTGTTTCAGTCTATTGAACAGATCAAGTTTGATGGACTGGTGACTCGAGCCGGTGTGTATATTAACCACAGAGAAACAAGTCGAGTCAACATCGGTTCACGTAGTCAAAAATAAATAAATAAATAACTGTAGGTGTGTCTTGTGAAACTTCTCATTTGTGTTTCATCTGGAATGTCATGCAGCAATATGCGGAAATTCAGGAAGCAGCGACAATCCATTGGCATCCCAGTTCAAATGGGTTAAATTGAACCTTAACCCTGCTATGTTTTGTATGGCAATAGAAACGTCTAACATCCTCACCTGGTTTGTATGATCTTCTTACCACCCTATCTTCTTCACTAACTTAACTCCATCTTTACAAACTCAGTGACCATGATAGTAACTGATTTCAGGCCTGTTTGTATTGTAGTCGATCAAAATGTGACACCTGATGAAATATTCCCACAAATATATTCCTACGAATATTTTTCTCCCTAAGATGTTAATTTGTCCTTTTTTTCTTTATAGTCAAACTGGAATAAATGTGGCTGCAGAGCTGTTAGAGCAATGTGTTCAGGAGCCGTTTACGACACCCAGCCCAAATGTGACAACCACACAACCCAACACCACCACCTCGTCTGTAAATGTTACTTCATCCCCACTGAACACGACAGCTGAGCCCCTCAACGCCACCACCACTGCTGCTGATGTCACAGTAACAGCAACTACTGAAGCAGGTTTGTTATCACCTCAGCACTGTGTCCGGCTCTGTTGCAGCATTTACATCATTTCAGCATTGTTACAGTTCCCCTTTTGCATTTTGTTGCCTGCAGCTGAAAGCCAAGCCAACTCTCTCCTCGAGATGACCAGAGACGTGTCCTCGCTGAATTCCAGCCAGGTGGATGAGCTGGTGTCTCAGCTGGAGGATCTTTTGGCTGGCCCGACCGTCAGCCTGGCTCTGGGAAACACCTCCGTCCACATTGTCAGTAATCTGCTGGGTGCGTCTGCTGAGACGCTGGCCGACTCCTCCAACAGGTTACACATTCATTTATTTGATGTTCTCAGACATATCGTGTACTCTTATAGCAATTAGATGCTACAACTCAAGGGGTTCCAAACCTTTTTTGACACTTCAGACCATTTTTATATTGATAGTTTCGTTGCAGACTGCTCAGCAAGGGGGAACATAATAGCTGTGATTGGAGCATAAATGTTCTCCACATCCCATTGCTACACAAAGAATCTCCCATTAGTCTGTTTGTTATTCATATGTTCACACATGAGTTTTATGCAGTGTTTAATGCTGAAATTTTATGATGATTAACTTTCTTTGTGAATTCATTACCTACTTTAATTTCACCGCAAAATAGCATTTGGATTTAGGGTTGGGAACCAGCAGTATGACTGAAGTGGCTCAGTGAATATTAGAAGTATTGCTATTGTGCACGATACCAATTAATTTCTATTTCATCAGGATTATACAGATTGTTGATACAGTGGGGTTGAAGCTGGTCCTTGAAGAACAGGCTGAGACCCTCTTGTCCCCAGCTGTGGCTTTGTCTGTGAAACCAGCAGATGGCAGGAACTTTCAGGAAACATTTTTTTCTATCTCTGATCCCAATAATGTACAGGTATGGCATGTTTTAGTTTATAATACCTGTAAAGGTATTTTATAGGTCATACATCATAACAATTTTTTATTCTGAGTGGTAGCCAATCGGACACTGGTTACTTTTTACCAGCTATTTTTCCGCAGATGTTTTAGAATCGTACATACAAGGTTTGGAAGACTAAAAATTGGACCAACTGGATTACATTGAGTTTTGTACATGTAACACCATTTTGAAGAAGAAATGAGTTGAGCCTCTGCAGCTCAGTTATTCCAAGTAGTGACTTCTGACAAAACTGAAAATAAGGAGTGGTATCAGTGCTCTCCAGGTCCACGTTCCATGTGTGTTGCAGGTCCGTGGGGATCCCAGGCTGAGAAGGAGTGTGAGAGAAGACTCCTCCATCCCTCAGGGCTCCATCAGGCTGCCCCCCTCTCTCACACAGGACTTAACCTCTGAGGAACAGCAGCTGGCCTCCCGAGTCCAGTTCAATTTCTACCAGAAGAACACAGTGTTCCAGGTCTATACATTCAACCAGCGTCCAGTTCTGATCATTAGCTAAGGAGAAACAGAATGCAGTGAATACGACACAGAAATTTGTTATTGTGTCTGTGTTTTCAATTTCATATCATTGATTCAGTGTTTTAAAGGAAAGTGATGGGCTACATTTCAAATTACATATTGAAGCATTGCCTTCTGATAACTTGTGTTGTCTCTATATGGCCATGCAGGACAGATCCATAGGACAACGCAAACTTAATAGTGGGATCCTGGGAGCGAGTGTGGCCAACCTGTCAATCACGGGACTGACGGACGATGTTGTAATTCACTTGAGGAACACAGAGCCCATTCCAGTGAGTCCGTTTTCAAACACTGTCACGCTCAACAGAGACAAAAAAAGCGTGATGTCCAATTAGGTCTAATTAGAGATTGTAAACTGATACAAGCTCTTGTGCCTTCTCCCAAACTACAGGCTAATTTTGTGGCTACATGTGTTTTCTGGGACTTTACATTGAATAGTAAGTTGTTTTTTTTTTGTTTTGTTTTTTTTATTATTATTGTTATTGTTAACAATGTCGATCGCATTAGACAAAGCTGAAAATATGCTTAATGTTTCCTACTGACAGATGAGTCAGGTGGTTGGAATCCCAAGGGCTGTTCTGTCCAAAAGAGCACAGACAATGAAACAGTTTGTGGCTGCAACCATTTAACCAGTTTTGCTATCCTGCTGGTAAGAAGATGATCGGTTTTCTCATTTTTCTCATGCATCCTTTTGATGATAATTTATCACTTGAATCCTAACCACTTCCAGTCTGCTATAACTTCTCAGTGTTTTTTTTTTTTCTTTTTTCCTCTCTGTGTTTTCTTGCAGGACCTCTCCAGACAGCCTGTAACCAGCCGTGTCCAGGCCACCATCCTGACCTTTATCACATATATTGGCTGTGGAATCTCTGCCATCTTCCTGTCTATCACCCTCCTCACCTACTTGGCCTTTGGGTGAGTATTTATTGCCATAAGTTAAATTACACACATCCAATATACTGTATGATAATCACTATTGAAGTGAAGTGTCTTTCTTGATTCTACCACTAGGAGGCCACCAAAGTTGAAACACCTTTGCTTCTGGCTTTATTGTGATAGAGTTATAGTATTTTTAAAAACTCATTTATGGTTTAAAGTGAATGCACATATTTTTTCACAGCACTTTTTTTATGATGATATTGCCTGCAAACCATTTTAACCCTGCAGGAAGTTGCGTAAGGACATCCCATCCAAAATCCTGATCCAGTTGTGCCTGGCTCTGCTAATGCTGAACCTGGTCTTCCTGGTGGATGCTTGGCTGGCGCTCTACCCGGAAGCTGTGGGCCTCTGCATCTCCACTGCTTGGTTCCTTCACTACTTTCTATTGGTTGCCTTCACCTGGATGGGACTTGAGGCCGTTCACATGTACCTGGCCCTCGTGAAAGTCTTCAACAGCTACATATCACGCTACATGCTGAAGTTCTCACTGGTAGGCTGGGGCGTCCCGATGATCGTGGTCATTATAGTCATTGCGATTGACAAGGATAACTACGGTCTTATATCCTATGGAAAGTTTCCTGATGGCACTAGTGATGACTTGTGAGTTTTTTTCTCAAATGCTTTATTTGCAGTTTCATGCAAAATACTCATTTCATACTCATACAAATACTAAGAAAAAAAACTAACCCTTTAATTCTCTCCCACAGCTGCTGGCTGAAAAATGACATTGCCTTCTACGTGGCTGTGGTGGCTTATTTCTGCGTCGTCTTTCTCTTCAACTTCATCATGTTCATTGTGGTGCTGGTCCAGCTGTGTCGGATAAAGAGGCAGAACCCTCACAATATGCAGCACCGCAGCACACTTCAGGATGTGCGCAGTGTGGCGGGGATAACCCTCCTCCTGGGCCTCACTTGGGGCTTTGCCTTTTTTGCCTGGGGACCCGTTAACCTGCCATTCATGTACCTCTTTGCCATCTTTAACTCATTGCAAGGTCAGCCGGTTTTGTTATTTTTTGTTTTTTTGGTTTCAGGATGGATTCAAATTGGAAATTTTTATTTATATACACTAAAATCACTGCGTAAAAAATGTTTGCATCAATATACTGTAGCACTGACTTTACCTGGGACCCATTGGTAAAAAAAAATACACCAAAAAAGAAGAGTTGTTTTGATGTGTTAGTGTTATTTTTTATATTACTATTGGGTTATTAACTCAGATTTATGGTATGGTGGCAAACTGCTATAATCTAGTCTAGCTCTGTATAAACATACATGTTACTATGTCATGTCATGTCATTGCTTGAATCTGGGAACATGGAAACATCAAGTCAGACAGGGCAAAAATCCCAGTCAGACATGCCAACATTTTAACCAGATTATTTTAAGAAGTTGTGAGTACAACTTACAGGGAAGTACAGTAGATGTTGGCCTGTAAACTAATTGATGTTTACAAAGGACAGTTATGGTAATAATTTTCCCATTTGCCTTTATTTTGTATTACAAATAGGTGATACGTCTTTTTACGGATGTGATCTCATTCTCTAAGTAACCTGATGAGTACAATGTTATAATTATGGATAGGAATGATGGCCAAAACTACTAAATAACAAGAAGTTATTTAGTAACTTCTCACTAAATAAGAAGACTAAGCCTTTAATAATGTTTCAGTCTTGTAGAACTCACTTTTCACACAAGATGTGATGAGAGAGTAAAATTGAAGGACTTTATGCAAGAGGACTCCCAGTTACAAACACTGCTAAAGTTGTGTGGTAATCAGCAGCAAAAAGACGACTCACATTTAGCACCTGGATGGTTAAAATAATTAGACATCTAACAGACCCCTTAATGTAAACTGTGGAATAATCTAATACACATCTAGCGGACAAACTCTTCCGGTCTATGTCCTGTACCCGTAAGTCCAAACTAATGACATTGTACACTGTACACTTTTACCACACTGTAAAAGGTTTGGTGTGGTATTTATAAAATGCTGTTTCTGTTTTTTTAGGTTTCTTTATATTCGTGTTCCACTGTGCGGCGAAGGAGAATGTGAGAAGGCAGTGGAGGATCTACCTGTGCTGTGGCACAATGAGACTAGCAGAAAACTCGGGTTAGATATGTTCCCTTTACATTTCACAGCTCTACCAGTCTGGCCAGTCTTCACCTTCATATTGTTGACATGCCTGTGCTCATCCGATTCCTTTGTTCCTTCAAAGTATTAGTTCCAAGACCATTAGATGCATGATGATGGTAATTAACTAACTCTGGGGGATTATGTTACCTTTCACCTTTATCTCTGCGAATCTCTTTTCACAGAATGGAGTCGCACTGCAACACAGAAGACTGTGAAGAAGTCATCAGTGACCAGAGTAACATCTCTTCATTCCTCAAAGTCAAACAACTCATCCAGCTCTACTTCTTTTCTCGTCAGTGACTCCTCAGAACAGATTAATGGCATTGGTAAGTGAGAACAGTCTAAGCTCTTTATGTAACTCATGATAAATTTTGACGATTACTAAATCATATACTTAATATAAGTTTATAGGCTGGTCTTAGCAGCAGAGCTTTATTCCACTTGCCCAACTATGTAAAAACAAGTTTTATCTAATGCTGCTGCTCTTTGAATACATCTACTGTTACCTTGATTTGAAATGTTTGGTTTCATGTATGAGTGCTCACAAGCTTAAAACTGTAAACAAGACAGTCAGTGGACTGCAGTATTATCATATAATAATCCAATATTGTCATATTACCACTCGCGTACAGGTTTACATGAGATTATTATATAGTTTGCCACAAATTGTATCTATCAGAAATAATGACAGCAGTGCTGTGTTATAGGTAGCCCATTTGAAGACAGAGAAATCACAGCTGATGAGGACGCCAGTATGGATGTGATCCTCAACGAGATCAACAGGCAAAACAGAAACCAGCGAGCACCCTGATTTGAAAAGCACAGAACAGACTGTTTAATGGCTCTTATTTTGAAATATGTGCACTGTATATAATGTAAATTAATAGAGAGTAATTTATGTATTATATGACAAAATGGGCAATGTAAAGCCTAAATTATGCATGGCAATTGATTTTTAAACACTTCTATACTCATACATTCACACCATTCATACCAGCCTTTATTCCTTTATATAGTGATGTTACCAATATAGGTCATATTCCAATGGTAAGTTACATACATTGATGGTGACCCATGGTGAACAAGTCAACATCAGGACAAGCCAGCAGACTGGATCCAGTCTGGTCCAACACATGTTAGAGCAACACCATGATTAACTAATCCAAAAAACCCCATCTTCTGTAAACACCCATAATGTGCAGGTAAATCTTACATCCACATCTCTAATGATAGATTTACAGTAAAAAATTGACAGAATAGATTTTTGCTGCAAAAGCACTGGTTGCTTCATGTTTGGATAAATGAAATTTGACGGAAAAATATGAAGTTCAGCTCAATAAAAACCTCAAGTTAAACAATATGTACTCATAGGTTTCATGTGGAACTTATAAAAAAAAAAAAATGAATGAAGCGCTAAAGAGCATGCGCCCTTTTATTCTGCTCAATGTTCAGATTGTGACTGGAAATGACAGAAGTGTCAACTAATGGGAATAACGCTCACAATTAGTGCAATTTATTAGAGCATCAGACTGGACAGCAAAAATCCCATTAATCTGACAATCTGTAAGAATCCATACCAGCTCACTACTTTATACTGACAGCTGAGGAGGATATAGTCTATTTTACAGCTGCAACTAATAATCATTTACATTAATGTTTAATCAGATTTTTTTTTTTTCTATCATTTGTTTGGACCATAAAATGTCCTCTGAGCCCAAAGTGTGTTCTTGAAATTGTATTTTTTTCTTGTGCCTGTCCAAAAACCCAGATATTTAGTTTACTATAAGATGAGGAATAACTGGAAACGCTTCATATTTATGTCAACTATTGGTAATTCTTCTTGAAAGCCACTTCATTTTCTGTTATCAACTAAACAGTTCGGACACATTTTCAGAATACATGGGTTTCAAAATGTGCAATGCATAACACAACTGTTTTCCACCATTTACACTGACAGGCTGTCTTAAAGTATTCAAAGCGTGTCCTTGATTTTTATTCATGCTTTTCATTTCTTTTGGCATAAAAAAAAAGTAAAAGACATTTTTCCCCCAAAACATTTTAATTGTAGATGGTCACAAAGATTATCTCAAGTGGGACAGAACAGCATTTGGTGAAATTATATAGAATAAATAAATGTAATTGAGTCCCACAGGGTTGATCGCGTGTAAACGTGCTGTGTACTGTATATGCAAGCTACATTCACCGTCCATTACATGCACCTAATACAGTCTTAAAAAAAAAAAAAAAAAAAAACTTAAAATATATCAGGAGAAAGCAAGGTGCTAATAAAACATGACATAAAAACAGCACAAGCACAGAGGTGGCATTAAAGTGGTGGAATTGTTTCCCTTTTAAAACATATTTGGACTTCAACACTTCAGTCTCTCTGGGCGTGATCACATTGCCTTGATACAACCTGAAAGAATCAAATCACATTTGAGCGACAGTAACAAAAATAGAGCTTAAAAGCGACTCACTTAAGCTGGGCTGAGTCTATAGATTGGCCTATCACACGATTTGAGCTCATAACTCAAGAGAAAAGGAAAAAAAAAAAACCTAAAGAAAACGAGAGAGAACACACACACTTGTTCTAAGATGAGTTACACCACATTATCAGTGTATCAAATCAGTGTTTCAACAACTAACAGTTCCTTCAGCATACATGCAAATGGACAATCCAAATCAAGTAACACAAATTAAATACAACTCATAAGTTGCAACAATGGTAAACAACGGTAAAACACAACCAACAAAGGAAGAAAGAGAAGGAAGATGAGGGTAGATGAGGGATCAATGGATAGGGGATAATAAAAATGTCATTGTACCCCTTAAGATGTGTTCAGACTGAATGCAAAGTAAATTTCCACCTCCATTTATTCACATCAACTTGACCGTGGAGTGTTTTGCAGTCCATGCTTATTATTCAGTCTACAATACAGATGTAGTCACAGCTGTAACTCACTGATAATAGACATAGACTGCTGTGTGTGCGTGTGTGTGTGTAAGTGTGTGTGTGTGTGTGTGTACTACTCAGACTTAAAACCAGACGGATTTGACACTGCAGGAACTCTTTTATTTTTTTTTCTTTACAACTATTTCTTCCGCCTCCGTTCCTTTTTTCAAAATTTTAAAGACCACATAACAATGCATTTATCCAAACTTTGTGGGGTATGCTAAAGTGTAGTACACAGAAGAACTATTATTAGACTGACGCGTTTCGGCTTGTGGCCTTCATTAGGGGCTTACACAAGCCGAAACACATCGGTCTAATAAAAAAAATTCTTTAGTAATATTCAAGCAATGCTGGTGTTTTGACCTCTTTAGACTTTTTTTCCATCTCAACGCACCTCGGAAGTAGGTGAGGTTGTGCCAGAAATCTCTACTTTGCTTCCAAACTTTGTGTTGCCTGTAATTTTCATGTCAAGTTCAATCTGAGCACACCTTTTAAGGCTACAGCAGAAGAAGAAGAGGAAGAAGAAGAAGAAGAAGAAGAAGAGCATTCACATTCCAGCTGCTGAGGATTCAAGCACAGAAAACTGGAGGTCTCTACTTCTTCCATATGGTGTAGAAAACCCATCTGATACAGGACAATTAAGGATTGTACACAGCAAAATATGACAGCAAAAATGTACAGTATTATTTTGTCTCCGTTCAGGAATGTATAAATAAATGACAATTCAAAAGGATGGAATTTTGTCCATCAAGTAATTAGAACTGATAAAAGGATACAGCTCCAAGTAGGAGGGCACACACACCACCTCTTTGGAGAAGTCCACGGGACATGAGAGCTTTCCCAGCTGTTCCTCATACTGACTCAGTGCCTCTGTCAGATTCACGCTGTTACCCTGACGACAAGTATCCGAAAAAAAAAAAAAAGAAAAAGAAAATGTCACAAGACACACTGTCATGAGACATATTGTAGCTAGTGATGTTTTTCTTCCACCACAACTGTAAATGTAAGTGGTGTGTTGCGATGCTCAGCCACAACAGAATGAAGTTGTGTTAAATGTTATCCAAGATATTCCTGTTTTGAAACTGGATTTTATAATAAAAACCATGACCATAAAGCTTAGAGCAAAGAAGAATTTCATCCCTCCCATTCAATAGCACTGCAATTTTCTCCTTGACAACAAGAGAAAATGACAACTTGTTTAACTGTGCTGTGCTGTGTTCCCTCCTTGGAATATTTCCTGCCCAAATAGCCTCTCACAGCAGGAAATATATGAAACAAGCAAAGTAAGATACTATGCCAAAGCTTTCAGTAAAGCAAATACGTGATTGATATATTAACAATAGCAATATTAACAGTTTGCACTCATCATACTCAGCAGTTGCTAAACGGACGGGACTCACCTGTGTGAAATATTTCCCAGCTGGATGCAGGACTTTTATTGACAGATCTAAGATGAGACGCAGGAACTCCCATGTCGAGTCTTCAAAATCCGGTTAGACAGACACACATAGGTTAAACAATGACATCTCTGTACTGCATTTCTGTAACACCTCAGATCATGCAAATATACAGTGGCTTCAGAAAGTATTCACACCTCTTCACTTTTTGCACACTTTATTGTCTCGTAGATGTATTCTTGTAAATAAATGTAAATTTTCAATGTAAAATTTGTAAATGTATTGTCATTTTTAAAATTTAGTAGTATAGTGTAACGATCCTTAATCCAGTACTTTGTAGAGGCCTCTTTCTGGCAACAGTTACATATATTTTAAGTCTTCTTGGGTAAGCTTTTTCATTTTGTTATTATGGCTCACTGGGTGTAGACTGATGGGCAAAAACGGCAATTTAATCCATTTCAAATTAAACCTACAACACAATAAAGTGTGGAAAAAATGATTGGGTCTGAATAATTTCGGAAGCCCCTGTACATATATAGTATAAGTACAAAGTATATATGTAAAAGACAGAAACCTTCTTCTGGCTCCGTGGATATTGGAACTGCAGTGAGGTCATTAATTACGTAGTCAAACATCCGTCCTTCCTGAACATACTTCTTCAGCACAGGGACACAGTCCTCAACTAGTATCTGTAAAGCATGAGACACGGAGAATTCACTCAATTTTCTTCTTAAGGTTCTTTCATTTTGTCATCAGTATCATGAAGCTTTCAACAGCCCGACTACTAACCTACTAATTATAACCTACCTACTAATCACTGGAAAAACAAGTCATCATAACAGGATCTTGACATAGACACAGGAATTTATGATAAATTGACAAATAATAGAGAGGGACGGATATCCTTTAATAGATCAGTGGAATCATTTTAATTTAATTATATTTAAATAATTATTTTCTAGTGTTTCTAAAGCTTGTCATTCTATTCTAGATAAGTGATTATAATGTACACATTTTGTTGTACAACACAGCTCTGAGCACTTGAACTGTGCTCAAGGTTGGATAGAAAAGCCCAGAGTGAACAAATACAGATGCTAATCAGCTTCATGACACCAGTTATACAGGATCAACATTGAATATTTATTCAGCACTCACTTGGTAACAGTCTCCCTTCAGGTTGTCAAGGATATTGCCACAAGTCTTGCGCATGTGCGTTCTGCACCCGTCTATCACCTTCTGGTCAATGTAAGCACTTTGTTAAGGAAGCATCAATCAGGTGCAGATGTTCAATTATAAACACTGGTAAATTGCTGGGAAGGAAAACTACATTGCCTGAGGTAAAGTGGAAATCACAATACAGGTGTAAAAAGAAAAGGATATCTCCACCATGGTGATCATCTTTGGCTTTTGTTTGACCACCTCAGCAAGGATTCCTCCATCTCCTCCTCCTAGTATCAGCACCTCTTTTCCAGCATAATTCTCTTTTCCGCTACCTATGATGGCTTGGGTGTAGGCCAAATCACTCTCTGCCAGGTCTGCAAGGCAAATGATTCATTTAACAGAAGCTAACACAACAATCATCATTAAATTCATGAGGCATGTTTAATCAAGTACATTAAATTACACTTAAGTGTCACATTAACACTCTGTTAAAAGTGTACTGAATAAATAAAAATAATAAATAATATAATAAATTAATAAATAATATAATTTCAGTTGTTGGGGCCAAACTGACTGTAGCTTTTGTCTCAAAATGACAAATAAGCCATGTATTGTAGTGTTGTATACACTTACTAACATCTCCATTGAGTACTAGGATATTTCCAAATTGCTGTGAGTGCAATATTTTTATGTTTTGGTATGCAGAATCTTCTTCATACACCACCCGGTCAATGTCATACTCGATCAGTCTGCCGTCAGCTGTGGGCCAGTATCGGTCAACTTTTGCCCCTCGTACAAGGGCTGGGAGCCTTAGGGAGGGAACAATACAATTAATCAATATTACTGCAATATGCAAGGTACATGAAATACAGCCATCACATTTCTATAACATGAACAAAGCCACAAACCAGATACCTACCTTTTAATCCTTGTTATATTGCCATTTAAGAGAACCTTTAGCTTCTTTTCCAGTGCATTTAAAAGCTGTGAAGAAACAGTTGTCACACATGCAAAAGTTATTTAAGAATGAAAAGTTGTAAAAAAAAACAAAACAAAAAAAAAAACAAAGAAAAGCTATTACATCACCAGACATACTTCTGTGTGCTTTGTCTTCTCAGTAAAAGATAATGTAGTTTTGTATTTTTTATTTTTTAAAATCACCTACATTGTCTAGTTGTGCAATGTTGTCATCTTCGTAACACTGCAGATCAATGGTGACCAACCCATGGGAGTGCACGCGCAGAATAACAAGCCTGAGAAATGAAGAGATAGACACAAAGCAATAAAGTGATAAGAATATTTAATTTTTACTCAACTGATACTTCACCCAAAATCTACATTTTGCTTTGAAGATGGCTGATGAAGGTTTGTTGTTTTCCTCCTTTGAAGAGAACTGAACGGTCTGAATTTTTCACAGTGGAAAGAATCGGTTCTCTACACCACTCCTAACACTCTCTGTATGTAGGACAGTCTTATTTTCACTCACTGCTGCTGTGTCACATTATCAAACCTTTTCCAGACACAGTGTATTTAGCTGGAACATACAGAGCACTCAGATTGACAGCATACTACAAGAGGGGTGTGAGAGGTCCCTGTGGAAGTTTTGCTATTTTTCCCCATTGTGAAACCTTGTCACCACTGGAATCCCTGGAATGATAATTTGAAACTATGAACTTTCAGATAACACGTGTTCTCTCTGTGTAACTAGGCATTTGTGGCCATATTCACAAAACATCCTAGGGCTGACAGTAAACAACAGGGTGTAAGTTAGAAAAGTGCCAGTCCTAACCTTCAGTCTCCTAAATATTTTGGTCTAAGAGTAATTCACACAGAATTTTATCTCTAAAAGTAGTTCCTAAGTCTGAAGACCTAAAGACTCCTAAATCACTAAGACCTGCACCTCACTAAAATGTGCTGCAGGTAATGTGTCTCATCGTGTCAGCGTTTTGTAAAAAAAAAAAAAAAAGGGCACTTAAATATCATATGTCAGCCGTTTACTAAGGAATCAGTTGACTCACCAACAAATGGCAACAAATGGCAACAATCCAACAGCAACTGGATAACAGTTCACTGAGTGCACATTAAATAATCACCCACTGCAATAAATACATGAATAAAGGCGAATTCACAGTTATCACTGGATTATCTTGTAAAACTGGTGCTTTATGCAGAATTGTTACATCACAGTATGATAACTTGTTTTGTCAGCTGGATAGTATCACAGTATCACATGCTGATGTTATTTGATGCCAGATACAATATATTTAACAAGTCAGTATTTTACTTTGTCTCATGTATGAAATGTGTGATGCAGTTTATAAAACATCTATCCATCTGTCTAAATGCACCTGGTATCTAAATGCAACTGTGTATTTAAGAATATTTTATTTCACAATAACCATCACAGACCGGTCAAACCTGTCAAACACCAACTACTGAGGACTGAGATTAGCTTAGTAATTCTCTATGTTCCTTTCTGGAAACTCATCTCAGCAGCCCTTAATAAGAAACTCTTAGTATAAGGAACTTTTAGTTCCCATTAAGAGGACTCATACTGGTAAGAAAAGATCCTTTGTGAATACAGCCCCTTTGCATCCATAAGTATGACACCTTTAGTAAACTGTAATGTGAAGCTAACCTACACTCTGACAGCAAACAGTCACTCTTTGTGAGAGTGAGACAGCTCTTGGTGAGTAAAGAGCTAATGCTAACGCCAGCTATGTCGCAATAGCCAAATACTTACAAATAGCTCCTGCTCCTCAGATTCATGATCTGCACCAACTTTGTAATGGATACGGCTAAGACAGCTACTTCAGTTTATCAGGACAAATGTGAGAAAAAATCTGCAGCCTACCAGCAGATTTTGGAGAAATTTAAGGTTTGAGTTAACACGTCAGATTATGGTAAACTACTTTTAACTTCTTTTCACAGTCATGCTGCTTTCTATAGTGTTGCAAAGTCTGAAAATAAATTCTGATTAGATCAGCAGTGTCAACCTGCAACTTCAACCGTTAGTTCTCTCATACATCTGAAAACTTCCTGCCACAATAGTATTCCACTTTCCACAGAAAGGGGATTTATTACTAAAGGAAAAAATAAAAAATAAAACACATGAAGAGCACATTTCATACTGAGATGTTTCTGGAAATGTTACCTACATCTCTACAGTACCACCAAAGAAAAAAACAAAGCTTTAAACTGTAAAAAAAATTTAAAAAATAAAAACAATAAAAAAAGTTGTGGTTTAAACCAAAATGTTGTTCTTACCGGCCATTCTTGCCAACAAAAGTAGCGAGGTATCCATGCCCATTTGTATCATGGACAGTCTCTGTCATTTCCTGCTCATGAAATATGGACAGCAGGCCAGGAACTGTCGAAGCAGAGTCAACTGGGAAGAGCAAAGATGGAAAAAATAAAAAATATTACTGCCTCTACTATACATTCTCTTCATCAGTGGTGGAGGAAATACTCAAATCCTTACGTATATGAAAATATCCAATGTAAAAGACTGAGCTAATTTTAACTTATTAACTATTAACTATTATATTTATTGCTGAGTAGCTTAATGTATTGTAAAAAATAAAAATAAAAAGCACTGCATTTTATATGAGTAAATCTTAAACTGCAATGAAATTAGTAATTTCTGATGTCAAATAAATGTTGCATAAAAAACACAATATGTAGTGGAGTAGCCTACAATAAAGAATAGCAATAAATGGAAATACTCAAATACCTCAGTTACTATGAACCACTGCTCTGCATAATAGTGTAATAATACTTGTACATACATATATTTAATGACACCACATTATTGCCAAATAAGGTTTTGCCCAAATTGGACTTAATAAAAAAAGTTATCATTGTTTACAGCTCCATACTCCATACTGCTCTATAATAATAATGTAGTTTTTACTCCTCTACATTTATATAACAGCTACAGTTACTTTTCAGATTAAGATTTCATATACAAATAACATTATTAGGTTATATAATATGATGCATTATTGTAGATTAAACCATCCAATAGAATATGAAGCAGTTACCATCAACCTAACATAAACCAACTTGGTGCAACAGGGTGCAACAGGGTGCAACAGGGTGCCAAGATGTTAATGCACTGATTGATATTTAACACCTCTTCCATCATTAACACAAAACCTAGATGTAGTTCATTCTTTTTTAAAATATAGTCATATGTTTTATTGATGTTTAAATTAACACGTTTTAATGTTTTTAGACCGGTAGGGTAATACTGACTCGGCCAGAATAAAGTACAGCATTAAACTACAAAAATGGCCGAAAATGCGCCACTTCCTATGCGACAGGGATGAATTGAATGTAGCATTGAATGTACTTTATTCGCATTGTTAGCCAGAAAGGTTTCGAGCTGCTGTCCAGAGCAACGACACTGTACACACGATAAGTACATGTGTAACAACACACTTCCATATAAAAGATATTCAAATCAAACATTTAACCATAACGATCAGCTTTCCACCCCAACGTGTCAAAAAATGTGTATGTACATGCTATTATCAGCCATGTTTCATCCAAATCAATACAACAGTACTGTTTTGAAGGGCAATGACAGACTAGCAGGGTAACGTTAGCAGACTAGCCAGCTAGCTAGCACGCAGCCCTGATGTAGTGACTGTAACCTGGATGCACTGACGGTAGCAGGGGCTCATCGCGCTCATCTTACCTGCCGTAGAGAGGCTGAAGTCGAGAGTGTAATGTCGCAGTGCCATGTCTGTGTGCAACCGTCATCCATGCCTGGAATAGGCAGGCTGCGAATATTTATGTGCAGAGACAGAGGGAGGGCCCTGCTACCACTGCTGTTACCACTACCCACTACACTTGCCAAACCAGGCGTGGCTACTGTGCTGCTAAAGGCATATGCTGCGACTGAGAGCAGAGAGTATAGGATGAGTCGAGAGCGTAATCTTCCTTTAGGCACCGCCAAATCCAATGGGAGAAATATTGTAACAATATTTGCAAATTGTGTGGAGAGTTGTGAAACTGTATCTGAATCAGTGAATGTGTAGAAGAACCGCTACTCAGATTTGTGGATGTGTACATAAATCTGAATGTGCATTAGAAATACAGACGTGTAAACAAATCTGAAAACATGTACTGAAAAAAATTTTTGTAAATAGGTTTATCAGTTAATCCGAATTTTAAGTGTATAAGTGGAAAATCAGGTTCCATCTCAAATACACCTCTCACCTAACTGTCTTTTTACACAGGACAGATGACTAAAGATTTGAGAGCGGGCACAACACAGATTGTTTGAGCATGCAGGAAGTGAAACTAGGCTACAACGTGGGTTCTGTAGCCTACAGAAGTAGAAACATTATTTAAAAAATACAGCCTTGGAACTGATGCTTTCTCAACATTGTGTCATGTGTTAGGTAGGTACAGTATATATTTTTTTGAAAAATTATCTAATATCATTTATTCAGTGTTTTTTAGATAGTTTTTTTAAATCTTTTTTTAGTTTTAGTTGGCCTTAACAAAAACATTTCCCATAAGCCCATTATCAGGGTAAAATCACAGCTTGACAGAAGACGCCATAAGCGAGTCTAGTTGTTTCATGTCTGTAATAACAGCAGGACAGAGAGGACTGTACTGTAATGTGGAAGTTTTCAGACAGCTGAGATAACAACTAGAAAGTTGACAAATTTACTTTGGATGAGAGCATTGATAAGTTTTATGGATATAGAAGAAACCACTGTGAACCAAGAACCTGTGCTGTCCTGCTTGTAGTTTTATTTCATGGGTGCTGTAGTTTTTTTCTGTGCTCACAAAGCATAGGTTAACTTTGTTAAAATCACAAGGTTTTAATTTCTTGTATCTTGGATGCTGATTTGTGTTAGAATATGAACCCTAGGAACACACTTTTCACAAGGACTAATGAAAGAAATGTTTATTTCACTTATTTATAAAAGCTGTGGTTATAGCCCAGACGTGATATCATCTCATCAGATCAAAAGGAGATGTAATTATATAACTGCTTGCGCCTTGCGAGGCAGGAACTCAAACTGAGAGCACTGCATCACTTGTTCAGATTGATCACTGATTGCGTCTGCCATAAGGGTAATATGGCAGCTCAACTGATTGGTTTGATTGACTGAACGCAACTGACTGTGGTTATGCCCTAGGCAGTTGTTTGGCAATACAGTGTGACCCTCCCTATGACTGAACTGAATCCAATTAAATTTAACTTTTTAACCTCATTCATATTGGGGGTGTGACTGGAAGTATTAGCTCAATATCATTCTAGATATACAGTATGTTCCCAAATCAAATTAAAAGTTTTATTTTTGTTCCTTTGAACAAAAAATAGAGGGCAACCTGCAGGAGAAACAAAAGTCCATGGACAGGGGTGGACAGCCCGCTGAGAGCACTGGGAAATTTCTCAGTGGTCGGGGTCGTTTGTTCTGCCGTGAGCAGTCAACTTGACCAGCGATAATAGAGCAAGCAGGAATGAGTGACTCTCACGCCTGGGCCAAATTGCTTACCTCACATTTGTTGGTCTGTCCCAAATTGTTGTATTTTGTAAAAATAGTGGCTTAGGGTTAACTGATAGAATAGTGGTCTGGTGATTTGGGTGAACAGGGTAGCCTGGAGTCAAATTCCTGGCCAGAATTATTCTTTCATCTGCCCCTGTCCCTCCGTGTGAAAGAAAACGTGTTTGCTATTAGGTTATGTAACTAAATTTATTAATTTGCATGAATTTCTTGCATAAAAATGAACCATGTCTGCCCCTCCTGCCTATCTAAGGTGGAAAGATAGAGATGGTGAAACTAACTCAAGGTGTGTTGCGCAAGAAAGGGAAGAGCAGGTATTTAAGGGTTATTTAAGGATGATGATTTTACAACATTCGCACAGTAGAGCCCATGCCTCCGCCAAGCCAACAAGCCTGGACATAGCTGTCAGGTAGATGATTGTTTGCATTTTCACCAAACTGCACAAACCCATACAGCTCAACACCTACATCAAGATCCAAATATTATTTCCTGCGGAATTCACAAAGGTGTAAAAAAAAAAAAAAAAAATGCAATGTTGAGGAAAGTGTTAAAAGAAATTCCTGGATCCTCTGTTTAACCGAATCCGCTCCAAAATTGAATGGGTTCTTTACTGGCCCATTTCCCATTCCTCCACCAGGATTGGTGCAAATCAGTTCGGTCCAAACCTACAGCAGACATGAGTGAAAACATAACCTCCTTTGAGGACATAATGGCGGTGAATGGGTTAATGGTGCTGATTTATTATTTCTTTGACTGGACAGGTTTTCTTACATGGAAATAATGTGAACACACCTTAGCTAAGAGGGATGGGGATAGAGGGGTTAGGGTGGGAGGGGGGCGGAGTGGGGTAGCTCCAGCTAGACTACAAAGTAGAGTAAAACTGAGCATGCTGTATATTAATCGTGTTGCAACTAGATTTTCTTTGTAGTGTTAACAAAACAAGTGTGGAGACAAAATCCAGCCAACAACTTTGTACTCAGATGGGTGCCTGTGTGTGTGTGTGTGTGTGTGTGTGTGTGTGTGTGTGTGTGTGTGTATGGAATGGGATAGTGGGGTTGATCGGAATTTAGGATGACGCTAGGATGATGCTAGAATGATGCTATGTGGAAATAAGATACACATACACAAACATGCAACCCTTTAGGGGTTTGCTCAACCTGGTCAACAGCATTTTTCTCCTCCCTTTTTTCCTTCTCTCTTTTTTCTTTCATTTCAAAGTTGTCACGGGTTAGGTCTCTGTAGATCACCAGCACAAATCTGTCATGAACAAGGGATCAGGAGTTGTGTGCTGTGTGACTGGGTCGATCGTGTATATGTGTGTGCATGTCTGTCTATCCGTGTAGGAAAAGAGAAAACATTATCGATGAACAGGATAGACAGAAGAGTGAAAAGGGAAGATACAGGCTACATTATCTGGACTTTTGGATGTCTAACTGGACACCATCCGGCATTGCAGCTGTTTCCTTCTGAAGTTGTGTGGCTGTGTTTCAGCAAGTTATTAAGATTGCAGTCACTGCCTTATCTCATTAAAGTCACTCTAGGAAATGCAGTCTAGGTCATTAGTAAGTGATTTATATATGTTATGAATGAAGAAAAGCAAGTAAATTGACCAATGTCCACATGTTGGTTTTATTCACAGAAGCGGAATGAGCTCAAACAGACATCACAACATAAACTTGATTTTTAACCAAGCATAAGACATAAGCACATAACAGCTGGATATTTCAAAAGAAACACTGCACATGCACAAAAGTGGATGATGCTGAGATTTGGAAGAGTCCTAGTGGGTTCATTTGTCCACAGTCAGAGGTTAGTAACTGTAAGTAACAAAATATCTGATACAGATCTATTTCAATCCACTCAACGTTATAAAATAAGTATAATACTCCTAAAATATGTAGAAATGGTGCTTCAGTGTGTCATGTTGCAAATCTCCCATTAGGATCCATGGCATAGTTAACATACATGGTTCATTCATAGCTTGCATCAGTTTGAAACACATACACAGCATATTATGAATTCTCACATTCACAACAACTGACAGTGTTGATAGTGCAATTATTGTGCCAAATAGTGCACATGGGATGTGCAATATGGAGATTCCATGTTAAAACAATGCACAGGGCATCTTGGCGGGGGTGTGTTAAGTACCAGTGAAACAACACAATACGACCCAGGAGATCTAGTTGAAGTAATGGATTCATGTGTTCAAAGGCTTACGGGACACAAAAACACTGCATGGTTTGTAATAGACAGGAAATACACCACAGCAAAAACTATTTTGACTTTGAACACTCCATTCATGTTTCAGACCACAAATATGTGCTTTCATGTTTGTGATTGCCCATCACAGTGACATTGTGTGAGAGGAACTGAACTGAATTGAACCTCAATCCAAAAATAAATGAATTACAATTAAATCATAATAACATGCAATACTGCTTCTAAGGATGGCATCAGCTGTTTTTAAAGTGGATATAATCAACATTTTTAGAACAACAGTGAATCATGAATCTAATGTGAAAATGGTAGTGATGAAGCTACGGTGAATTATCACATGAATTTGCAGCTCCACTCTTGCATTAGCTAGTTAGTTAGGAGAAAGTAACAGCTCGTTGTTTAGTTGTACGACACTTGTGATTCACTTTCACTGCTCTCAATGCATCGTTTTCAGTCGCGGCAAGCAGCTGTTTTCAGTGAAAAAACGATATTAAAAAATGCATTGTACACAATGTGCTCAGCACTAAACGACACAAAGACCAAGTTAGCAACTACCTGCTGAACTTAGTGGAGCATTTAGCAGCTAAATAGACATGTTTCCCTAAGGAGTTGGTTGAGACCAAAAACAGAGCTAAAAGATTGTAAATACCGGACTTACAATGGCCGGGTGGACAGAGACACGACTACAAATGAATGATAATGTTGCTCCATACCTGCTGAATGTATAAATACTGTAGGCAACTGTTTGCTACAAAGTTCACTATATCATCTGAAAAGGTGATATGTCTCCTAAAAACCATCCTGTATTGAAACCCTTCATATGATTCTGTCATTTTGACAAGTCACAATGCAATATCAGGTACGTTTTTCAGCATCATTAAAGCTGTGCATATCCATGGCCTCTGAGCAGCACATCATCAGAAAGTAAACCCACCACAATCGAAACCATCAAAATCAGAGTCTGCCACTTCGAAGTCAAAGCTGTTAAAGTGAGGGGAGTCGAGCGCAGGGCTACAGGTGTGGTACGCTCCTGCTGGTCCCATGCCAGAGAAATCCGTGTTGAGTGGAAGGTCGGGAGCTTTGGCTTCCAGATTAGCGGTTGAGCATGCCCCTAGGTAACCCATAGCAGAGGAAGCAGCAGCCCCACCCATCAGCAGATAAACCGCCCTCACCGCCTGGGCATTACTGATACTGCCATGACGCAAACACCCTACTGAGTTCACACTTCCTTTGTAATACTTTGTACGGGGCGAATTCCTGCCTGTTGGATTAAGTGGTTTGAAAAAAAACAAACATGTTTTACATATTGTACATGTTATTATTTACACAAACAAACATCAAACGCAAATCTGATGAAAAAAATTGCAATTTACAATTTAAAAATGTTCTAAAAGATAGAAGAAAATGTTTGAGACAAACAAACACACATCCTTAACTCACCAGTGTCCCTTGGGGAAGCACAAGTCATCGGCCCTGAGGAGGCCGCCTCTCTGTCACTAACAGGGGGAGTTGTTGGATCCTTTTCTAGGATTTGCTCAGGCACCAGATCATGGAGAGTAATGTGTGGTGGTAGTACCTGGTGTCTCCTACATGGACTGAGAGGTGAGGAAAGACTCTGTAGGTAATAAAATAAGAATGCCTGAGTTTCTCATTCAGTGAATGATTACAAAATCAAGAAATATATAGATAATAAATATATATACATTGAAGCGTGAAGAAGCAAAAGAAAATGATTTTGCATGATTTTGTGTTCGAATGCTCAGTTTTCAGCCATGGTTGCAGGGATGGCCAGAAATAAAGATAGCCGAAATATCTCAACTACTATTGGATGGATTGTCATGAAACTTTACACAGACATTCATGGTCCCCAGATGATGAATCCCACTGACTTAAGTGGTCCAATGACTTTTGATCCAGTGACACGAGCAGGTCAAAGTTTACAATGTGAAATATCTCAACATCAACATTATGTATTGGAACAAGATTTTGTACAGACATTCATGGTTCCCACGTGATGTAACCTAACAACTTTGGTGATCCCCTGTTTTTTCCTCTAGCACCACCATGAGGTTCACATTTGTGGTTCTGAACAATTATTGGATGGATTGCCATGAAATGTGGTAAACACATTCATATGAACATTTAACCCAAAGCACTGCAGGGCCTAAGCACAGCGTAACACAGCCTACACATTCTCCCAGACAATTACATTAATAAATATTTATTATTAACTCACCTTTTTCACTTTTTTCAGCATATTCAGCCATTGACTGAAAAGTGATGAAAATGATTCTGTTATTACCACCATGCAAATCCACATCCATTGATACATCAAATCAAGTGCATAGTGGGGAAATAACTAGTTGCAGGAATGGAATGTGCAGGATTTGTGCCTGTCAGTAGCCAAAGCGTTGCCAGCCCTCTACCACACCTCCTGCTACACTACATTCAGTGGTGTTGTCAGCTGTGTGATTTTTCAGGAATGGAAAATATGTTGTCTGGTGAAAATGGGAATTGTAAATGTTTTCTTGTCATGCAGATACGTCAATAGAGAACGGGGCAAATAGATGGACATTATATGGTTATGTGTAATATGACATGATTAAAGAAACACTTCAACATTTTGGGAAATACACTTTTGACCTTTCTTGCTGAAAGTTAGGTGAAGCGGTTGATACCTCTCTCTTATCTGTGCATTGAATATGAAGCCACAACCAGTTAGCTTAGCTTAGCATAAAGACTAGAAACACAAAAACGGCTCACCTGGGTTTGTTAAAGATTAAGAAATGCACCCAATAGGCTATCAATAAACATGCTATTCTTCTTTGGTTTCATTAGTACAAAAACAGAAGAGTAAAACCAGTTAGTTGTGGTTTTCAGGCATTATATGCGAAACATTTTTTTGAGCTGGGACAAGTCCCTTCCTGAACTTCCTCTTTCTGCTAAGCTAAGCTAACTGGCTTTTCATCACCTAACTCTTGTCAAAAAACAGTGAAAAAGCATATTTCCCTAGAATACTGTAAGTAGCTTGACTGATGGTAATTTTGTGAAATTGCACCACAAAACTTTAATCTAAGATTTAGAGACTATATCGCTCTGCTGGATCAAGGTAAAGTAATCAACAGAGAAAGCACAGTGACCACCAGACCTGCAGTCTGCAGCGGTGTCAGCCATCAGCAGCAGGTATTTATGCTGGGGGAGGATCAGAGCAAAGCAGCAATCCCTGCAGCCACCGGAGGGTAACTTAGGCAGATCTAGGATCTCCTTGCCTTCCACAATTGCCTCACAACTGCTCTGCAACAGTACCAGCTGGTCAGGAGGAGATGCTGCATCATGGCACACAAGGAGACTGCCTTCAGCTGTGAGCAGCAGAAACCTCTTCTTCCATTGTTTGAAAATAAATCCACCTGGATAAAAGAAGCAGGTAGGAAATAACAGGAAATAGTACTGACTAGTAATTAGTGCATGTTGGAGAAATGGGGCTGTAACAAGCAAGTCTAATCATAATCACAAAACAACTGAAGCTTAGTGACAGTATTAGGCATGGTCACAGTGATCATGACAGCAGTGCGCACAGTGTACAGCTGGATTAAAGCATGAACACTGTCATTCTGTCATACCCACAGAATTAGAGGCAGTCAGATGGTTGGAGGATCAAGTGTGGCTGGACCAATCAGACAATGATCCGTGTGCACATGATCAACCACAATCACACGCACACATCTGGATCTACTCATGCTATGTGCATACAGTAAAAACACATGGAGACACTTTATTAAAGCACATAAGAGAATTAAAAAACCAAGAGTTGATGAAAAAAAAGACAGAAGAGATTGCTGAGATTTAGTTTGATCCATTGAGCGTATTTTTAGCTACAGCTTGAGATTATGTTTTCATCAGGGTTTGCTACTCATCTGTGGCGTGAGTGTAGACCATTTAATGAATCATATTTACTTTTGAAAAAAAGATAAGTCACTCACTTTTTAACATTGCTGGTAAAGGATGTATTAGAGGAGGAAATCATTAAGATTCCTTTTCTCGAAATTGTACTTGGTCTCAAGACCATTGCTAACTCTACAAATAACATCATAACATGTTGTAATGTGTCATTTTGGAACAAATAATGAGTTTGGGGAAACAGAGAGACACAAAATACATTCATCATCCTACTAAATAATCATTCACCACCATCACACATCCCAGATGCAGTCCAGTTTAAATGCTACAGTGTTTGTATTTTAACAGGAAAAATATTTATTAGATATAATATAAATATAAACCAAAAAGATCAGTATTTATAAAAGCTCGCTAATGATTATCCATCAAATTTGGAAATTACCATCAAAGAAATGAGAACTGCAAAACTTGAAAAAAGCTAGTTAAAAGAGATTCAATCATTTTTGCTCACTAAATGTCACCATGGATGTAATGATGGCTGCTGAGCGAAGTAGAGAATCAACTCACCATACATCCTGAGCATCCCACGGTGTATCCCAGAGACGTTCATGTTAGCAGACGATGTGTCCTGGTCTAACACAGGCTCAGAAAGAAATGTTTCAGGACAGGGTGGGTGAAAAGTATGAGGCTGAATGTGAGTATTAATGCTTAGCGTTAATCCTCATTCAGCTTTAATGCTCCACAGGGCCACGGCTCAGCAGCTTGGTAGGAAAATGGGCTGCGATGTTACACAGAAACTGCTGCAGTGTGTGCAGAGCTACTGTGTGAAATGACTTGAAAGCATGATTCAACTGTTTTTTTTCTTTTAACATCTCCTTTAATATCAATCCAGTTTAACATACACAGAATTATTTAAATCAGTTTCACGAAAAACCTCTTGTGCTCATTTCCTCTGATGCAAATCCAAATGGTACAGAAAACAGCCACAGTATTCACTTTTTTTTTTTTTACACTTCAACAGTTCCACAGCAGGCATCAAAAGATGAGTCCTTTCCTTAGTATCTTGTCATCTCTAATCTTGCATAGTTAAATAGCTGATATCCAGTCAGACTACAACACCGAGGATTATTAAGACAAACATTTATTGTTAAATGTTATGTTAACTTGAATAGAAATTAAATTGTAAAAACTACAGATATGTTAAAACCCATGTAGCTCAACTGTAGATTGCTACCTTCTGTGACTTTGATTAAGCAATGGAATCAATGTCACATTTCAAAGTTTAAAAACTGAATTATCATCACAGACTTTCAGTTGTCTTGAAAAACAATAAATAAAATAATTTAAAATCAAAGATATAAGCTACAGTATCTAAAGAAAACTAATCAGAGGGAAAAACCCTCTTTGAGACAAATAAAATATCCTAAAGTGAAAGTGCCGCAATAATCACTATGGAAATACATAATGATTTTGAATAAAACTATTGTTTGCATATAAAGACAGAAAGTGTAAAGCTAACTACATTCTGTTGTGTACTGGATGTGCTGTGTTGTGTTACTTCTTAGGCACTTTATCACATTCTCACATAAACAGTTTCATTCTCAACAAATTAAAACTAATTTATGGAGACCTATTATGTCCCTAAATTGGTTGTAGAGGCGACATTTGTATGCAACTTGATATAAGATTAAATAAATAACTCCCCCTAAAAAAACCTTGGGGTCAACCATTTGCATATAAAACTTATCTGTCTTTACTGGCAATTTCTTCTTCTTTAAGGACACTGCAATTTTGTTCCATGTGATGAGTTTTTTTGTAACTAAAATTTCTTTGCTTGGAAGTTACCAAGCTTCATGTTTCATGTTATGTTCATGATGTTAATCATTACATTTTCTTTTTTCGTTTTTCATGACAAAATCTATTTGTTGTGGGTTTTGTCAGGAATGATGGACACAAGTAGCTGTTCAATAGATTTAAGTTTCCCTCTGTTATGTGTAAAGTACTTGTTGACTAGGAAAGTTGATCCTCATATTGTTTTCTGAAACAGTCTCCAGCAGGGAAGAAGTCCCAGCAACGCTCCTGGTACATCTTCCATACGTACGACTCCTAAAACAGAGCATGTAGGAACAAGAATTCAAATGAGACACTGATAGGAGCAGACACTGTGCTATCAGTCAGTGGGAATCCTGACAATAAAACAAAACAGCAATTAAAAAACTGTACTAAAAAAATTGAGACCAACCTGCCCAGTGTGCTCTGTCTCATCTTTGTTGATAAGGTACATTAAGAAGAACCTGAAAAAGACTTACATGTTAATATTTTCTCATTTGTACATGCACACGTACATGCGTGCACAAACTCACATATTAAACATCCACACCGTAACACAGAGGAAGAACTCACATGTAATTGGCGAGGTTGTGTTCATCGAAAGTGTGGGTCTCAAAGCCATGTGGCGTTGTGTCAAAGTAGTCACTTCCAATGCCACATATGAAGCATTTTGTCTGCACAAAAATCAGTGATGAGAATTAAAGGCATGCTTTGTATACATTAGGTGAAAGCGTTAACTTAAAGTGTTAAACCATACCTCCATGTCTTCCTTGACCTGCTCCTGTTGGTCTCTGAGTTCTCCAAAGGCATCAATGATCAGACCTACGGTATTTTCACAGTAACATTATCATTAGAGGTGAATAAAATAAGTGACATACAGACATACCTTCAAATTTCTTTCTCCTTATTTATGAGTTCACTCCAGGATTAGTACCCAATGACATCACATTTGACAAAGTGTTTTTCCAGGGCAGCATTGTCTTTACCCTGAATAATAGCCAGCAGAATGACAATGACGAAGAAGAAGAAAGTGATATCAAAGACCACTCGATAAAGCTCGTATTCATCTCCAGCAGGATCCTCAATCTCATCTCCAATGCCTCCACCAGCACGCACACCCACATACATGTGGAACAGGTAACACTGTGGTGAAGAAAATACACATCATTTGGGAAGTGGTTCAGACATGAATGTGACAAATGCACTTTTCTTTTAGATCAACAGTGACTTACAGTCATCATGTCATCACATTTCATATCTGGTTCATCTTCATCCTCACTCTTGTTGTAAAACTTGCGGAAGAAATTGAAGGCGACCACAGTGTAAAGGTACACCACCACAGCCAGCAAGCCCACTGTCATCATGAGCTAGCAGAAACAAGGGGGAAACACAATTAGCACATTCAAACTGAAGCAAAACGAACACTTCTGGATTTCTTCCACACTTGCCTGTTTGCCATTGTGTGTGACTGAGGACAGGATAGTGCGCAGAGTCTTGACACCCATGGCAATATCCAGCAAGTGGCAGGCGAAGAAGAAGTTGTTGTAATGTCCAAGCAGAGACATTATCAGGTACCAACAGAGATAAAGGAAAGTCTACAAAGAGATAACAAGGAAGGTTATTTCACTTCACAGAGGCAAGGTCATTCACATGGGATAATATAGTACAGTATGATATAGTATGGTATAGTGTGGAATACACAATTAAATATGGGTCTGCTTACACCGTCTGTGAACACAACACCAAATTTCCAGATCTGGTACTTGATGTCAATGGAGGTCGCCCTAAAAAGAGACAATATTGGTTGATATCCATTTTAAATTATAGGTGTCAATTGCACATCTTTATTGTGCCATACCATGCAAAATTGTCTGGTTCTTCCTGTTTCCTCTCATGTTGCTGACTCACATCCAGGGAGGCTAAATCAACTCCCAGGAGTTCAGCGATTCTTTCTCTGCCATAAATGTCTCCATACTTATCCAGGACCTGGACACAGACATTACATTACATATAAATGTAATCTACAGAGCCCATTTGAAAACCACCAAAAATTGAAAACAACTCACCTTTCTTTTGACAAATTTATCCCAATAGTTGTTTGGGAACGAGCTGTGAAAAAAAGGACATCATTTATTAATGATACCTGTTGGTATTGGAAGTAGTTTTCTTGTGAATCAACTAAATCTTGACACCATTAAGAAGCATCTGTCAAGAAACATATGATTCCTTTATCCACATACGGTGTGTTGAGGACCAGTCGGTCCCACTGGCCCTTGATGTCATCATCCTCAGGCTGCTCAGTGATGTAGAGGCCGTCAAACTCCAGCTTTCTTGCAAGTTCTTTCTCCCTTTTAAAGATCACCAGTGGAATCTGACAAAAACAATTGTGAACACTGTTTAACTGAGGAATGTGACAGGCAGGTTTTAGAATCAGTTTGTGGTATAAGGCAGAACATGATTCAGAGCAACACTTCAAGAACAGTTTGTTTTTTTGGAAATGATCAAACATTTGACACTTTTGCCTCAAACGTTTAGAATATTATGAGGTTAAGTGTCAAATTTTACACACTAAATCAACTTTTTTTCACTACATGCCCATCATACCTTGAGGCAGTTGTATCCGATGATGCAGATGAATGAGATGACTGTGTGCAGGATGGCAAGGAAGGACAATGTGGGCTGCATGTAGCCCGTGCTCTCCTCTAAATAGAAATAAACTGGCACATCTTCTTCATCCTCATCCCCTTCACTCATCCCAGATCCCTCAGCTTCTTCCCCTGAACCTTCAAACAACCCAGAGCCCTCGAACATCCCGCTTCCCTCAGATAGTCCGGACCCTTCCATCTCCTCACCCTCAGGCGGGGTGTCAGACACCTAAACACCACAGAACAATGTAGAGAAAGAACAGCTTGGTACTTTATTTGACTGAACTTTAGACAGTTCACACATACGTATATAAGTATTTCCTTTTAATGCAAGCATGTAAAAACAAAAATATAAGACTATTGAGCACAGTACAAGTACAACACAATCATTCAAATGCAAAATAGTCATTTTACCCTGTAGAACAGCAGAATGAAGTTCAGGGCAAATGCAAGGAAAAGAGCCAAAAAACGCAGGTTGTAGAAGTTTCTGGAGAGGTAGTTCTACAGAAGAGAGTGAATATTTTTCAGCCGATTAGTGAGTTGGTAAGTGGAGAGTAACACTGAAATTATGCTAGAAAATCAATTCTGGAACAAATACTAGCAGCTCTGTCACCATAAATTTATTTCTTTGGGTTTCCAGCTCAGTCCAGATTTGAAAACCTCCTTCCCTTTTCAGCTTCTTTTCTTTTTTTGCCGCAGATTTCTTTGGTTCTTCTGGCCGTTCTTCCTCTTTGCTTTGGGATTCTTTCTCTGCTTTCTCTCCAGTTTCAACACTGAAAAACCAAACACAGCAGGTTTTAATTTCTGTATACCATCAACATCAAAATCAAAAAAGGCTGACACTGCTGCAGATGTGCAGCCCTTTGAATGTGCCATCTGTCTGTCTAAGTCTTTTCACATGCCCTCAATTCTGTACTGCATTGTAATACTCCTAGTGTGTTGTACATTATATACTGGTACTAATATTGATGGTGCTTTATTTTGGCAGTTAGCACAGGTAACACAAAGCTTCATAGAAATAATCCGAGGCATGTACCAAAGCTGTGAATTCAGATCATCACACCATCCCAAATTATTTGAGTAAAATATTCTTTTCTACACTATATAGTAGTCCTGGAAAAAAAAGTGTTTGTTATTTACAATCATGACAGAAAAGACAAATCTTGAGATCATATTAATGTAGAATCAAAACAGCATAAATTTTTCTTACTCAGCCTTTTCAGGCTCTGGAGGAGGCTCCTCAACAGGAACGGGTTCAGGTGGTTTCTGGCTAGCATCAGTCTCTTCAGGCGGCTGTAACGAAACAAAAACACACACAAAAGCCACCAAAACTTTAGGCTTCCTTTTTGACTATTTTTTTTTTTTGTTCCTTTAAATTTGATAAATATTTTGTACTCTGTCAATACACAGAATAGTGTGAACTTTTTTCTTTCTTTTTTACCTCTGAGGGACTGGATTGATAACTACCATGAGAATTAGCTAATAGTCAACATACATTTTTATTTACCTAAGCAAAAAAAAAAAAAAAAAAAAAAACTCACCACTTTTCTCTTTGTTATGGGAGTTCCTTCAGGAGTTGGGGGTTCAACAGGGGCCTCTACACCCATGTCTCCAAGTCCACCTGGAGCATCAACACCCGGTATCCTCCCACCCTCTTTTTCCTGGGTATCTTCCTCTTCCTCCTCCCCACTCCCAGTCTCTCCGGTGTCTGTTACTCCTCCAGTGTCTTGCTCTTCCCCTGTGCCTTGCTCCCCTGGTCCATCTCCATGCACATCATCTTGTGTGGGATCTGGCATGCTCGCTAAAATCTCAGTCACTGTGATATTTTTAGCTCCCTCCACTAAGCCACCTCCAAACAGTGTTTGCCAGATGATCATAAAGAAGCCTTTGCACACATTGTAAATGAAGTGTAGTATACCCATTAGGATGGTCCAGAAAAAAGTAGACAAAGCCACTACAATTTCCTTGAAGGTCATCTTTCTCACTCTGCGATATTGTCTGCGAAGGTTACGGAAGGTGAATATGCTGAAGAAGCTTAACATGCTGTTTATAAAGTCTGCAAAGGCAGAGCTTGATTCGGGCTGCCCTTCCTCTCCGTTACTTTCCTCATCACCTCCTCCACTTGCTCCCCCTCCTGCTCCCGCCTCACCTCCAACTTCATCTCCTTCGTCATCTTCCTCTCCCTTTTCCTCTTCCTCCTGCTCTGAAATTTGTGAGGCTATATTCATCTCAAAGATGGTGTCCTCACAGAAGTTGACAAACATTTCCATCTTCTCTGATTCACCGCCCTCATTAACAACATCAAAGATGAACTGTCGTTTGGACTCTCTGACCTGGGGCATCTCCCACTGTCTGCGGTTTACTTCACTGATTTCAAAGTAGATGCGCTCAATCTTTCTGCTGGCGCCCATTATTTCAATACGGCCCAGGAAGGGGCGGAAGTAGTTCAACACACTTTCTGCTTGCTCCAGGAAGTTCTGTAGCCTGGTGTCATGGGGGACATGCTCAGACAGGTTGGTGAGCAGCACTGCGATGTTGAAGCCGATGTCCTTGGCAGGTTCCTGGAAGCGACTGGCAAACTCCTCATAGTTGATCATGTCATTCTCATCTGCCTCTGAGCAGGACAAAAGAAACTGGATCTCAGAAGGGGAGTACTGTTTCTGACTGTCCATGGCCTTCTGGAAGTCCTTCTTGGAGATCAGTCCTCGCGGGTCCGTGACATAATCACGGAAAGCATCCGAAGCCACGATGTCTTTCAGTTTGAGGAACATGTCAAAGAACTTGAGGATCATCTCCACGTTGCTGGAGGACTCTACCAACATGTCAACCATCTGGCGGGCAATTGTACCATTTACCACGTTTCCTGAGTAATAAAAAGTAAAATTCAAACAGTGGTTTGAACAGGACAAGATGGGAAGAGATGAAAACTGTTGAGCACAAAACAACAGATAAAAACTTTTTACCCTCTAACAGTGAGAGCAACATAACAACCATGTCTTTCTGTAGGTCAAGAAGCTCCTTCAGCAAACCAATCTGGCTGGAGTCCTGTGACCATAAAAAGATGCACAAGATCTTACAGTAATGACAATAGATTATAAATCATTTTAGAATATTAGGGGTTCACATAGATTTAAAGAGATGCAATAGTCACTGGTGAAGTGGAAAACACAAGTGAAAATTGTCAATAGTTATCACACAAAATTATTTTTAACATACAGTGTAGTAACCCAAATACTTGTTATGATATGAGGTGTACATTCAGAATAATGTGTGGAAACACTCACATTCACAACAAAGAGGGTGCTGCAAAAAGAAGTTAATTAACAAACCCTCATGCTGAGAGACTTTCTCAAAACTTGGGAAACCTCGAATGTCAAAATGTAAACGTGACCAATCTCCTCCCACTTTACATAAATTCTGGTTTCAGCTTATGTTAGTTAGTCATACCTGTCTGAATACTGATTAAATCTTCATGACAGTGAGCATTAGATTTAATAGCTGAACCCATCAATAAAGGTTACATCAACAACACTGTTGTCTCTGACTGTGCAATGAAAAAGTCTATAGGTATTCACTGTAAACAAACACCATACCACCTGCTAATTCATTATTCCTTTATCCAGAGAAACAGGCACTCAGCTAATATTGTCTTCAGTAAAAACCAGAATACTTTTTGATGCCACTGGCCCAATCTAATTCTCTTCATATGGTCATATGACCACCTCTTCATATGCTTGGACATGCACAGCCGCATCCTAAATATGCCGTGGATTGCTATGAACCATTACAGAGTTTCAGTTGGACAATAAACTGGATTCCATGAAATACATACACTAATATTATATCAATGCTTAAATAGTGTTATAGCCAAAGCAACACGGAAGCCACAAAGCAGCACACCACAAATAAACAGCATAACTCCTTCAGGTTAATTATTAGTGGGAGCCAATGGCAACCGTATCGTAACCCCTGTTAAACATGTGCACACAAAGTGGATGACACATTAAAATGTATATTCCAACACCAAATAATCTCATATTAAAGTGTATACTCCAACAGTGGAGGTTAAAAGTCAGTCCCTCTCTCAGGATGTTTTGTCGTCACCTGCTTCTTTGTTATGAATTCACAGATTCAGCAAAAACTATGTTGGTTTTTAATTCACAACATTGTTAATTTTAAAATTCTTGGAGCTGTAAAGTAGCAATTGCTTAAGAAGGCAAGATGCTTTGTAGTAAGGAGAATATCACTGTGTCTGGAAATTAACATTCAGTATGTTATTCCTGTTGCCTAACTTGGTACAGTATGCATAAGGCCTCAAGGTTTTACTCAAGTGTTTAGAAAAAGATACATTGGCCTGACAATACTTGCACTTTGCAACCTTGTGATCATAATTTCATCCAAGTATTCACATAGGATCTCTTTGACAATAATTTCTCCATTTTGATTTGACATTTGTTTACAGTAATTTGGTGTAATTGGGATTCAACTACAGTAGTGTGTAACAGTCAGAGTGGGAAAAGGTTTGGGTCTAACAAAATACATTCTTTTACATTCTTCTCTTATTTCTGATTTGAGACATAAATGGATCTTTACCTGCTTTTTAAAAAATGCTGAACTTCTGTTTTTTACTCCTCAAATGGAAATCAAAAATAAAATTCAACATCACAATGAATTCCTGCTAAAAGGTAAAATAAGTAAGTGGTGGTTGTAAAATAAAAAGTAGTTTCATTCCCCAATGTATTTAAAAAGGTCATACATGTGGTTTACTGACAGGCTTGGTATATAAATATATACTTTATACATGCAAATCTTAGTTACTTTTACAAAATGATTTGTGTAGCTATTTCAAAAGAAGCCTTTCAACACACAACATCTCTCAAAAATACTACCAATTTTATGTATTTGATCAAATGAAAAAGACTTGTGTTGTGTTGTCTAAAAAAGGTGCTTAAGTATCTGCCTTTAAAAAGCTCAACTTCTACCTTGTGCTCAGATTTGTTTGGAAAGATGCTGAGCTTGACTCTAAAACAATTGTCAATGTCAAAATGAAAAACAGTGAACTCTGCAATCACAGCATGCAGACAGAACCATGGGCATAGCTAATCATTGCTTACATGAGCTGATGGCAACCACGACAGACAGCCCGTCACAATAAAACTTCCTTCCTGTAAACTGTTTAAATGGATGGATTGTACAAACACAGCTAATTTGCCAAAATGTAACTAATGCAATTAGCTGTTTGTACATCACTGACTGATTTAAAGGAGGAGGATTTGTGAACAGCTGTCTGCAGGGTAGATAGGTAGACCTGAAGGCCTGAATGTGAGACCATAGGATAGATGAATTTTGCAGTGCATTCAGTTACTACTAATGACAGTCAGCCATCACTGCCATCTTTGTTCTGATGACATAACATTGTGCTACATTTCAGAGACTTATTGTGAGTGTCCTTTTGCACCTGCATGTAGTTACTTGGCAAAAGGTTTCTGCTTGAGTAGCACCAACAGTGTTGATTCTGACTATATTCAGTTCAGTAGTAAATTCAGTCTGTTGCTAGCCCAACCTGTCATGTTCAGTTCAGTTCAAAAGTAGCTTATACAAGCACTGCACATAAGGTTAAAAGCTCAGTGGTCTATTCATTTGTGATCAACTTTTCAGATTATGATTGTTTCTATGGCTTTTGATAAAAGCTACTGACTCGGTCGGTGACAATGGTAAATCAGTATAGTCAGTTCAGTTTGAAACACCTCTAATTGACAATACAAATACCAATATGTATCATATTTCACTTTTTTGTTTGACTCTTCTACAATATACAAAGCCCTAATTAAGACCTTTCAAATCGGGTCAGTTCTTATTTCATCTTTAAAAACAGGTGGATATAAAACAACCTGATGAGGGAAACCAACACTGAATAAATTACAAACTAGTAAACACAATATCACATCAATAGATAAATAAAATGGATACATACTTTACCCTGCATTGACCATGTGGAAGACAGTTTAAATAATGAATAAATCATTCAGTTGTTAAACAATTAAACACATTCTTGCATTTTCAAATACTTTTGTGTATGACAAATAATTTCTTTCATTTCACAGTAAAACAATGTTTGGGCTAGTATCAATTTACACACTAAGGGCCCTATTTTAACTGTGTAAGTGCAACAACAAGCGCAAGGTGGTAGGTCTTAGGCGTACAGACTGTGTGGGCGATTTCAAGCACACCTGCTATGTTGGATCATGTACGTCCAGTGCAAAAGTGCTGGCTGAGGTGGCAATGTTGTGGTCACTCTTAGCCAGTCAACAATCACTGGTCTCATCACGATGCATGATGACAACAGCTCAACAACTGGATAGAGGTTCCTCCACGAAATCATTGTTATTGTCCAGATGGTGCAGAGTTCCCTTCAAAAGCCAGCACCCTCAGTTTTAAAGGCTTTTAAAACTGAGGGTGCAATACTTGCTTTTGCACCCTCAGTGCACCCTCACTCTGCAATGTTTTGCACCCTCAGTTGAGATTTGATTATATAATGGCACGCACAAGATTGGTAGGCACACAGACTGTGTGGCCGTCTCCATGCTATACCGAGTTATAACTGACCAATCAGATGTAGACGTGCAATGTGGTTATAGCGTAGCCTGCCGTCATTTTCAGGCAACTTAATTAAGGTAAACACAGTGGACAGTCATGCGTAATGGGAATGGCCGCACAATGCAGAAAGCGGTACAATTACTGTACGTCAGGAAAAAAACAGTGAAAATACTGTGAAATACTGCTTCAGGCAAGGTTTTTGTTTCTCAATAGTGCAATCTCTTTCTGCTGCCTCAAAATAGCAATCTGCCAACAATGTGCCTGACCACACCTCTTTTTAAAACCATTTACATTGGCTATTTATACAATGTGGGCGTTGGAGAGGAAAATGACAACATCTGTCTGAAACACACAAAGACACTTGCGTTGCGCTTGCCACCACTCTGCACTGGGTGTAAGATAGGGCCCACTGTAATCCAACATCTCCCACTTTAACAACTGAATACTGGGTCATAATGCACCAGCTTAATGTATGTAGCCTATCATATGGGGTTACTACTGTATGTAATGGCCTGGTGTCATTTGCATGTGATTTAATAAAGGTAAACAGTGGAAAGCCCTGAAATTACCGAACTGTCAGAGCACTGCTTGAGCTGGTCTTTACACCCTCTAAGAAAAAATGGCCCTGAATAATAAATCGCATTTTTTTTTTTTACAGTGTCGTGTAATTACAGTTTATTTTTTTGGAATTACACATTTAAAATATCCCCTGTTCACTGGTGTACCTTACCAAATATGATTACTGTAAAAACAGAACAGCCAATAATGGGTGAGAATATCAGGTCAAAAAGGGCAGCGCATGGGAAAGTAATTTTATGTTAAATGCATCATATGTGTTAGAGTATGCATAGCTGGGAACTTATAGAAGTATTTATGGCTTGGCTCTTAACTTAAATATATGATTATAGGGTTATGCATGCAAACACTTAACTAATAATAAAGGTGTGCTATTAGCTTCAGTCATCCACAGAGGATGACAGCACTATATAGAATGGAAAAGCCATGTGATTTCTCTCATTGACCATTCATTAAAGCTGCACCATATAATCTGATATCAATGTGATTCCACACTTTTGGTTTGTTAAATAATGAAATGACCTTAAAATGCAACTTATTATTTTCATAATTAATTACATATTTTTTAATCCACTAAAAGTAAATGTTATAAAACCGACTAGAGAAAATTATTTGATAATGTGTATCACATAAATGCATATTAAAGGCCTTAGACTTGTCATAGAAGGAAACGCACAGGTGATACTATTAACATTAGTAATGGCTCTGGTCTATTCAAGTGTCCCACTAAGCCATGACAGCGTGACAGCAAGTCAGCATGCACAATACCAGGACTCTGAAACTGAAGCAGCGAATTCGGCCATCATTAATCTTAAATTTTACACCTTTGATCTTCCTACTGTGACATGTCAAAATGTCTTCTGTGAAAAAGGCACAGATTCAGAAACAATGTGAAGAACCACGTTGAAACCAGCCCATACAGTAGGTACAAATAAATGGTGGAAATCCAAAGTGACTTTACTCTCTAAATCTAATATTCAGGCGTACTATATGCAGTGTATAAAGGCTACCTATTAAACAAAAGTTTGCAAGCATGTTTACCATTAGGCTTGTGACAACATGCAACATGTAAGGAGCTGCTGTATTGGTCACACTGTTGTATACTGTATAAACATATATATGTACCTAGTAGAGGTAAAGTCCACTGAAATCAACAGAAAGATATTCTTGAAGGCATGAAAATGATGGCGTGATTTAGTAAACTTAAACTATTGTAACAAAATGCACAATAAGTGCTGTTAACTCTAAATTTGACTCATGATAACCACAGAAAAACAGAAAATGAGCCTCAGTGCACAATTGAACTAACACTTGGCTCTAAAAAGCATCACACCTTTCATAGTTACCATCAATTTCTGTCATGGTCACTGAAAATAAAATATGTCATGAATTCAAAGTTGTATAACAGATTTATTCTGTCAATATTGATTATATAAGTGTAGATTTATGGTAAGGGAGCTCACTCCACACCTGAAGTTGCACAGAGGCAACACTGAGTTCGTGTGTCCTTAATTTTACATGTTTACAGCAATAAATATTGTTCATTTGGAAGGTATAATCAACTGATTGGTTTGTGCATACCTGTGCCAGCTTCATCATCATGTGGGCAAAGACATGAAGGAACCCCACAATAGCATCCCACAGCCTGCTGTGGGCCAAGGACTGCTGGTTGCCAGTGCATGGGCCCTAAAGAAAGAAACTGTGTGTTACACAAACATAACATATCAGCTAGGGTAAACGCCTGATATGTTCAAATTTTACCTGAATATATTCAGTTAGACTGTTGAAAATCTGTTTTGCCACTGTCATAGCTTTGGAGAAATTCTTTTTGCCTGGTTCATCGATGACATCCTTCCCAGAGTAATACCAGTAGAAATCACTGATAGACTCCTTCATTGAAAAAAGGGAGCGGTAAGTAGAATATTCCTGTACCATAAAAATAATTTATTTTTAAACAACTTTTTATCAGCATCAAAGGTCTAATTGCACATATGCATAAATCCCTTTTTAATCAATTTAAAATACTGCACACAAAATACTTACAGTGTTGCGATCATGTGACTCTGGATTTTTTGAATGACCAAATAAAAAGCCTTTGGGAACTATAAGATGACTTAAAATTCGTGGCAAAGTTGTATTGCAACGTTGAAAGTGCACAACCAATCAACCAGCTATGCATTCAATACCACATCCCAGTACAAATGTAGTTTTTGTGACAAAATAATCCCCAATATGTACTTTTCACTTCAAACTTTTTGTTTTATCTTTATTAATTTCACTCTTTAGGCTAAATTACTCTTAAGCAGCACCTGGAGTCGGAGGAGGTAATCTACAGTACAGATGATGACGTTGATGGTAGTTGTGCTGCCTGTCTGCGTCCGCAAGTAGTTCTGAAAATCTGTAGTGAAATAGAGATCATTTTGAAGTAGTAGTAAGAGTAGTAATGGCATTGGTTTGAATTTAATTGTAACTCTCATTTGAAACATAAGTCTTTCTCACCGTTATTGTGACCCTCACAAAGCAGCTGCAAGAAACGGAAGAGGTCACAGGTGAACTCATCATCTGACATCACTTTCTCATCTACAAAAAAAAAAAAAAAAAGAAAGAAATGAATGAAAGAGTTTACATTACATCCTAAAAGCGGGTTGAGATCAGACTAAGTACCATTATAAAAGGGCTTACTGGTAATTACTCAAAAAGTTTGCCTAAGCAGTGTGGATGGGAAATAATGAAATTTCTTGACTTACCATCATCTCTCAATGGATTTTAGTATCGGACATTGTAATAACCACTTGTGACTGAGTGTTGTGTTTTTACTATAAATTAAAGAATAAGTCACACTAAACTGTATCTATAATATTAATAGAAGAAATACAAATCTCTAAAATACAATCAAATGTCAAACAACAGGAGGCATCAGCATTACATGCATACGGTTAATGAACAAACAACTTGCAGTGAAAGATTAACACAGTAATAGACAAACACAATAACAGGTATACACTAAGTAGACAATAAAAATACACTGTTGTACAGAAAGAAAGACAACATTGAAGTTAAAACATTGCAGTACTTGGGGGTGAACTGGTCATCTGGAGTTTTGTTTTTTTTAGTGTGTCAGCCCAAAAATAAAATAAATCAATAAAACAGCACTATTTTGAAATCTTCTATAAAAATTGGGGCTGCATATGAACAATATTACTTGATACCAATTCACCACTGGCTGTAATGAATACACGCACAAAAACACAGACACACAGACACAGAATCATGCAGCACACACCAACTTTGCTCTACTGCAGCAGAGTTAAATGTCAGAGAGGTTGGGGCATTGTCCATCAAAATATCGAAGGGAATCCAGTGCTTGATATAGGACGTCAGAGAAAGGGTGTGTGCATTGTTTAGTCAAATCAAAATTACAGCTTGAGGAGCCACGTGACTGTTTAACCCTTAAAATGTAGGCGCTGTTCAAAATATCAGAATATTCTTTTTATTTTTTTTTGTTTGAAGAGGGTTAAAAAGTAATATTCTGAGATTTGTATGTACCAAGTCTTTTCAAACTTGATGCACATTAGTTATTGAGACTGCAGGTAAACGATGTTTGTAGTCATAATTAAAAATAAGAACAACCTCTCTATAAATGATGACTGAAAAATATGCAACACGTTATTAAGGTGAAATGAGGAGCTCCATCGCTATTCGTAAAAAAAATATTCTTCATTAAAGTTTTACTAGTTTTTCATGAGTAGAAAAGACCAGATTCCATTCATTGCCTTTTCAGATGAACAAGAAATGTGAGGAGGAACACGGGCTATGAACATGAAAGATGGACAGAGGCATCCAATCCTCTCTTGGCAGAATTTTTATGTTAGAAAAAGAAGTGATGGAGCAAGAGGGACAGGGGAGAGAAAGAGGAATAAGAGGAACAGAGACGCAGATGGACAGAAACATGATTTACCCCGATCTAGGTTCAAGTCTGAGGACCATGAAAGAAGGGACAAGGGAGAGGTGGCAGTGATCGTGGGGAAGGGAGAGAGGATCAGTGTGTTGACAACAGTAGAGGACTAAGAGATGAGGAGGGGGAGATTAACAACATTCCATGGCAAATTCATTCAGGTAGAATTTCAAATGAACCTCCAGAATTAGATGAAAAAAGTTGGTAAAACAGTCGGTGAAGCCCAATCAACAAGTCAAACTACTAGACATACTATGGACAGAAAACTGAACTAATTTAAGTTAAATAAAGAAAATCCTTTCATTTAATTCTTTTACAGTCACCCAAGTGTTAATAATATTTCATGTTAGGAAACTAATCATTCAACTAAATTAAAATTTGTGCAGTAAATGCTACAGATGGAAAAATTTAGAGAAGGATGAATTAACAAATGGAGAATCAGAATGTTGTAAATTTATTTATTAATTCATGTCTTCTTTTGACTGATTAATTTATTTGCTATGTTAATGCTGATGAGGTAAATACCTTATTTACAGTAATTAACACAAACATCTCACTAAACAGAGTTGTCTGCTCCATAATTACTCCTCCAAAATATATATGTTGTTAGTCAAAAATATGAAATGGCCCGTGTTTTTGGCACAGGATGTGCCTCTAATCTTCAATGCACACAAATAACCTATTTGGGATTTTTGGGATGTATCAGGTATTCAAGTCAAGTAAAGACACCCAGACCTCTTGCACACAAAGAACCTATTTTTCAACCATACCAAAAAAGTTTTGTTTTGGCATACTTCCTGTGCACAGTTGCCAATCCTATTCCTGTTGCACTAATACATGATAAGAAATTGTAAAATATAATTATAAGATCTGCTTAAATTGTTTTAGGTCATCAGTACAGATGATGAAGGGCTGTACTATGATGTTAAATGTTGTCCATGTTAGCAAATGTTCACAGGAGTGCTGCTGCCATTATTTGTGCTGCTGTACAATGAATAATGATATCATTTGGTAGTCACTTATTTTTGAGTTGTTGAATTGTCTCTGCGTATAATTTCGATTCTTTCTATTGTGTTTATAATTTCTATTCTTTCCTCATTCAGACAAAATGTGTGTCATCTTCACTTGGCTGGTGATTGTTTGTGTTATTGTGTAATGAGATGGGTGAGGTAAGTGTGTTCAACAACATAATCTGCACCTTCGAACAATGCAGATAATCTATGACATGACAATGGCTGTGGTGTGAAGTTTTTCCTGCTGCATGTTAGGCCCTATAAGGTTTGAAAAAGTTGTGCTGAATAAAAGAGCATGGAGACTTACTGGTGCCCTCCTCTGAAACCATGCCCAGACCCTCAGCCTTGTTCTGCCTCTCAAAGGCATTTAGATCCAGGACACTGCAGAGAACATAAACCCATTTTTAAATGTGCAAACCCCACCATTGTAAATGTAAACAGCTAAGTTACTTTTCACTGATTGAAAACTTACCAGCATGTCTGCATCAATGCTTGGACACTCAAAAAGAAGCCCACATCCTTCTTGTCCTTCAGGTACTCCAGCATTTTCTGACAGAAAAGAAGGGGTAATCCATAAAGGTGCTATTTTAAAGGTACCTTTAAATTCCAAATTACATAATCTAAAATGTTTGTTACAGAATACATACCTGTTGAACCTCACAGTTTCCACCATTAAGGATAGAGATACCCAGCTTGAGGGTTGTAGACACCATTGGGCCAGTCTCACCTACAGGAAAACAAGACAAACTCATAAACTTGGCAAGAGCAAACTGAACAAACTGCAGACAAGATAAGGAGCTAGACTACCTTTGCAGGCACTGATCATTTGCAGGACCATCTCTGCAGCACCACGATTATGAAGTCTGGACTGCTGGTACAGGAGCCTTTGTTTCTCCATTTCTTTTTCCTGTGGTTGACACAAATATTATGAGCATCTGGTACTTTTTACTTATATTTCACAGAGAGAATTTAAATAGATAGAATGGACTCTTCAGGGTCAGGATTAGAAATACATCAGCTGTGATGTAAATGAAATAAAAAAGTTGTTTATTCAAAAGGTTGTCCTTTCTATCCATTCATATTCTCAATTTCAGTTCACATTCACTCTCCTTTCACTCAAGTCCCTAACTTTTCACCTATTTACTGTCTAACCAACTTACCATGTTTTTCTCAAATGGTCCATAACAGTAGCATTGTGCTTCTACACATAAAGGGATCTTTACAGGAAAATATGAATTGCGTATGAAAAAAATTACCTAAAACTATTTATAAATTGTAAAATAAAATGTCACATCATGCTTTTTCCTCTGAAACTGTTGCCTTTTTACAAGCATTTGCATTATGGGTTGTTAATGTCCATTTAAAGTACCTGTCTGACTCACACACTCTGTCATCCAACTTTATTAGTCATGGAGTTGTTATACTACTTCCTCACGTTTGCTGGCTGGAGCAAGCGTTAGACTACAGGAAACAGCCCCAATGGCTTAGTATTTTAGCCTTATAGCTTACCAAAGTGTCTTTATTGCAGTAACCCTGCAAATAAGATACTTTGGACAAAAGCTGTATTCCCTCTGTATCGGAGATATTTCTTTGGCATTTCACAGTAGTGTGCCTTTGCTTTAACAAATGGATTCAAAAATTAATGCAAAATTTAAAAAAAAAACCCAAAACATTGCTGTGGCTCTAAATGGCCTTTAATTGCTACCTGTGCTAATGCACAATACTTAATTCATATTGGTGAGCCAACTGGGAATAAAATGCCATTTATAGAACAAATGGCTCTCAAATGAATATCTCTGAATTCAGAGAACAAATTGACATTCTTCTGTTCAGCCACATCACAAATCAACTTGTAGCATCCCACATCCTGACCCTAAAAACACCAACCCCCCCTCCCCTCCCTCCCTCCTCCCCATGCCCAACCCCCCTCCCACCCACCCACGTATGCCTGACACTATGTGTCGTGCAGTTGGACCTCAAACTTGCACTGCAGTCTCTGACTATCTGATGAAACCTGATTATGAACTATGTACTATATGATGCATGTGAATTGGCTGTGTGTATGAATATATAGCCTTTAACGTTGCATGTTCTACACTGGCTTTCACTGTAGTCTGTCAGTATGCTATGTGAGTGGGGGAAGGGAACATTGATCAGTAGCATGCAGTTAGTAGAGAGTGGTGTTATGAAGGTGAGAGGGATTACATGGAACAATGGCAAAAGAAAGAAACAGAGAGACAGACAAATGGGACAGCCATATAAACTGGGAGGAATGACATCACTAGTAAATGAGTTTGTGTTAAATCACATCCACAATCATTAACGGAAGAGAACGCAATTCAAATGGCATTTAATAACACCTCCACTATCGTCATTTGTACAGTCTTTTGTCATGTTTAACTCTTCAATGGTTCAGCTCCAGATGCTTCTAACAGTAAAGTCAGCACTGAGTGTATCAATGAGAACAGTGTCTGAGAGTCATAAACTTGACACAAGGAATGTAGTCAAGGCGTGCACACTGGCAGATGGTGCTGCTTTTCAAAGCAAACCATAAAGTATAAAAAGCCCTGCTAGCCAACTCCATTTCTATGAGCTGCACATGGTAAAACTAGAGGAATGGACAGTTTGGTAAACCATAACAAGAAACCTTAGAGCTACATTATTCTTACACGTTGCCTGATTTTCCTGACTTCATCCAAAGTGGTTTGCACAGTCCATCCAAGCTGAGTTGATAACTGATCTAAAATAGTAAATTATTGTTAATGTCATGAATATTAGTTTGTTTATCATTATTGTTATCGTTGATGTTAACTTTACATTAATTGAATTTAATCTAATTAGACCCAATCCAGATTCAAGGCACAAAAAGGTGTAAACAAGACCAGCAAGTCTCTTGAAACAGTAAATGGTGCATTACTGGAGTACAATAACTTTCTGTCTCAAGTTGTTTTGGAATTTTAAAAAAGATCATACACATTGTAATACAGTGAAAAAAACATCTGGATTGGAGCTTTGAGTTTCTAAATCACAATGAATGAAGTACAATATATAAACAGAAGAGACAGAGACAGAACAGACGGGGGTAACGAGACAAAACAAAGATAGAGAGAGAGAGATGTGGTTGTGAAATAATGTTCTGATGATGAGGTCACTCAATGCGTCGAGAGCTACCGCTCCTCTGTGTTCCTGGTCCCCAGCCCCTGGCCGCCCATTACCAGTTCTGACTGTCGCACCTCAAAGGACATCTCATCCTCAGCATTTTCCCCCATTTCCTCTCCTCCTTCTTCTTCCTCACCAATATGGCAACTCTAAATACATGGAGAGATAAAGAAAAATACTATGAGTATTTCAAAGTACTTTATGCACACATCAAACCTCAACTCATAGCCAAACCCTCTAAATGACTCACCTTTGCCATAATATCTGCATAAGCCATATAGAGATGATCTGTATCAAGTTTACTGAAATGGGGACAAGAGAAGACAACTGGTTAACTCGGAATAACACATCTCCCTGTGTTTATACCTCATTTCGACATTTTAGTGTCATTTTACGGTATCAGCGAGGTCCTATCTAACCTCTTTTCTGTTAGAGCGGTGCGACTGAAATGTAAAATAAGCTGGTGGAGGGGATCTGGCTTTGTTTCTCTCTCCTCCTCCTCATCTCCTTCCTCTTGCTCCATTGCTTTCTGGGATGCACAGGGAGAGGAAGGGTGAGGAACGGCACAGAAAAAATAAAACAATTCTAAATGAAACAGAGATGAGATGCCACTCACAGATAAGTCATCTATCATCCTGTCTTCAAATGAGTAACCCTCAGAGTGAAGCCAGTTGCGTTTGTATCCCTCAAGGAACATATTTGAAGCTCTGTGCCTGCAATTCAAAAAAACAAAACAATATAAAACCTTTTTATACATCTCCCATAATTTTTTGATGAACTTCCCATACTGTACAGCTCTGACAGAGACGTAGCTTTCTTACCTTGGAATGTTGTATAGTGGTGTCATCCTAAAGCAAGCGACCACAGCCCTGCGTCTCTGCTTGGACAACAGTTTGTGCCACACCATCTTCTTGGATTTAAACGGGTGCTCCGTCTATACCAGAGAAGGTAGACAATTGGCAAAGTGGCCAAAAGAGGTCCTATGGTAACTTTTTATGTACAGCAGGAAGTCATTGTTCATTTTTCTTACTGATTTCCTTCATAGCTATTACAACACGCATCACAAAATTTGTTATAAAGACAAACTGAAACAAATGAAAAAGGAGAAACAAAAAAAACAAAAACAAAATCATTCTAGACAAAAAAAAAAAACAAACAACAATAAATGAAAACCCTCCCCTGACTGTAGTTTTGTGGTCACATCTCTGTGCTGGAGACACAGTATGCATCTGCTCCAGTTAATGTGGTTGACAAGATCCACTCACCACTTCAAGGTGGTAGAGGACAGCAGAAACCTCCTGGACTCTCTTGACAACTTTCACAGGAGCGTCGGCATCTTCAGCCTTCCCTGCCATCTCCTTGTACAGGGCCATCTGCCAGCGCATGGACGGGTTGTCCACCTTTCCATAACACAAAGACACAGAGAGCTTTCCGAAATGTATTGTGACTGATTATCTGCTATCTCAAACCTGATTCATTGGAAATAAATAGAACATTGTTGGACTAACAATCCAGGAATTATACCTTCCCCTGAAGATGAAGGTTGTTCTGCAGGAACTCTCTTACTTCTTCATCAGTGTCTCTCTGTAAAGTAAAAAGTTTTATCATTGTCCTCCTAAGTCCCTAATGGTTTTGGAGGCAAAACTGTTACGGAGCGTTCACTGTATTACAGTGCTTAACTGGATACAAATCGTTTACCACAATCTAATTCAAGGTCAGAAATAAACTACCAAAGAGTATCGGATCTTGGCCAGGTTGATAAGCTCCTGATCGGCGGGAGAGCACATGTTGAGGCCTATGGGGAGCATCTTTTTCAAGGCAGCCACAATAAGTGAAGTCTGCACAGAGTAACGATCTCCCCGTCTCTTCTTCTTGGTGCGTTCGGCATCCGAGCCTCCACCCTGAGAAAACAGACAATAAACCAAAAAGCATTCACAGTTTCTCATAGAATGCCAGAGGTACGGCACCCCAGTTAAAACTGCTTTGAATCAAACATATTACAGCTCTGATTCAATCCCAGGCAATCACTTTTATGGATATGAGCCCACATTATTAGTAATTAACAATTTTTTACTATAATGCTAAGAATGACTGTGACACCACTAGAGCACAAATGCAACAGATTTTATATATACTGTATGCTATCATACATCACAAAAGTAAATATAAAATAAATTTGTCAGCACAGTCTGCATTCATTACATGTCATGACAAATCTATCATTCTTTTAATACTAACTACTGAACATCATCCTACCTTTTAATAATGACTGAAATATAACTAAACAGTGCAGCAAGCTGTTTATTAACCAATAGCAGTGGATCTCTCTCTCCATGTACAATTACCCAGCTACATTCACTGGGTGTTCGTATGAAACATGTTACTGTCAACAATGTGTAAATAAACAGTCTCTGTATTTGAATGTCTACATCCTGTGATTCCCCAAATATAAACATCATTGTTTCTCTGAGCTCAGACTGGTAAGTAGAGGGTATAGTGAAAATGTGAGGGCAAAGTGGGGATATAGCTGGCTTTGGGAATGGGAAGCTGAAAGAATGGGTCTTATAAGAAGGTAAATCAGTGAAATTGCATTTACAAAACATGCAAAAGAAACCAAGTTTTATGCAACCCATTCAGCATTCCATGAATAGGATAAATAACTAAAACAAACTTGAGTTTTTTCTCTAATAGAAAATTAAATTTTGTAATGACAGCAGCACCTGGTGAAACATTAAAATATTAGAAGAAGTTATGGAACAAAACTCTTGAAATTAGGGTGAGACTTATTAGTGGCAGGCTGTTAAAATCACACAACTACTGTAAAACAAACTGTCTATGGGATACGTCCCTGAACTCCTGCTCTGTCACTGTAAGAGTTCAGTCCTTCTGCTCTTTCTGGAGTCCTCCAAGATGTGCAAATGTTTGTGTCAGCATAAAATATGTAAATGCATTTTGTAATATGAATGTTTAGTCTATGATCTGCATGCTCTATGAATAGGTCAAAGGGTATTTCGATTTGAGCCATAGTGTGGATAACAAGATCACACCGTAACCTCACAGAGAAGTGTAGGATGAAAAGTTACTGGGCAACTATGATAGATACAGATATTACTCAGTACCCCTCAGATATTACACATGTTGATGCTACTAGAGGCACTTAATATGTTCACTAACTTTTATATATTCCAAAGTTAGTTTTTGGGTTTTGTATACAGTGGCTCTGATGTGTAAACCCTTAGTGACTACATTTTACAGGTCTGTTCATCATTTGCAGACAAATTCAGACACATATACATTAAGGCTGGAATGGAAAAATAAAAGGGTAAACACCAATTTCTGGCTCTCTAATCAATCTTTTCATTATAGGTGTTTGTTGGGGTGTCACTATTAAATCAATCCTAGAGGCCCTACGCCTCGCACGCTCAAGTTCAATAGTGAACACTATCATTGCATTATGTACTAATGCAGCCACTGCTTCTGCTTCAATTCAGAGCCAGATGCAAGTGTGTTATGGAGGTCTAGTTTAGAGGAAACAGGGTGCAAAGCATTGTGGGGAATATTTTAGCTAGTAAGTTTGAATTAATGTAATGGTTAGGTTCATGGTCATTTTGAGCACATTCTAAAGAGGGAACCCAACAAACGCTTCAAGAAATCTGCTTCAGTGACATTAAACATCAAGTCACGTGTTAGTGTGGATACTAGGGAGTGGAAAGGAAACTAAACCATGATGTGCCATGGCATTTCCAGGGAGGAGAGAAGAAAGAGCACAGAGAAGACTAACATCATCCCCTAGTGGCAAAAAGCTGCATTACAAAAGCTAGATGTCAACCATCCTTCAACGAAAAGAAACAAAAGACATACTAGAAGATTCCAACTCAACTATGATCAAAAAAAAAAAGGGAAAACTCAGTGACAGGATGATGGCACTGTGCTCTCACTGCCACCTTGGGCTTGGTGTAAAGCCCAGTGCCATGAGCCCAACTCTACAGCTGAGTACTTTCATCAAGCGCCTCGAGACTCCCCCCCTAACACACTGGCAGGACTGAGCACAGCCCACAGATGGGATCTGCCCTTTTGTCCAATGATCCTTTATGAGAATAATGTGAGTGTGTACAGTTTGTGTAGATATAAACCAGTGGGTTTGTATAAGGCTGTGTGTCAACGTACACGTACAGAAGCTTGTTGGTGTATAGCAATACTAATGACAGTGTAAGTGGAGCCAAACTCCATCTGTTGCTCCTTTGAAGACACTTCTGGCAAGGATTTTAATATTCTAAAAATATAACTAACATATCAACATATTTATAGCAATGACAAATTCTCAACTAAGTTTTGTTCCACTCATAATAGACTGCAAGTATTCATGACTAAGCAGGCACAGCTGCATGTACAGAAAAAGCATCTGTCACTGGCACTGATTTAGTTATCCCGGGTCATGTTGCTCTGAATGGAATGTGCATGTCTTTGTGTGTGTCTGTGCGCATGAGTGAGTAAGTGTGTATGTTTGTGAGTGTGTGGGGATCAGATGTGCCAGTGTGTTGGAGAGGTTGATGAAAAGCTCCCCCAAAGTGAGGTGCCATGCGGTCAGCACAGCGGTCGTGCAGGAACAAAGTCTAACCTCTGAGTCCCCGCCCTGGAAACCCAGCCGCAACCCAAAAGAAGAGGACAAGGGACAGCCAAAGAGAGAATATTGTTAACACAACTGCTATCGTTCTCAAAATTGCGAATTAAAATTAAACCTCCAAAAATCACAGCAGAAATCATTATGTTTAACCAAGCCCAATACACAAAAATATTTTAAAAAAGGAACAAACACAAAATTAGAGACTTTGAAATGCTGTACCTGGGAAAGATGGTGCATAATGGCCTTTCTGTCTTAGATTGCTTTGATGGATTATAATCAGTGATACAGTATTTAGAATTTCATAAAGTCATTCTAAGATTAATACAGACTTTAATAAATTACCATTTATAAATAGCTGAAAATGGTTGGTAAAGTAACAACATACTAAAATCATGACCAAAAAAATGACGGAGCAAACAAAGGAACAGCTGTTTTACAATATGCCTGCATTAAGATCCTTAAGTTTTTTCTTTTTTTTATCTTTATCAGCTGCCTGATTTGAGATCTAGCACTAAACCAACCTCCCTGCGGCGCTGGCTCCGTCTTTCATGAACTCACCTTGCTCATTTTGCTCTTGCTGTCAGCGGTGAGGAATGACATGTTATTGATCTCATTCATCACCACAAAGTTCTGTTCCTCTCGCTTGAAGTTCTACGACGGACAGATAAATGGAAAACATAGTAAATAATGTGAGCTGCTCCAAATGGCTGCATTTAAAGGCCAAATGAAGATACTCACATGAGATTTGGACCAGAAAATAAAGACTTCTCCGACCATTCGAAAGAGCTCTTCCGCATCTGGGTCTGGGCATGTCAGCCACCTTGCCCTGTAGCAGAGCAAATTACTTTAAGGCGCCCCAAAGTCACAACAAGTTTGGTTAATGAACAATATATGGAAAGTTAGGTGCTCTATGTTCCAAGCAGAATTTATAGTTCAAAGCTTGTTGGTGGGTATAACTTCATTATACCTGTTGTTGTCCACATAGCGAATAAGCAGAGGGTAGAGGGCATACAAGTCTCTGCAGAGGACAGCAAACTCATCACGTATAGTGCCGTCTTCTTCATCTCCCTCTGATTTCCCCTCCATCCGCAAATGGTCCTCTTCAGCCACCACCTTGGAGGTGCGTTTCTTCAGCTTCTCCATTGTTGGGATGAAGTGGGACTTGAGCATTTCTGGCTTTGCCCTGCTGACAATGGGCTGTGAAAACACTAGGAAAGAAAACAAACGCAGTCATCTCACTTGTTCAAAAACTCACTCAGGTGTACGCACTGACACATTAATAGAGTTCAAAATGGTGCTCACCAGCCAACCTCTTCATCCAGGAGGCCTCATCAATACCCAAGTTATTAACTACAATTTTCATGATGCTGCCCAGCAGCTGATTAAGGTGTTCTGATGTGACCTCAGTGCAAAGCCGGCCCTCCATCTCAGGGAAGTTTTCAAGTCCTCTCTCCCACCAGCGAGGCAGGTAGTTACACAGCATGGGCAGAGTGATTTCAATCACATGAGGCATTTCAGTATAACGAGCCCCTGACTCTGCCAAGTCCCCAATCTCCTTCAGCAGAGCATCCAGCTCTGGGATGTCTGGACATAATTCCTGGACCTCATTGGGAAGGCCCAAGACTGTGGCATTCATAAGAGAAGTAGTGAATGAAAGAACATTCTGAAACAAGACTTTTTTTTAGACAGAAAACAAATCTGAGAAAAAGGGTATTGCACTCACTGGCTCTCTCTCTGGGGGTCTTTGTGGTGTAGACAGAGAAAGCGTTGAATTCATTAAGAAGGGGTTCTAAGTAAGCCACTGGCATAGCTGCTGCGAGGTGAGCCAAACACTCTCCAAGAGCTGGTCTCTGCCTGTAAGTGTAAAAGACAAGTGAGGAAAATGCTACCAAGTTACTTAACAGATTGTACTGAATGCAGATGTGGATGTTACCTCTCAACATGTGGATTCTTGACAGTCCCTAAGGAGTAGATGCTGCACATGATGCGATAACATGACATCTGCAGGTCGTCCACTGTATTCCACCGGCAGAGACAGGTACAGTAGTGTCAGGATAAATCAAAAAATAAACACCACGTGAAATCAGAAATAGCACTGACGGGAAAACACTTACGCATGACGTCATCTCCAAACTGGTGCTGAGCGATGTGATCAAACAGGGAGGTAAGCACTGGGAGCAGGGCAATGGTAGTGTAGTTAATGTTCTGGGACACGCCTTTAACTTGCTTTAAAGGAGAGAAGCAGAACACGGTCATGGACTCAGGATATATAAGGTCCAGTGTTTATCAGATCAGAAATAGAAATATGTTCAAGGCCAGTTCAAATCCTGTGCCTTTTCTCTCACCTGATTGCCCTTGGATACTTTGCCTAGTTTGAGGTTCTCTACCATCTTCTCTATATCATCAGCAGCGCTTTCAAAGAACGACCGCAGCCCTGCTTTCACAATCTCAGGCCCCGACTTCATCACTGTCCTAATAAAGTAAATAAGAAAAATTATGATCAAAAACTTAACAAAAACATATTTATCATAATGGTGTTATGCGTGTTGTAAGAAAATTAAAAATACTAAACCTTGCATCCAATGACCGTGCCAGAATGTGAAGACAGTTAACAATTGCTGAAGCATCCGTTCCTGCACATACAAAAACAGCTCTGCTGTTATGATGTCTTTTATAGAATCCAGATCACCACATACTGTACACGCATATACAACTAGAGCAACTGCACTTGCTCTAGCCTGGATGACTGAAAAATAAATTACAGCCAACAAAATGCAGCATGAAAGAGAAACATGAAAAAGAGTGACAAGATTCAGAAAGATTGACGCTGAGAAACTGACATCTTACCAAAGAGAGAAACTCTGTGTCTCACCAGAGCGGACATTTTACAGAAGATACTATGATGAGAAGGAAAGGAAAAGGAAGGAAAGGAAAATGCGGGAAAAAATAAATGCTGATAAAAGGGGGAAAGTGATATATGAAAAGAATACATAACAGAACATTTCTGTGTTGTTATTTCTATATAAGAGAGAGATCACCTTGCAATCATCTCTTTCTCCTTATTGGAAGAATGGCCACCACTACCCAGAACTTTTGCAGGTGTTGACAAGAAGTAGAGGCAGTGGTTTTTGAAATACTGGTTGATTAGAGGCATCAAGATCTGAGAAAGAGAGAGAGTTTCAGAGATAGTGAGTTTTCACAGTACAGCAACAAGGACAAGTTGGGTCTTTAAAATTGTGCCAACATTAGCTTAAAACAACAGTTTCACCTTGGCAAAGAATTTGATTTCCTGTTCATGAGGAGACTTTTCCACTCGTCCACTGCTCACAACAGCCTCTGTGAAACACATAGTAAAATATAATGATATTGCAATAACACTGGCGATCAAGATCTACTTTAAGTTGCACCAATAAAGATCTCTCAGATGTTACAGTATCTGTTGTTCATTCTTGCCCCACAGTACCAAGATGAGCGATGAACTCCTGGGCAATTTCCATCCATTTCAACAGCTTCTGCAGGAAACCATAAGCAAATCTCTTCTCAATGGAAGAGATGTCAGACTCCATGTCTTTCAGGCCCCTAAAGTGAAACAGACTTTAACTCTTTGTCCTTTTTTAACAAAAGAGAATATGTAGTACATCTTAAAACATAATTTCAAGAGGAAACTTTCAAACCATAATGTAAGTTCAATACTGGTTCCCTTACAGGCAAAGAATCTATGATCATACAGAACATAACAGAAACATTAATTACTACCTAAAACTAAAAAATAGGATGCTTGCTGTTTCTGTTTTTCTGTCTTGTTCTTTAAGTATTTTTGTAATTTGCTTGGGAAACATACTACAGTCAACAGGAAATATGTTAGAAAATAACTTTTAATAGAATGAAACAAACACAATCCCCTGCTGGATGTCGTAGAGAAATTGTTCTCTTGCATTTTACCTTGTGACAGCGTATCCATTCAGCTGCAGGAACTTGAGCAGCTCATAAGCCTTCTCTCTATCTCGTGCCTTTTCTTTTGCTGTCAGAGTATCATAGGGCACCAGTAGAGGATGTGTTCCACCTCCTACACAAACAACACAATCAAAACTCTTGAAGAAAAAAACAAATATCACATTTTCCATATGTTTAAGTTCCCTCCGCTAAAATAAAATCTTACCTTTGGACTGAAGCTCCAACTTTTTCTTCCGTCCCCATGTGTTGTGGTAATTTTCTGCCAGTTGTTCTGCCATAGACTGTGAACAGATATGAACTCTGATTACTGATCAGATGCTAAGATTATAGCACGTATGCTTCAAACACTTACTGCCGTACCTGCAGGTCTCTTGAAAGAGCCATGTGTGAGATATCAATGGGCTGTGGACTGTAGCCATGGCTTGGGTCATAGGTTGCCTAGAACAGAGAGAGGTATCATTATAAACACTGCTGGAATAGCAGTAATATTTGTACATTCATCCAACTGCTCTTTACCTGAGCAGTCTGTGAGATTTTTCGTGCTGCCACTTTCTTCTTCTCTGACTCTTCTTCCTCTCTGGCTTTATCTAGGTTCCACTCCCATGCAAGCATGGCTTTGATTGACTCTTTGATCGGCCAACGGTAGATCTCTTTGTCCTGCCAGAAGGATGTAAATCAGAGTGATCAGAAGCAGAGACAGATGAAGCAAAAGCGCTGGAGGATTAACTGCACAGTGTGACAGGGAACCTACCTTCTCTGAGAAGGTCTTGTACGGTCTCAGCATCGGATGAGTTTTTGCATTTTCATCCAGCACCTCACCATATGACCAGTTATTCTGAATCTGAAACATACATGCATACACAATATGTATTACAGCTGTTTTCTTCATGCTTGCAAATATAATGGCTTCCTTCTTACTTGCAGTAAGTATAAATTCATTTGGAACTTTAATTCATTTTTTAACTTTCTAGCATATAAAGTAAAGCTGTCCTGATCAAACTAACCAAATATGTTGCTCCTGAAGAACAGTATCAGACTATTGTAAGTGATAACAGCAGGTGAAAATAAAAGGTCTACCTTTTCAAAGGCCCATTTATCATGTGTATATTCAGCATATTTGTTGATAAAGGGATCCAGTCTCTCAGGGATGATAGTGCTGTGGATGGAGGAAGGATCAGAGTACATGTGGCTTTAATTATTGTACAGAGAGATAATTTATGTCTTGAAAGGCATAATGACAAAAACCCTCTCACTTTGTGGTCTCTACTGGTTTAGGATCAAAGTTTCCCTCTGCATCCACTGATGCCTTTTTCTCTGTTTTGGAGGAGTAGCTGGCATCTACATAGTCGGGAGGAATGGCTCCAGCAATGGAGCAGATGCACGGCATTGAAATTTTGAAAATCTCAGCATCGAATTTCTGGAATCACAATAACAAGGTTTTACAATATGTCCATACACCATCTATTATCTGGAACAAGAAAAATCTCATATAGCAGGAGTTGCACCTTGTGTGCAAGTGATTCAAAGATCCCCCAAAACAGTTTTCGAGTGAGATGCAGCTCCTCTTCTGATGCGACTCCAAAGTTGGCCCAACCATTGGGGAGGCAATAATATTTCCAACAACGCTCATAATGATTGGTCAAAAGCTGCAGGACAACAAAAATATAAAAGTGAAAAGTGAAAAAATTAATAGCAGAAGAACATGAAATTACAGGGAAATAATGGTTTTAATAGTTTAAAGTTCATCATACCTTCAAAGGCATTTTGGCATACTCATTGAGAATGGGTACGTCGAACACCAGCCGTCTGAGCAGGTGCTGAAGCATGGATGGACGTAGATGTCTGAAAAAAAGATAAACAAAGTTAACTTCCACTGTGAACCATGCAATATTAATTGACATGAAAGGTTTGCCATGATATTAAACTCACTTGCACAAAGCCATGAGGCACTCTTCAATGATGTCTCTTTGGGCCTTCGTGAAGGCTCGTCCACGAGACAGCCGGTAGATTGTGTGCAACATGGAGTCGATCATTATGGCTCGGTGGTCACTGCCAGCAAAGAGTGGGGCACACTTGGTGATGAGTGGCAACACAGCAGAACACAGGTAGCGGTTCAAAGCGAGGGCCATCTCTGTGGTGCTGAAGTTAACCTGCGGTGAATTAAGCCCAACAGTACGATTATAATCTTGCTCTCCACCCCAAGGACCTTATACAATACGACTGTTTGATTGATTGAGGCTCACCGTGTCCAGAGAGGCAGCAGCCCTCATGTCAGGCAGAAAGCCTACTTCCAGCACATGGAGCAGGAAATCCTGGTTGTCAATACCATACACTCTGTCCAGGAACAGCACCATAGGAGCCTTGTGATCTGGCACAAAACTGGCTGACATCTTTGGCTCTATGATGCTGTTGTCTAAGCACGAAGTGGGAAAAAACATTTTGGAAAACGATTATTAACAACATGTCAAGTTGGACAGAAGTGATCTGATGGTATGACAAAGCTTTCAGCATCCGGCTGTATACTGGTAACAGTACACGTTGTTAAACCTTGAATAAGCACTGTGTTGATTAAATGAATAAACACTGATTAAAGAAACCAATACAATATGGTCTCTCAAGTGTTTACCTTTTCCAAAAGAAGGTATCTGAACAGGAAGGCTGATGACTCCCACCAGATCCTCAATAGGGACCAGAGACCGCAGAATGGCCCTGATCCTCAGAGCCTCTCCCTTACCAGCCTGGATCAACTGTTGAGACAAAAGCTCAGATTTTCTATAAAGACATTTTCAATAAGATTTCCTATTCTTGTATCTGTTCTTTGTTTCTAGTCCAGTATGGTAACTTACGTGCATCTCAGGAGCACAGCGTCCCAGCAAGTCAATAAGGGCAGAATAGAAAGACATGATAGCATTTCCAAGGTGCACCCTGTTCTCCTCATGCTGCTCCTCTCCTCCAAACCTACCAGGTAAAAAGACAGTGGCTATAAATCTTGCTGCTACAGCTACACTCATTAAATACAATCAGGCCTTTGAACCAAAGTTAAAAGCTCTTACATGGGAAAGCGTCTGTCTTTCTTAACACTAGGGCCATCCCTTGCAGGGTCCTCTGATATTTTGATAGCCTCCTCTATTGCAGCCAGCAGACCATTGCCACCCTCCCCTCTCAGGGCTGGACCAAAGCACTCAGGCCTGCGAATGAGGAGACGTACCACCACATTGGCATTCTCTTCTACGCTCTCCCCTACAGTAGGGAAAGAAACACACTGGGTTATTTATAAGGGAGAAAAACAGAAACAATATGGGCATTAGAATTACACACTGCATTTTGTAACAAAGTAAGAATCAGACCGTTGACAAATACAGCAAAACGAAGAAAGTCAAGGTATTTCTCTCCACCACAAGGATTCCAGCCGATGTCAGGGTATCCTTTAGACAGTAGCATTGGACAGCTCTGCAGTCCACATCCAGCTAAATACTTCACCACCTTGGAAAGACATCAGTGTACTCAAGTGATGGACAATCTTATGCAATGCTTATTTTGTGCATATTGATTAAAATTTTACCATTTCTAGGTCCTGCTCTTGGAGAGCCAATGCAAGCTCGTTGTTGTCGATACAAGAGGCTGCAGCCACGTCCAGGGGGGTGGAGCCACGCATTCCTACAGAACAGCAAATAATGTAGAGGTTTATCGCAGTTCACACTTCAAGAATAACACATGAAGAACAATGCTGGAACTTGACAAAGACAATCACCAAGGCCGATGCCACTGTTCTGGAGAAGGTAGCTGAGGTGGTCAAACATAGAGCGCTGATTTTGACGACTGATGCGACAGAAATAGCAGAGAAAGCGGCAACAGTTGGTCACCACTCGAGGGAATCTGATCTCCTGTTGGAAGAAGGAATGATACAAATGTAAAGTTAAGTAATATATAAGGTTGCTCTTATTGCCTTCTTTTGTCTATTCCTTGGTGGTACCAGAAAGCAAAGCCGATCTCTAAATGGAGAATAGTTACAATGCAAGTGGGTGGAACAAAAAATATACCTTTGAGTCCCCACCGCCCAGTACATTAACCATGACCTCCATGACAGTTTCATGCATGCCCAGAGCTCTCATCAAGTTGGGGTGCTGATAGAAAACTTTGTTACTCATGATGTTCCTAAGGGAGACAAAAATTAAGTTACTGTATAGTTTCAGTGACATGCATTTAACAGACAATTCACTTCAAGGCAAGGTAATCAGAATAAATCAAATCTTATATCAACCCGATGCTTTGGATCATAAGCCTCTCTTCTTCTGGACCCATCTGGACAATAAGCAAGGAGCGGATCTGTCCCAAGCACTCCAGCAGGTCCATGGTGTCCTGAATTGACACTGCGTTGATGGTGTAGGCCTTGGGAAGGGCACGCATGAGCTCTCCCAGCCCATCATACTGCCTGTGAAGGAGGCTGAACATCATGCGCACCAGCTCAGGGTTCTGGATAAATGACTCCTGGGCCCAATGGATCATAGTATGGGAAATCAGCTCCTGTAACGTGCCTGGTAAACAGAGTACAAAGGGTTAAGCGAGAATACAAAAGATACTATGTACTGATTGCGGTCAGGGGATGAAAGAGGGATAAAGCAGCACTGTTTTGTTGAAGAACAGACAACAAATGTTCAACAAATCCTCTATCTATAACTCATAACTCACTTGGTTTTTTATCTTCCTGCGGCTCAGGTTCCACCTCAACCTTTTTCTCCCGGAATTTCTTCACCTTTTCCAACATACGGAGCAGTCGTCCGCGGAGAGAATTATCCACTTCTTCCTCTTGCTCTTCTTCTTCAATATGAACACCTGAGAGTAAAGTTTCAAATAAGGTATTGTAACTTATGTCAAAACCTGCCACCTGCAGTGTTAATTTTAAATGCGGATGTTGGTAGACTTGATACTGTAGGTGAAAACTGACCGCAGTGTGCCAGCAGAGCATTGTGAAAAGCCAGCATGGATTCGCGGACCTCATCGGGGACAGGGCACTCTTCATCCTCAGAGCAATTCTTAAAGTTCATGAGCATGTTGACCTTCACAAGAGCAAGAAGCAAGAAGTACAAGCAAGGAATTTATTTTCAAAAGCCAAAAAGGGCTAATCATAGTTATGGAAAAAAAAAATTCAAACTCAAACAAAATAGACGAGTGACCTAATGAGGGGGATTTATTCTTTGAGGAGTATATTCTGTCTCAAAAAGAAAGATAAAGTTCTTGCATGTAAACACTTGCTGAAATGAGTTTCTTTGGCAGGATATTGTGGACATGAGTTATGTTGGCAGTGAGCAGCTGAGTACATTTTAAACCAGCTGCACTGAAATCTTCTGAATTTGATTTTATGCTACCTACGATTTGGCAATTTTTGTACCAGAACAAAATAAAATACACCACTGAATGGAGAAGGGAGTGCAGAAATGTGGGGCTGCAGGCTGCATTTTCAGAATGGGGATTTTTGTTGAATGAACAATTCTTAATACAACTAAACAATCAACAAATGTTCCCTACTCTCTGCATTTTTCTGAGTTTACCTGCTCTTGTGGTGGGGACCGAAATTCACGGGTCTTGCGGGCAGTCTCGGCAGCAGTCATGGTGAAGGCTAGCATAAGTTCATTGTAGCGCTGTCTCTGGTTGGACTGTATCCGGCTGACGAACTGGTCTGAAAAGGCGGTGATGGCCTCCACTCTGTGACGTAGCTCACAGTCACAGAAATACTGCAGCAGAGTACACATCTAAAGGACAAACGCAACATGAATGACTAATACTACACAGCAGATATTAACAGTGTTATTGGAAAAAGGAGCTTTTTTGTATAATCTTAAAAAAAAAAGACCAGAAATACCTGCAGTTTGACAGACTCTGGAAGCTTCATCTGGAAAAGTCCTTGGTCTAGATGTTCTTCTTTCACCTCACCTGTCTCTACAGGTTTCATCTCTTTTTCTGTTTCCTCGGCGCCTTTTTCACCATTTACTTGCTCTGTCTTGTTCACCGGCTCTTCTTGTGGCATAATGGATTCTGACTCCTCTAATTCTTCCTCCTCCTCCATTTCTTCCTCTTCCTCCTCCTCCTCCTCCTCTTCACCCAAGCCATCATCCTCATATTCCTCTTCTTCTTCACCCACGGCTTCCTGCTCTTCTTCCTTCACTGCTCCTTCTTTCGGGGGAGCTTTCTGTTCCTTCTCTTCCTTCAACTTGGCATTCTCCTCAGCAGCCTCCTCCGCCTTCTTGGTACTGAAGACTGTGGGCTCAATCATCTTCAGGATGTGTGTGACATCTTCATCATCGAACACACCCATGATGAGGAGAGTACTGATGAGCTTCAGGATTGGAACAAAATGAAATTCAACACTGCCTCCCACAGGATCTCTCATGGCTTGACCTCCATCTTGCACAGCCTCAATCAGCATGTTCAAGGCCGTGGTCTTTAGCACCTGGAGATACAAGCAAACTTATGATTATTAGTGACTCCAGAATTTCCCTAAAATGCCAAACCTGTTCCACCTCACCTGTAAGGGGATGACTGGACTCAGTGTGTAGATGTCTGGATCTGTTCCCACAAACCCAGTGGAAGAGAAATGGAGTTTGGGGCGTAGACATGTAGTGAGGCCGACACCAGGTAAAGCATGAGATTTGTCTGAGTACAGAGTGATACTCCGTGTTTCATCAGTCATCGGGACTATAAATTCCTTGTTGGTTCCCAGCCTGTTTCTCTTGGCAGACTCCAGGTGCATGCTGATTAGCAGATCATAAAAGCCGCTCCTCATTGGCCCAGGTAGGTAGGTGTTCTCGATGGCGTAGAAGAGCTGGGATTCATCTACGTGGCTGCACAGAGCGTGAGCCACACGGTTGTTTCCCAAGGCACACACTGAACCATACAGCTTCAGAGTGTGATAGTGGAACTTCAGCAAGTCCATACGTTCAGACAGCTCCAGGATGTCAATACACCTGGAGAATACCAAGGGGTTAACTTCGTTGGGAAAAAACAGCACACTTTTCTAACTCCTTGCAATGCAACAGATAAATGCTGAGTGATGTAGTTCTAACCTGTTCTCCTCTGGGATGTGGAGGGCCATCATGGTAAGTGGCTCCTGACACTGCACCATCCAGCCCAGTCTCTCACTAACACGCCCTGTCTCTGGAGCCAGGAAGTGGTTGGGCATGCGGCTCCAGATGACAGGGGTTAACATTTGGACATCCAGTCTTGGAGGACACTGGGGGACAGGGTTCTTGCGTTCACTCCGGAACATGGCGGTAGAGATCGGCATAATGTTCTGGCAAGAAAAGTAAAGGAAGACAAATGATGTATTACAGATGACGGTTAACATAAAAAGTCAGAAATATGAGATATCTTGATTGTGAGGATTGCCGCAGACTGACCTTGAGCTTGCCAAGTTCGAACTGAATCATATTCTGATTGGAAGGAAGGACAAAGACAGCTGGGAACAGTTTTGTGTTGGGCTCCACCTGCAAGAAGGGAACATAACATGCTTGCATGAAATGACCAAGGCTTTATAAAAAAACTGTATAAACACTAGATTGAAGCTTTTCTGACCTGGTAAAAAGTGTTTATCTCTTTTCCATTAGCAGTGAAAGTCATGAGTCCTGTGTCCAAATCAATAAGACAGCCAATCACAAAATCCTCCTGACTGACTCGGGTCTGCTGGGAGCTGCTGAACTCCCCTCCCCATACCATGTAGCAGTTACTGCGTTTTATACTGAGGAAGACAGGAAAAGATCAGAAGCCAGTATTTATTGCATTTTATTATTTTAAAAATGAAAACACACTGTTTTTTGTTTTCTACAAGAGAAACATACCTGTCATGAATGTTGCCTTTATCATCACCTACAGTGACTGTTACATTTCTCACTTTGCTGATGTCAAAGTGAAGGTCATACTGGTGATAGTCAGGTGTGATCCAGCCCACCCACACGCCACTGGGCTCCTGCCCCGCAAACACTCGCACAGAATAATAGTACTGGTAAAGGAAGAGGGTGGTGGGGGGGATAAAGATTAGTACAATTTCAGTTGAAGATGAATTCAACACAAAGATTAAAGTCAGTAGACTACTGACAGGCAAGTTAAATATGAAAAATACTGTAAGCACAAATGAGCAAATAGTTACGAATATGGTAGCCATATAAATTTAAGTTATAGTCATACTGTAGTGGTGTTGAGGATGATGTCCATGTCATCCCTGTCATCTGGCACCACATCTTCCACTAAGCGAGGCATGGTGGGAACAACAGGTGGTGGTGTGATTAATGCTGCCTTTTTAGCCTTGAATAGGAATCTGGAAATGAACAGCAGCAATTACTCACTATGAATGAAAATGTAAAAACAGTATCCCAGCTGTAGCCTTCTAAATTCCCTCCTCAAGTCACTCAGCATGAATCAGTACTGACCCTTTCTTCTTGCTTTTCTCAGTAGAGGCGTCCTTCTCATTCTCTCCATTTTTGATGGCGGGGATCTCTTTAGGCACAGAGGGTTCTTTCTTCTCCTCCTCCTGCTCTTTGCGACTGGCTGACTTCTTGAGTATTTCAAAGTCAGAGTCTGGGTCCACCTCTACCACCTCATCCTCAGGGATGGTCAGGGCACGAGTAAGAAGGGTGGTCCCCGCTGGGACTTTGAAGGTCTCATGAAACTCAACTGGCATGCTGAGTCTGAAGAATATCAGATCTGTGTTGGCGTTCTGAGATCCGAATGTCTTGTGCGTAACTTTGAGACAAGGAGCAGTCTCCACTGTCCCATCAACACGGGACACCTAGAGTATAAACAAAAGGGAGCCAGGTGGTGATCCAGAAAATAATGACTTTTTCAAAATGAGAACAAATACATATTTCGTCAAAACACAGTGACAACTAATGCACAATACCTCAATGTGAGGATGCTCAGTAGGCACAATGATGTACTGGGGAAGGCTCTTGCTGAACCACATGGTAATGTCTCTTTTCATGTTGATAGCAAAGGGTTCAAATCCCTCCTGCAGGCCACAGATGGTAAAGTAACTAAGACTACTGACGTTCTGACCCAAGTTGATCCTTCCAACCTGGGACAGGCCCAGACTGCACACAGGTATGAAGCCTAGGGATGTTCAATACATGCATGGACATGCATTAAAACACAAACCCACATGTGCAAATATCATATGTCTCTAACTGAGAACATTTGCTTTTACTTATAAGTTTACTTACCCTCTCCTATCTCGATATCCTTAAAGGCCATCTCTGAGCCTGAGTCACTGATCAACATTTCTCCATTGAGTGTAAACATGATGTTCATCTCTGTGAGGTCGATCATGCAACCCACCACATCACCAGATTGCCACTGACGACCAAATGGCTCATTTCCCACATGCCAACGTTGGGCCTGAAAAAGAAAACATCATAATTTTAGAGTTTGGTTTAACAGAGGCTTTGGCATCCTTCACAAGCATGTAAACTAGGTCTTTCTCCCACCTTGAAACCATTGAAGACGTATGCCAACTCATCTGCACCAAGTTCAGTGTCTGCGCGAACACTGGGCCTGGCCCAGCCCACTCTCATCTCCCCGACTGTCACAGCCTCAAACTCAAAGTACCACTTCCCCTGTGTGATAGCATAAGATTTCTCTGCTCTGAACACTCTGATCTTATCTCCACGGCCGCTGCCTGGTCCATGCCCGCCTACATTAACACAGACACGATAGCATTTGATAGAAAAGTTTGTGGATTCAATAAAATGCCTGTAGTGCTAATGATTAATTTGTAGGACTACACAACAAAATAAACAAATATTCCTGCCATCCCTCTTATAGATAGCCATGCAAACTTACTGCTCTCCTGGTCGGGTGGTTCTATGTTGTACCCATATCCAATGAGAGTGCGAACAGCTGCACAAACTGTGTCTCTATTGGTCTTTTTAGTCTTTTCATCCAGTAGGTTGTAAGGAACCAGACGGGGATTGCGCTTGTTCATTATATCCTACACAACAAAATAATATAATAATATTAAACATGAAAATGTAATATTAAAACTTGTATCCATCAAAAATATCTACACATTATTATTATTATTATTATTATCATTATTATTATTAGTAGTAGTAGTAGTAGTAGTAGTAGTAGTAGTAGTAGTAGTAGTATTAGTATTAGTATTAGTATTAGTATGATTATTATTATAGGGGCTTCTTCATAAAAGAATTATGGTACCTGCACAATACTGTATGTCCAGCCCTGGCGAACTCTGTCTCTTGCCCACACATTGTGTCCGTTTTCTGCCAGTCTCTCCACAAGAGTGTTTTGATTAGGAGTCAGCTTGACGTGGTTGAGGTCCAGAGGGGCTGGTTTATATCCATTACTCTGTATGTAACTAAAAAAAAAAAAAGCTTTTAGATCAGAAGCTTTACAAGACCATTAAAAGTATATATGATAAAAGAGAGGCAACGTCACAAAATGAATCCAAATAAATGAATATCTTGCAGCTCACGTTTTTGGGAGCTTGGTCCTTTTCAGATTCTCCTCTGCTTTCTCATCTCCCATTCCTACATGACAGCCTAGTGCCAGCAGAGTCCTTTGAAACGAATCATACTAGGCATTAGAAATACAGAAAGACAAAAGCCAAGCAGTGTTAATTAAGTGAAGGCACTGACTTACTTGAGTGTCTCTCCTGACATGGCTAAATTGTAGTTCTTCTCTGGTTCAGGCAGACTCTGGAAATCTACCAGGCAGGGGTGCAGCTTCTTGTTGTCATCACGAAACTTGACATTGATTTTAAAAAGTAAAGTGCAAAGATTATATAAGCAAATTGTTAGTGTACACAACAACATTTTCAATGGGAAAGATAATCAACACTGAAAACACTCACTGGCCCATATGTCCATCCTTGTTCAATGCGAGTAACAGCCCATAACTCGTGGCTATTTTCTGCAAGCTTCTCTCGAATGCGCTCCAAGTGAGGAGGAAGTACAATCTGAAAGGATAATGAACTCAGTGCAGTGGAAAAAGTGAAGATGCAAAAGAGATGGAATAGGGTATAGGGTTTACCTGTATAGTGTCCACAGGGCAAGGAGTGAAGGCTGTATGTGAGAGGGACTGAGTTGGACCCAACAGGTTGCGGATGCCATCGAAATCATGCTTATACTCCTTGATGGGCTCAATCCGCAAACGGTCCCTGGGCAGCACTGCTTCATAGCAAGGAGCATAGCCTGGAGGTGGGAGGAACTTGAAATCCCCATGACGCCCTCCGAGAAGAAATCGCAACCTTGAAGTTAGAGAGGAAAATTGACATAAGTCTAATATGTCGTAATTGTACTGCCCTCATTATACAAAAAAATAAATTCATAGTCTTTCATTTACAATTCACAACATCCTACTTAATGCCTGCAGAGAAGCTGACAACGGGGAAGAACAGGCCATCCAGGTTGAAGTTCTCAAACATTCCCCGAACAGGATGTCCATTGATACGGAAGGAAATACTGGGCACGCTCAGATCCAAACAGCAGCTGACCACGTCCTCTGCTGCCAGGATGTGCTGACTGGGTGTGGCCACATGTCGTGGAACGCGTCCTGCATACACACAGAGCAAGTGAATTAGTAAGTGGTATGGGCACAAATGCATAAGATCAAATGCACGAGAAAGAATGAGCCTGTGCTGGCGCTGATGCAAAAAACTACTTCTAAAAGTCATACCACGTTCACTTTACCTGACCAGAGGTGAAGCCCGTCAAAACCGTAGGAGTAGAGGTCATCCCCGACCCCGTTGCCCCCCCAGCCTTCCCCTCCACCGGGGTAAGGACTGTAGCCCTCTGTCAGAGCCCAACCCACACGCAGGTGATATGGCTGAGCTGAAAGGAATGGCTCCACGTGGTCCACCATGACCTCAAAATACCACTTCTTATACTGAGTGGATCCTTCACACGTTCCAAGGAAAATGTTGGGTCTCATGCTAAAAGTGGATTACAAAACAAATATCTAATTTAGAGCAGCTGTTTAGATAACTGGGCCTCAGGACACAAGAAAGAGCACAAAGCATTTTGAGCCTGTACTGAAGTGAGCTCATACAAACTTACCCACCTGGTTACATAATTGATAATGTTGGTTTGAAGTAGGAGGTCACGACCTGGAAGTAGATTCTCTGTGATGAGATTCTGATTTGACCTTACAGCCACCCCGTTACACACACACAGAGAACAGAGCACATCAAGCACCTGGCAAAACAATGAGGACAAAAATTGATGACAGTTATTCTGGTGCTGCTTTGTAGCTTGAGATTTGCTATACTAATCTATCTATGTTAATAAAGATGTGAGCTACAATCAACTCAGACATTTAGTGTTTTTCCAACATACTCAACAAACAGTGCTACATGTTCCTGACCTTATGATTGCGTCCGTGCTTATCCAGCAGCGAGATGATTGATTTGATGTGATTCTCCTGGATAATATTCAGCACCTCTGGACTCTCAATCAGTACACAGTACAACACCTCCAGGATCCCTGTCATAAAGATGTGACAATATATAAATACATAAACATTGGAAGTACATGTATTTTGGATGGTACGGTAGAAAAACACAATACAATTCAATAAACCCACTAAAAAAAAGAGACTTTAATTAAGACCTTGTTGGCACTGTCTTTACAAAACATTACAAACTTCACATAGTTAGTGTTTGTTGCATGAATATTCTTTTAAATTGCATCATACTGTCATATTGCTTTGATCGCCCAGTGTATGCTGTTTGGAACCAGTCAAATTCAGCTTCAAATGATAAGACAAATGACTAGTTTATACTAGTATGTTATGTGGTCAAGCTAATAATATGTTGGCATTTGGGGAGAGAAAACAAGAAACTAAATGTACATTGAGCATTTAAATGAGCTTCTATTCGTCTTTGATACCTGAAGATGCCTCCAAACGATCCAATTTACTGACCAGCCAGTCAAGGTTATCACAAAACAGGGCACAGTTAGCACGATTGCCTCTGATCAAAGAAGCTTCATGGAAGAAGAGAAGCAGAAAGAGTTTGTTAATGCATTGTATTTACAAGCAAAAAAGATGGCTGGATATGGGAAACATAAATGACTAATCTAAAATCACTGTACCTAGCAATTCATACAGTAAATTTACTATCTCCTTCCATGACTCTGCGGCTTCCTCCCCAGCATACTCTGAGAAGTGGGCTGCCGTGTTGTAGACATTGAGCCGATCGACACAGTCCAGAACATGAGTAATCATTCCCTGTTCAAAACAATAAACATTCATAGAAAACTGAAATACAAGTGGAAATAAATCAACCAAACTAAATTTATATCGAAACATGCGGCAGTTCTACATTTTCATAAAAAGTCATTCCTCAGTACGTAGACCAACCTCTTCCTGGAATAGGTTCTGTCTGTTCTTAAGGGAGCGAAGCTTGAACTGTTTGTCCTCGTGCTCCAGCTCCTCCTCAGGGGGTCGGAAGTAGAAAATGAGATCCTGCAGGGAGAGCACCACTGTGTCCATGGGCAGAGATGGGGGATTGGCAGATTTGTTTTTCCCACTCAGTGCATCTAGACCTCTGAAGACATGAATAGAGCATGATGTGAATACCACAACCAGTATGCTGTATCTAAAAAGCCAAAAGTACTACCAATTTGAGTAAAATATAACTGAAGTAGTGCTACTTGATGAACTGGTTGAAGAGGCCTGTTGTGCTGAAAATCATTCTGGCAGCTTGGGACTCTTCGGTCTGAGATCTAGCCACTGTGAGTGCATCATCCATGTGACCTTCTTTATGGAGTATGGCCTGAGAATTGAATACAGGTTCCCTTAAAACCCAAGTATGTAATCAACACTCATACAAATGTGATTGAGTTGTCAAATTGAGTCTATATTTTGCTGACCATCTTGATGTATAATCCTGCTTTACCTTCCTCTTCAGAGGACCCAGACGGGCAGATTTAGCATCAACAGCAGCATATGTGAGCCAGAGGCCTGATGACACATGCTGTACGAAGCACATGGACTCTCCATACTTAATCTCAGGCGTGCCCATGCCTTCCACATCTCGCTTCTGGGTCACTTCAATTTTTTCCTGTAGTATAAATAAAAAGTGTGTTCTTCATTACGCCTGCAAATAATCTCCATACAGCACAACGCAGTATCAAACATGTAGAATTCTCACACAGTTGACTTTGCATGACAATGACCTTTGAAATTCTGAAGCAGAAGGCTGACATCTTGGAAACCGCCTTCTCTGGGTCAACCAACAGCAGTCCTTTCTCTTCATCCAGACAAAGGTACCTGCCTGTTGTTATGTGACGTATCCGGAAAGACTGGCCCCATTTAATATGACCTCCGCTCCAACTACCAACAGGCACAAATGAATGAGCAGCAGCATATTGTTCAGTCACTTAAAGTGAATGATTGTAAAACATGTGTTGTTAGATGCAAGGAATCAAGACACTCACCCGATACGTAGTGGCTCAAGTCTCCATAAGGATCGGGCGTGACTGCATACAGCCCCTCCTTCATAATGAGCAACTCTGGAAAATGAACAAAAACATGAAAGTCAATGATGTGGAACAAAGGTGGACAAATTTGTAAATACTTTGATATATTTCAGTATTTTTTAGTTTATGTCAACAAACCACGATAACCAAATCTTCAGATAGGTAGCACATCGCAATGGACATTTGTCTGTTATTCCATCATTATTTAGTCATGTAGAATGCAAGCGAGGGACCACTCTGAAAACTCCTTGATGGTGTGTTCAATGACCACATGACCCTATGATTTAAGCTGCTGAAAAACTTTCATAATGTTGCCAAAAAATCTAACCAAGCAGAGAAAATAATGAGCCAACATCATAGGATGAGGATAAAAGTTTGTCTTGTTCATTAAAACATTTGCTACTTGGCTGTTTCACAGCCAAACTCAAGTCTCAGGTGTAGTAGAGCTACCACCATGCATCACAAAACATGCCACTACAGAGGTGTGTTTTATAAAGTAGGGAACATACCGTAAAACGTATGGTATGCTTCAGAAAATGGTTGAGAGTAGCATAAAGTGTAAAACTAAATCAACCAAAACCGGTACAGTGTTTTAATATATTATGAAGGTACAGCAACAAAAGATATTGCTTACCTGCGCTGGTCGTCCCCTTGGTCAGCTCCTGGGATTGCCAAGCACTCGTCCATGTGACCATGGAACAGCCTGAGCACATATCCTCCAGTCAGGAAACCTAGCAGACAAGAGTCACATTGCTAAGAGAGAGTGGACAGGTTCATGAACAAAAGAAGTGTTTTTTTTTTTTTTAGCAACAGCAAAATTACAGACCTTCAGCTAGCTCACATCCAGACATCACAGGGGTCATGGTCCACAGTGTTTGCATGAAAGAAGCATCTACCATCAAGTCACCACTGGCATAGGACAGATGCTGAAAAGAGTGCAGGAAGCAATACTGGTAAGAGTTGTAGACAACACACTGTCAGTTACAGTGAAAGTAAATCAAATTGTGGTTACCAGGTATCGCTCTGAAGAAACACTGACAAGAATGAGGTCATCTCCCACCCTGACCTTCTCTCCTTCAGACCTTTGTTTAGAGGCTGGATGGATGGTCCACCAGCAGGCCTCTCCTGTGATGGACAAATGATTTAGAATACAGAAATCTACATCGGTTTGTCTCGGACATAATGGGCAGTAAAGTTCATAGCCACCTGTGGAGTCCTCCTGCAAGCCCACATCAAAAGCCAATTTGTCTGTCAGTGAGCGCGAAGTAGTCAAACAGCTCAAGTACTGCAGCATAAAGAGAGGGATAACGAGGGTCATGAGATGACATGCGCTCCAAAGTATTTAGAGAATAAAACATTTCAAGGAGAACTGCTGCTTAGAGGAGAAGACAGGGCAGAGCAGCAGAAGCCACATAATTGGTGCTCACCATGCTGGAGTGAGTGTGTTTCAGGAGGATGGCATGTCCGTAGAGTAGGGTTCGGTGACCACCCCCTTGTGATGACTGACAGAAGAGGGGGGAGGCAGGTAGAGGCAGAGTCAATTAAATGTTTAAAAGATGACAGGAGGTTACCACATTCAAAGCTGTCCCTTTGAAACCACTTCAATGTGACATGTTAACAACTTAATATTGAAATGACACTAGGGCAAGTGTACAGACTCCAAGCAGGTGCAATAGGAGGAATAAAAACCACAGCCATATCTTACAATTGTTAAAATAAGCAAGAATTGGGCTAAACAAAGAGATTTAGACATTGAAATTTTAAAAAAGGCAGAAAAAAATAGTTTGAAGCTGAGGTTTATCAACGATGATGTCACCTTTGATATCAATGGAGGTACTGTAAGCTAGGTTTCTCTATGATAACACTGAAGAGATTATGGAAGGTAGCTGTGATACTGTCATGACATCAACTCTCAGGCTGAAGCACTGGACAAAAATTTCATGGAACAGTGTAAAGGAAGGACGCATCACACGTACCCATTTGTCCAGATCGACAGCCTGTGGTTGGGAGGTGGAGGAGTGAAGGAGCACGAGGCATCAAGTCAGAAACGAAACAAAGTGAGTTTCAGTTGTTGAAGGAACAACATTCTGCATTTGTTTATTATATCATGAGTACATACCATTAAAAAGTGTCACCTTTTTGACCAAACTCTACTAATTCCTCTCTAATTGTGCTTTACCTCATCCACAGACGAGTTGGACAGCATCTCCTGTAACGCCCGCACAGACAGGGACTGCTCCAAAATGAAGCAGCAGATGGCAAGGTCTGGAGGGACATTCTGAAATACAGCACAACCATTAAACCTGGAGAACGGCAGCAAATAAAATTCTCAAATAAATTACATAAAAGGCATAGAAGTGTCCTTTCACTACCTGAGCGTTCGAGGTGGTCTCAAGGAAACACAGACGATTCCCAAACCCTTCACACGACAGACACAGCTTGATCTGTTCCTTCAGAATAGATGCAGTGCACTGCAGCACCACTTGATCATCCTACAATGACAAAACAAGTCCAAAGTGAAGGAGGGGTTTTTTTTTGGGGGGGGAATTCTGCAGGAAAAGATGGGGAGAGTGCAAGAGAGATTGATATACAACAAAGGTCTCCACCCAAAATTATCTGAGGGAAACATGGCATTTTAGATTTTAGATTACTCTCAGTCAAAGCAATAATTTATGTTAAAAGTATTGTATTATGTATAAAGTATTTTAATTTTCTAAGGCGATAAAAATAGAAAATACATGAACAAATGAAAATAGATCAGAGACATTGTATTTTTTTATTCCACGCATTATTCTCCCTTGTCAAAACCTTGCACTTTACCCACAATGCAACTCAACTGCCAACAGATCAGTTGGAGCTTTGGGTGCGTCTACTGTCAAACCTCTAGCCTCAAGCAGAGATGAGGGCAGGGCCATTTTCAAACTTTTATTTATCAGACTTCAATCAGTCCCTTCTGGAGCAACAAAAAGCTTCTGAATCCTTTTTTTCCACATATGTTGTAATGTAGTACTCTGCGAGTCTAAACAGACTTTGATTAGTAAAATCTGTGGAGTTTCCCTTTCATTCATTCTGCAAATCTTAGATCACATTAGTGCTGCGTCCAAGACGACAGCAAACTTGGAAACTCTCGAGTGGGAACATCCGAGTTCAGAAAAAGTGCGTTCACATGATCAGCCTGGAAAACAATATGGATGTCCGAAGTAACATCTTTGTACTTTGCTGCTGTTTTATAGGGAACACAGTAACAATTGAGCAAGATGGAAAATTTCTAAGGTGAATTTACTTTTATTTATAGTCTTGTGAATTGTGACTTCGGAAGATGCCATGACTGTAGTTTTAATGATGTTAAGTCAGGCAAATTGGGGACATGAAATTCCACACAACTTTCAGAGCAACAAATCAGACCTGTTCACACATTCAAATCATTTTCTCCAAGTCGGAGCTTGTAATTTCCAACTTTCCTGAACTCAGCACAAGTTTCACATTTCATGTGTTAGCACATTAAAGTGTCCATTCATGGCTCAGATAGGTTAAATCCATATGACCCATACCATACTACATTTGTGAGGGGTGGCATTGCAAGCGAAACTAATTTAGAGGTGTCTCTGGGAACACAGAGAGTGATGTCTGCGTCTCACCACATAAATGAGAGTGTTTTGGCAACCAAACCTTTAATCAAACACAATACAATATGGGCAACATAAATAACAAAAATGTGGGACAATGCAAGAGTAAAATAACCTGCAAAAACAGCTGTTTCCCTATGAAACTTTTCTTGACCTTCACATGCACTTTTTCTGTAACTGCATTACTCTGTGCCTTCACAGGCCGCAGTACTAATCTCCCCTCCTCTCTGGCTCCAAGACACCAGCCACTCCCCCACAGCTCTCTATTTCAGGCAGCTGCACCTGCTGTTCACACGTCCCTTTCTGGAAAGCAACAGATAGTTAAGATTTGACAGCCAGAAAACAAATTGGCTCTCATTGCTGATTGAAATGATGCAATTAGTGAGCTTGCTAAAGAAAGAAATATTCACGATTTTAATTTTTGACTCAACTCAGCTCAAAACCTCATGCTCAGCAGTTTGTGTTTTTTTTTATCTGCAAATGCTTCTGGTTCATTCACATGCATGCCACTCAGTGACAAATGTCATTTTAGTAAAAACAGTGTTAACTGGGTTCAACAATAATTTAATCTAATTTAGTCTTTGCCTGAATGTAGTTGATATATTTGTCTATGTATTTCTGAAGCTGAAAACTGGCAACAGACTCTGCAATATATAAACTGCTGCTTTTAACAATAAAACGAATGTAATTGTTTTGGTACATAATGAAAATATATTGAGAAAGGAAATCTGTAATTTGGTATGGTATGTACAAAGTTAAAAATCAGTGGTGGAGTACTCCACTATAAGTGCAGTCACTGCAGTCACTAAACAGGTTAAACAGGAGCAGTTTAGCATAGAAGTATATAAACTCCAGACAAATTTCATTATACTGACAAATTCACAGTCTCAACATGAAACACCTTAGATAAGGTTTGGTGGTCTTTGTTTTAAGGTTAAAGCTGCAGTACAGCGAGGCAGCTCTGCCACTATGGCCACTATTGTTTGTTGCTGTATTGTTGAGTTTGTGAGTTAAACAGAATTTGTATCATGCTTGTGTAACAGTTTGAGACTGATGTGTTGTAAAAGGGAGTTGGTGCAGTCGGTTTCCTCTTCATCAATCTCATGCCCTGAACAGATGGACTATAAATATACTATTTAACAATTATAATGAAACACCTCTCCTATACAGTAGACATAAAAATCATGTCAGTAGTTTGGTAATAATTTACAACAGACATTAGATTGAAGCAAAAATCTGAGAGCTCTGGCACCCTAAAGACAAGTCAGTCAAATATTAAGAGATCATAACATATGACAGAGCTAAATATTAAGTTTCATGTTCTCCAACACCAACAGACTGACAGACTGACTGACTGAAAGACAGATGCCATCATGAGGCTGTAGCAGCTGTGTGTTTACACCAGTTTTTATCAGACAGTTTTCTATGTAAGAACTACTGACAAAATGTTTTGAAACCAGTGTCTGATAATAAAGATTGCCTGTACTACTTTAGAAGTAGAGGTCTTACATGGACTGAAGTAAGCAGGTGCTGAAATGGGCCAAGCTTTGAACCTGCTAATCCTCACACAGTAAATATAGAACTCAGCTGAGTTCAGGGTGAACAGCAACAGACTGACAGTAACTTTATGACACACTAGTTGACAATTTTTTACTTTCTTGCTGTGTCTCAAGTCATGAGACAATGCCAACTGAAAATGTGTTTTTTTAGATTAAATACATAAAAGAAAACAACAAACTATTTGCACGTGTTTATAATATTAATATTATAAGCAAAAAGACAGGCTGCAGTCACATTTTAGGATATACAACTTATATTCAAGTGACAGTAAGGAACTGAGTTTCAAGTGATATTCATAATGGAGTCTATAGATAATCAGCTTCTGGCTTATGCTATCGCCAGGGTTAAAGGGTCTAGAGAAAATCAAGTGACACTATGTGGAACATCTACAATAGCTGAGTTTCAGTGCTGACTATCCAAATAGAGTGTTACATAGAGTAGTCTGCGTGCAAGGCCACAATGCCCTTTTGCAGGCTTTGGCCCAGACCTCAAAAGAGGAAATCTGATAGCTCAGTGGTGAGTAATGCAGCAAAAATAAACCCATTTAAACTGAATACTTTATGACATGTGCTGTATAATCAATTATGTCAAAATTTCATAACTTCAAAGTAGAACTCCAAAATGTACAGACACCTTTTTACGTAAAATATTCATATTAAAAATACATGATACCTGAAACACAAACTGGGGCTGCAGAAGAAAAAGACCTGTGAAAAAACAGACACCCTGTGGATTCACCCGATGCACCCATATAAAATTTTGACATGGCACATGGCCACTGACATAATGCATGGTAAGTGATCAGCAATGACTTAAAAATAGGAATCTCATATTTGCATAAATAGCAGAGAACAATTACTCTGCAAGAGTTGACCTCCATCTGTAGTAGCCATATATTTCCAAGGAACAACAAAATGCAAATAAGTCCCTCAGTAATTACCCCTCAAACAATTTAAGTTCAGGACACTGTAATCTGTCAAATGTACTTTTTTCTGAAAAGGCAGATGGAAATAGGTGAGTAGTCCTTGAGATAAAGGACTAGTCTAGGTCACAATGGTTCTTGAAACAAATATAAGTAATAGCACACTACCCAGAATACTTAAGATGTTCCTATTTTCACTCTCTCCTGAAGCAAAAAACACTATTAACTATTTAATCTGGAATCACATAAAGCAACAAACATGGCAATACTGCATTGACAGGAAGTTGGAGGACTCTGTGGGCTCTGTTGTAGAGTTTCAATCTGCAAGCCAAGACAAAAAACATCCACACTCCAATAAAACCTCAAGGCATCATACAATTGAGTCCAGAACTTCACACTACACCCTGAAGCCATTGTGATCTGGCTCCCTGCCTCAGCCACAGGTGCAATGTTCCGCTTCAAGCGCTGGTGACCTCATTACAAACTGCACAAAATGTAGCATGCAACTACTGTTGCAAAGAATATTTATTATCCTAAAGGCTATCAATGTTACAACAGTGGTGTCCGTGTCAAAATGTGCTGGATGAAAATGCTTAAAATCTGTTCTAATTGCTTTTTGTAGTCTGTGTGTTAACTTCCACCTGGCACTCAAAGTTTTCTTTTCTGTGACAACACAGTAACATATTAAATACCCGTTGGGATATAAATAGATAACAATGGCAACAAAACCAACCACCTGTCCTTGTCAATCTGTGCTCCAAGGAAAGAAAGTTACCCTACCCTGTCTATTATCTGTTATGAAGTGACAATTTAGTATACAAAAGTCGTAGTACTGTACATTGTTCACTGAATAAGTTTACTGACAGTTTTAAAACTATTGGAGAAGAGGCAGACAGCATCACTTACCGTACGCAGGAACTGAATCTCTTCCTCTCCATCCGCTCCTTCCGCCATCCTCCCAAGTCATTAACAGCAAAACCTTGAGAGAAATGGGAAAAGGTTTGTCTCAAAGTTCCTTCACTCCTGGTGTCTGTACTGCCCACCACATAAGACAAGACAATGTTGGTGAAGGTTTCCGAAGGGTAGTGCTGGTCCGGTGCCCCTCTCTGGCTGTGTTATGAGGCAGAGGGACTGACTGTTCATTCCTGATCATTACAGCATCATAAAGAGGTGGAGCGAGCTGACAAAGCTGAACCAGCCATTCAAATGTTCCTAAGTTATGGTGTCCAGACTATTGTCTTGCACTATGTTGTTATAATAATGTTTGCACTGAAGTAAGACATAAAATTTCAAAAAGTAAGAAGTATCATAATGCCAACAATTAAAAATTGAGTTTGAAAAGGAGAACATTCTATCTTAAAATCAAACTTCAACTATAGGAGTGTAAGGCACATATCATTTGAATGTTTTTTGAATTTAGTCTTTTTTAATTTTCCTTTATTTGCTATTTAACTTACTGAGTGGGACATTATTTTTGTTTGTTTAATAAAACTGATTGATTCTACCAGGTTACAGGGGGGATACTTATGAGATGAAGTAATGTTACTTTGTAGGTTGTGTTGTTAGTGTTCATCTGTGAACAAAAACAGATGCAAGACATGAAAATGTTAATTGATAAATTATTAATTATGAATGAATGAATTAATTAATCATTAACGTATACAATTTACATTCAAATACAATAAATTTCTATTATTTCTAATATTTCTTATGTTTAACTACTAAACTAAACTAATAAATGATACTGCAGGCTTGTTTGCATAAAATGTCAGGAAATAGTGAAAAATGCCATCATTATTCCAAGATGCCCAAGTCAATTCAAATTCAAATAATATAAAATTGAAATTCTTGGTAATTTCATGTCAGTAGCTACCGGTAGGTTTAAGGTGGTCTTATAATTACTACATTCATGGTGTCTCTGGGTGGAATAATAATACTCCAGATTACAGTGGTGGTCAAAGGGGCCCAATTTTCCCTGGCGGACGGGCGGGTCCATGACAGCTCACCTGCAGTCAATTGCCTGCGTGCTACACCATATTTTCTGTTCAGAGTATGAAAAACGTGAAAAGGATAAATGTAGAGAAATAAGCTTGATATGAAATATAGCCCTATTAGCATTAACGTCAACCGTTGACGAGGGATTGAATGTGCTAAATAAGAATGGCTTTTCTCCAGCCCAAAGTTGTTAATAATGAAACAAAGAACAATAAGTAATGAAGATTTGCCAAAAGATGAACAGTTTTAGAAATTGAATTACCATTTAAACTTACTCAATAATTTTCCTTGGAGGGCAGCAAAACGCTCGAGGGGAGAGGCGCCATCGGCGTCAACGGCGATCATCCAATTTCCGTAGAAGAAGAAAACGGTACGTCGGCAAAATAGTTCCCTCTTCATTTCCGAAACAGAAACCAGTGTCAGGTAAGAGCCATTAGCAGTTTTTAACCAGCACTATCAAGTTACTCTTACTACACATATTTGCCAATATGCCGCACAGACATAGTATGTTTGCGTTGAAAGTTGAAAGACGAATTCAAATGTTTTAACTCGCAGCTTTGCTAACTTAGCTGGTAGCTTAGCTCGCTAAGGTGCGCTATGTTACTGTACACAGTGGCTAATGTTTTGACGTTGATCAATGCTTGCTAATATTAGTCATTTGTAGCTGAAGTAGCAGACTATTTCAAAATTGAAAACCGAACGGCGTTTGTAAATTGAATGTCAGGAAGCAAACGCATCAACTGGCGTCAGTCCGCAGATTAAAACGGGATTTTGTTCGACTTTACACTTGTGTTTTTCTGTGTCGACAGACTTTGTAGAGAATGGATGCCCTCACACACATGCTTACAGACGCTCTTGATCCTAAAGAAGAAAACGATGGACAAATCACAGAGGAATGCATGTTGGGGAACTGCAGAGTGAACCTTCCAGAGGACCTACTTGAGGACGTGAGTTGTCTGGCACTCATTGATGAAATGCTGCTCTTTCCTTTCCTGCGTTGCTGATTGCTTACAAGTTAAGACACAATGACATAGTAATGCACTCACTTTTGCTGTTTACTTTTGTTTTCAACAGCCTGAAATTTTCTTCTCTGTGATGAGCGAAAGCACCTGGAGTGAAGTACTGACAGATTCCCAGAGGCAGCACCTTCGTCAGTTTTTGCCACAGTTTCCTGACAACAATGTTGTGGAGCAGGACAACTCCCTCGGTGACCTATTCAACAACAAAAATTTTAACTTTGGAAATCCCCTTCATCTTGCACAAAAACTATTCAGAGGTGCTTCCTATTAACCCACTCTTTACCTACCAACACACAAATATGTCATACTGGGTGGAGTTTTGAGACACTTTCTGACCATGACCCTTATTATCTCAACCCAGATGGTTACTTCAATCCTGAGGTGGTCAAGTACAGACAATTGTGTGCCAAGTCCCAGAGAAAGCGACAGTTGTACTCCCTTCAGCAGTATTACCACAGACTGTTGAAGCAGATCCTCGTCTCCAGAAAGGTATTTTTGTAAGTTTGAAGTACAAGGTACATAGCCTCTTGCAGTCAGCCTTAATATGTCCTCTTGTTGTAGGAGCTGCTGGAGTTTGCTGTTCATAATGGTCTGGACTTTCCACCTAAAAGAAAGGTACCAAATAAGTCTCATGCTGAAATGCGGGAGCCAAGGGTGAGAAGAAGATTGAGCCGCATATTAAAGGAGGTCAAAACTGAGTGTGGAGACAGCAATGCCTCTTCTGATGATGATGGTCAGTCTGTTCTGTCTTTGGTATCATTGCCGATAATAATGCCTTTTTATTTCTAATGCGCTTCTCTGACGTAAGAGTTCACAAGTTGATTTAGGCAGTAGTTACAACCAATAGTAAAATATGAAAAACAAAAAATGCAAAATGAAGATGGATTCAGACATTAATAAGAAACAATACAAGTGAAATTCAAGAGCTGAAAAGCAAATTTATTAAACTGACAATACTGATTCTTTTGTACGTCTTATTGCATTTGCTTGTAGACATATCAACATGGACTCCAGCACCACAATCACCGTCCTCTCCGACACCCACTGTCGCGCTCAGAGTTCTTCCCAGCCTCTCCACCCAAGACATGAAGACTACTGGTCAGTGATTTCTGCAATATCCAGATGATGTTGCTCTTACTGTATGTTTGAACATAGTGACTATAATGCTAAAAGACATTTAATTTCTAAACAGAAAAAATAGAACTAGGTGAGCGGGACTTGAAAGCCATGCTGCATAATCATCGCGAGAAGAGGAAGCGACAGCCAGTAAGTAAAAAGAAAAAACACAGATTTAGTTTAAGTTTTAACTTGCACTATATATCACTAATGATTGATTTACTCAGGACCATCCCGACCTGACGACCTCTGATATCCACCTTGGAGACATACTTTCAAGAGCAAATTTTGGTCGAAAGGGGACAATGTGTGAGTAAATAAATAAAAGAAAAATAATGACAAGTCTTAAGCCAAAGTCCTGATTTCACTAATTTCATGACACGTTTAATTATGTTCCTATTTGTTTCTTTCCTTTTTATCTTCCAGCACTCTTTGATCTGTCTTTGCCAAAGAAGAAAATGAGAGATGAGAGAAGGAAGAAGAAAATGAGGACAATAAAAGTGGAATCTGAGGATCCTTTTGAAACTCTTGCACCTGCAGACAACCCCTCCGCTCCACCAGCGAACATCATCAACTCCTTGCCAGACACACCATCTACTCCACTGCCCAACATCAAGGAAGAGTGAGTGTAGTGCCATGTTGGTGTCAAGAATATATACATATATATTTGTGTGTGTGTGTGTGTGTGTGTGTGTTTTATGTATGTATTTTCTCTTGTTATATAAGACTAATGTAAAGAACCATCATTACTGCAGAATTGTGGAGGAGTGTCAGAGCAGCCCGGTTACAGTTGAGGAAATAGCTGTCAGTTTCTTCAGCTTGTTGGAGAGCATCTTAAGGACAGAAAACCTTGCCAGTACTTCAATGGTATGCACTCATTACATACTCTCACATACATATCATAGAATTGATCACAGATCTGACTACACAGTTTAACGCCTACGGTTTGATATGTCAGTTGGAGGAGAAAGTTCAAATGTGGCAGTCCTCTCCAGCCAGTGCCCTCAACGGGTGGTTTTCATCTGCCTCCTGTTGGTCTGACTTGGTTCTTCAAGCCCTGCAGTTTCTTGCAGGAGAGACTAAAGGTAAGTAGCAGTGGTCACTCACACTGAAATAGTCAGACTTTTTTCTTCACCCCATGTTACTCATATACTTTTTCTCCACACTCTTATGTTTGTCAATCAGATGGCATGATGGCACTCCCCAGTGGCTTTTCTCCATTTGTGGAATTTGCTGATGACTCTCAGCAGTGGAGGTGGATTGGTAAGAACTTCCAAGATTGATGCAAGGTTTGCAGTTCAAGATGATTCCAGTCATTGAGATTAATGTCCATGATTTATTTTAGGTCCCACTCAGGATACAGAGAAAGATCTCAGTGCACTCTGTCAGCTGTGGCTGGACTCCAAAGATTTAGTTGTCAAGGTAATAGAGTTTATTATTATGTTACAAATACTGCCTCAACACTGACTTTACAGATTGTGCTCTGCTGTTGTATTTATGGTTACAATGTTTTTTTGTCTTCCACAGACAGAAAATGAAGACATGCTAGAGATGACCTCTCCCACACCAAGAGTGTAAGACTCAGTCATTCACCACAAATGGCAAAAATGACATAATGCTGAAAAATCAATTAACAAATAAGTTGATACAGAAAATTAGAAAAAATATTTTAATTTAAATGATTATAATTTTTTCAATAGATACTTAACTTCTTTATTCCTTAATCAAAATATGATTAGCTTAATTGGAAATAAAGTTCATAGTTCTTTGAAGCCTTACATGAACATAATGAAGTAGTTTGAGGTTCAGTCCCAAGGTTGTTAACAGTGTAATGTCTCTGACCAAGCAGTTCGACTGATTATGTGGTGCGGCCCAGCACTGGAGATGAAAGACAAGTGTTTCAAGTCCAGGTTTGTTTGTGCTATTGGAAAATTGTTCTACAACATTTTGCCTCTTTTCCCTGTGCATGAACTTTCTAAGCCAACACACTTTTTGTCTGTTTATTAGGAACAGCAGCGATACAACCAGCCACATAAAGCCTTCACCTTTAGGATGCATGGCTTTGAATCTGTGGTGGGACCTGTTAAAGGAGTGTTTGATAAGGAGATGTCTCTCAACAAAGCCAGGGAGCACACACTGCTCCGCTCAGACCGGCCACCATATGTCACCATTCTCTCTCTGGGTTAGACCTTCTGTTTCACTCTGACTCTGTTTTCAAGCTGTGGGGAACCAATTATTTAAGTGTGTGCAGAAGAAACCAGTCACAAAATTATCTGACCTCTTTCCTCCGTAGTGCGGGATGCAGCAGCCAGGTTACCCAATGGAGAGGGAACAAGGGCAGAGATCTGTGAACTGTTGAAAGACTCACAGTTTCTTGCTCCAGATGTCACTAGTGCTCAGGTGTGATTGATTTTGCATTTCTCATTTTATTCATTCAGTTTACTCAGGCAGTGTGCCGTGTTATTTGACTAAGATGTCAGCAGCATTATACAAGAGTTAGTTCTGTGTGTACCTTACTTTGCAGAGGCAGATGCTGCCTTTAAGCTGTTTCCTTGTGGTGACATTTCCTGTGAGTAAGGAGCTTTGTTTTCCGCATAGGTGAACACAGTTGTCAGTGGGGCTCTGGATAGACTTCACTATGAGAAAGATCCCTGTGTAAAGTATGACATTGGCCGCAAACTGTGGATTTACCTGCACCGCCATCGCAGTCAAGAGGAGTTTGGTAAGCAACAATTTGCTTGATTAAGAAATTACTAGCAATCAGAAATGAAAATACTGACGCATTTTAGATCTTAGTTTTTGACTGGAAGCAGCCAGGAATGTGGCTTTTTGTCTAGTTTCATTGTCTATTATTGTCTGAAGAGAAGATGTATTTTATTTCTTATAACCCCTTTTAGCTCTGCTAGACGCATAGATTTTAGTTGTTAGTTTGGAGTTTTTAAAACCACAATGCGTTGAATTTCAAAACTTCATGATCTCGAGAATCAAACCAGTTGTGTTCTTTCTTTCTCCCATCCAGAGAGGATCCACCAGGCTCAAGCTGCGGCTGCAAAAGCAAGAAAAGCTCTACAGCAGAAACCTAAACCAACATCTAAGCCTGTGAGTCCACTGCCTCCGTTTTACTGCAGAAGAAACTCTGAGTTGCATTTGCTGTTTTACTGTGTAGAAAACACTCCTGAAGTTGTGCTTCTATAGTTGAATTTATCGTTTTCCCACTTGGAGTTTTAAATTGTGCCTAAGTTTAGTTGTTGATTATGAATCTCAATCCCTGTTTATGTTGTAGAAGTCTGGAAGTAAAGACGGAGGCAGTAAAACCCCTGGATGTCTGGAGGCAGGACAGGATATAGGCTCCAACCCCATGTCGCCAACCCCTACAACACCCACACCAAACACACCTGGAACCCCTAAGTCACCCTTACCCTGCGCAGCCACCACGCCAACAAAAACTGGAGTCCCAGATACAATGAAATCCAGCCCAGGGTCAGTGGGACACAAAATGTTTTGTTCTTATTTATATTGTCCAATATATAAAATACATCCATGTTGCAATTATGCAATTTGAAATAGACTCTTGTCATTTCGTTCTGCCCCTTCTCGCTCTCCCAGTGTTCTTCTTGTGTCCCCTCCATCTTTGCCCCAGCTGGGGACCATCTTACCCACCAGTCAGGCTGGTCCACCAGCCTCACAGCCAGTCACGTCCCAGCATGCGGCTCGGATAGTGAGTCACCTCGCGGCAGGCGCCCTCCCTCAGGTGCGAGTAGTGTCTGCTCAGGCTGGTCTGGGCTCTTCAGCAGGAAATCAGCAGGCTACACTGGTGCATCAGACCCCTCACCAGATCAGGATGCCAGTGTCAGTGGCAGCCAAGGGCATTTCACAGGTAACCAGCTAATAGTTAAATGTAAGGTAAATATCTGTACTTCTTTTGCATGTTGTAGATGTATGATTGATTCTGTCTGTGTCTGTGTATACCAATAGACAGTGGTTTCTGTGCCTCTGAGGAGTCAGTCTGCTAGCAGTCCAGTTCAGGTGCCGACAACTCTGTCTGTGTCTGCTGTAACTGTGGCCAAACCTCCAACTGGATCACCTGGTAGCCCGGCTAACAACCCTGCTTCTCCTGCTGTGCTGCAAGGAGTTGCCAGCCCGAACATCAAACAGGTGAAACCTTTTGTTTTAAATGGGATATTTGATCAGTTAGGTTGACTACAAGTAGAGCCTTTCTGAACAGTCTTGAACTACAAGAATGTCTCGACCAGGCTGAAAGTATTCGCCATGTTTATGATTACAAGGTTTATGTGTTCCATGTTGTTTTTTTGTTTTTTTTTCCAAGGTGTCCATCACAGGACAACTGGGAATGAAGACTCCAGGAGGAGCAGGAATTCCAATAACAGCTACAAACCTTCGCATTCAGGGTAAAGATGTCCTACGTCTTCCACCATCTTCCATCACCACAGACGCTAAAGGCCAGACGGTGCTGAGAATTACCCCAGACATGATGGCAACTCTTGCCAAATCCCCAGTCGCAACTGTCAAACTCACTCCTGACTTTCTGGGCACTGCCACCTCAGGCAGCAAGAGCATATCAGCCACTCTCCATGTGACGCCGCCCCATCATTCACCTTCCTCCGCCACAAGTGCTACATCCTGCACTGGTGACGTACAGACCACTAAAGCAGGCCCCGTTGCCTCCACCTTGTTGAAGGCTGCAGGAGACACAGCCATACGTCTGATGCCAACATTGGCTGTCACGACTGACCAAAAATCTAGGACCTTCTCCACCGTGACCTCCCCTGACAAGAGTGGCGCCACCATTCGGATAATGCCAGGTCTTGGTGTAATTCCACAGAAACAGGGTCAGACCATCACGATGACAACCACCACTGGCAGTAAACCACTCACAGCGACTTCATGTGCTAATGTAGTGACCATGGCTGCCAGTGTTGTAGCTGGTGCTAAAGGGATCACAGTGGCTCCTGGAGCCTCGGGCTCACCCTTGACGCTAGGAACAGCTACAGCTACTGTGCGACAGGTCCCTGCTACAGTGGTTACTACACAAACGGTAAGAGAATCATTCACTCTGTACAGATTCTGTCAGATGAGGCATATACTGGATTTTGATGAGAGTAGGGTTCTCTAGGGTGGTATATATTGTACTGCAGGATCAACCAAATGTTTGTCGAGGTCATTCAGCTGGGTTAGGGTTAGGGACAGCATGGGATATCAAGTAGTATTAAGTCAAAAAGTACTGGCTCCTAAAGTAAGGGAATGCATGTAACCATAGGCACATAGTCATCTACGCATATAAAAGGCAAATCTTCCACGAGCAACTCACATTTGTCTGTGCAAAACAACACAGATATGTTTTTGATTTGATCTGAGGTGAGATACCAGATAAACAGAGAGGAGCATAAATCTATTTTGGTTTTTCCCCTGCTCATCAGCAATCATAGGTTTCCAAAGAAAAGGGGAAATGAAATTTGTTTATTTGTGGTCATTTGAATAGCAGTTGGATGCCAGGTGTTAATTACAACTGGCTATAGATACAATCTGAATTAGGAAACAGGTTTCTGAGCTATTAGGTTTGAATGGGAACTTTGACTTAAAATAACTGGATACGTCCTCACAAATGCTTCTCTGAATAGTTGATTTATTGAATCACATTTCCTCCAGAGAGAATTGAAATTCATTGACGAGGAATACAGTAGATCGTTCCTCAAGTATACTTCCACTTAGTAAATTCATTGGACTCATTTGTAGTCATTTGCAGTACTGATTGATGTGTCTAAGCACATTCTCAATAATGGGGATTTTTAACTTTAATGACTTCTCTGAAACATATTGAGTGACAGCCGTGTCGCAGTATTTAACTACCCCTTCTGAAAGTCGCATGACTCAAGAACGATCATCTTCTTTGACCACACTGTAGGGGAAGTTACCTGCACGGATCACTGTGCCCCTCTCGGTCCTAAATCAACCACTGAAGAGCAAGAGTGTAGTGACCACACCAATTGTGAAGGGAAGTCTCAATGCAAAGTAAGTCTCATAGTCCACACTGTTATTTATTTATTTATTTATATTATATTATATTATATTATATTATATTATATATGTATATATTTCTACTGTTAAGACATTCTCCAGACTGAAAGAATTTGATTGTTAAGACTTAATTCAACAAAAAATAAAGTTTGTATTATTTTGAGATTTCCAACCATATATTTAATTTTAATATGTTGTGAGATTCAATCCTTTGAGGTTTAACTTCTAATTAACTATTTATTTCTATTGTTTGTATATTTTGTTTACACTATAGTGGCAGAGGTAGACTGACATGTTTTTGTCCTTTTTCATTTTTACGAGCAGTATCAGCAGCCTGGGCAGGAACATTATCCTGACCACTATGCCTGCTGGCACGAAGCTGATCGCAGGGAACAAACCAGTCAGCTTTGTGACAGCACAACAGTTTCAGCAGCTTCAGCAGCAAGGACAGGCCACGCAGGTTAGCTTACATTCCAGCTGTTTTGATGTCACCAATTAGAAAGTGTTATCAATCAAAACAAGTTTTCATCTACTACATCACTGTGTGATCATACTTTCTATACTGTATGTCATTCATTTATGGTTCATCTCGAGTAAACACAGAGCATCCTAAGGCTAACTATCTGTCTTTCTTCCTTAAGGTCCGCATCCAGACGGTTCAGGCACAGCAGCTCCAGCAGCACATGGCAACAGGTTCTCCCAAATCTGTCTCCACAGTTGTAGTCACAACAGCACCTTCACCCAAATGTGCTCCCGATCCCCCGCCTGCACCTCAACAGTGATCCCATTTCGTCAGCCAGCAATGAATCGTAGGTCCGGTGCAAAATACACATGCCTGTATTTGGTTGTTTTAGTACTTTGTTTCTCAAGCTTTTTTCAGGATCATCTGACTCATTTCTAATCTCGCAAGTGAAGTTATTTTTTTAATAACATTGTTATTACAGTGTGCAATGTGCCTTTCTTTCTTTTGAATTTGGATGATACCCACAAAAGCCAGAGACACAATTCCTCTCTGTAAATGCTATGAGTTTGTGTTTAGATTGACACTTTCTCTGTTGGAGGGTGTTGATCTCTGCCAAGTTACCAATATCACCAGTGTATTGGAAGATGTCATTATTCCTCAACTGGATTTAATCTGTCTGAATTTTACTCTCCACTTTGTTAAAGCCAAAATAAAATGTAAAACAGCTCAGCAGGCTGTTGATAACTGCAACCATATTTAGGTAGGTTACAGTCTTCCCATAGAAATTCTTTACTTTTTCTTTCATTGGGCGAGAAACTTCGAGAAGAGCAGTTGCTTTGTTGATATTTAACCTAAATCAAAAGGCACAACTTGTGAATTAATGTTACCATGACCATTTCAGATTTCTGTAGGATGTTTGTCATTTCTTTGAATGTTTGATGTAATACAATATTAACAAATGTGAAGTGAGTTGGACTTATGGTTGATTTAGTTGAATGTTGTGACTTGTTTTTTGTGTTAATACATTATTTGTTCTCTTATCAGGTGTTTTATTTGATAGAAGGCCATGCGTTGGAAACCATACATAAGTTTTAGCAGATCATATTTAAACAGATTTGTGTTTTATTTTATTTTTATTACAAAAAGATCTAAAGCACATTGTGCAAACAGCAAGACTTAGTCTTACACACAGACATCAACATAGAAAATGAAATAAAAATTGAACCACAACTAAACATTCACTCTTCATCTGACTCTTCAAGCAAAGCTTTCTGGCAGTTTGCTTTGGACGATGTATTTCGCATTCCGATCTCTATGTCCCGTCCCCTTCCGGAGAATCGCTTCACTGTGCTATTGGAACAAGAGAAAAAGACTTTAGGAAACACAGGAATGACATAACGATTACGCAACTGACTTTCTGTTCCAGCCTACTCAAAGTTAACTAATCTTTGATGTGTTGATTCCAGAAAGTGGTCATACAAGCTGAGTTGCAGGGAAAGCCAAATATCTAATATGTGCTTAAAAGACTCAAACCAGGTCCTACATTTTCTCCAGTTCTGGTGCTGCAGAGCAGTTTTTAATCGTATGTGTGCATCTCATGTTACACCAGCATGTCCATGAGGATGCACAAGCATGGATAGGCATGATGGTCATGTTATACACATTTCTGGTTACTGCAGAGGGCTTAAAAAGTAATAACGCACCAGTAAAAAGGAGAAGAAGAACACAGTAACCTGATGTAAACAATAGAGGTAAACAAGGACAAATATCCTTAAGGCTGAGTAAACATTTAAAACACACCTTCAGCGCGTTTAGTAAGCATGAAGGAGACAGTGCATTTGTGTGAGAAATGCTGACTAAAAACTTCACAGGCTTAAAAAGGGAAAACCTTCAGAGATCAGAATACTCAAAAGGTTTGGTGTTTTCTGTTCAAAGAGTGAAAAGTGATATTTTGATATAATTAAATCATTCTACCACTCTACTAAAGAAACCCTTAGTTGATCAGATTTCTTCTTCTTAGATATGGTGACAGACTGTACAGTACAAGAATGTAGGAACACACTTGTAGCATAAACCAGAGGATCCAAAATGTTTTCTTTGCACCTAGAAGAAGGCTGATTTGGCAAATATAGAGCAAGCACATGCAAATTTTCTTGTTATATTTTTTGTGTGTATATTTTTTGTGTTATATATATATATATATATATAGCAACAGCCCTATATGTGAATTGAATGGAGTTTTGGTCCAGGCTGGTAGCACCTTAAAGGAGAGACAAGTATTAGCGCCCTTAGCGCTCTTTTGTTGTGACCGTCACTGGATTGCCATGAGTCACACAAGCTCATGATTTCTGCATTCCAGTTGTGGGTTAACAGGCTATTGTCTATTGTTGCCCTTGAAACCTGCACTTTGAATGAATCCCAGCCATCGTGTTATCCTGATAACTGAAGTGAATTAGTGAGATGAACCAATCTTTTCCTAGAATATGTTGTGATCGCCCATCATTTCTTCTGCCCAGTAAGTTACAAGTACACAATATGCAGGGTAAAATGTGCTGCAATGGTAAACTGTTTTTAACTTTTTACAGGGAAGGTTCATTTGAGTAAATTATTATTATAAAAACAGCTTCACATCAATTCTGTCATGTAGGTATCATGAAAGTGAAGAAGTAGATAATATACCATATGAATGCAATTTTTCTTCATTTTCTCGATCCCAAATGTTTATTATGTAATTTCCCTTTAGCAATGGCACATTCAATAGGTAATATATATAGTTTTCAACCTTGTACAGATAATGGATGCGATACTTACAACCAAACCACAGAGGAGGTGCAGGCGACTAAAATCAGTGCGACGGCTAAATGCCAGCAGAAGCACATTGTGACGAACATGACGTTGTCATGCAGTTCTAAGTCCCACTGTGGTCCTCTTAAAGGGTATAGCACGAATCCAATCTGAAATGTACAAACTAAATTTAGTTTTCAGAAACAGACATTGTGTGTTTGAGAAGGAGATGGGTCACTGTGACAGATATGTCTCAAGCAGTTAACTACAAACAGGATGAGATTAAACTAAATTGGTAGTGGGGGAAAAAAAGAGCATGGTTAAAAGTAATGGCTCAAACTTTCAAAACCACTGTTATGCTCCTTTAAGTATTGTTTTGGTATTGAGTGTACATAGGTATTGTGTGCTACCAATCGCGGTTCTGAAAGCTTGGGAAATGTGGATGCCCACATTCAAAAATCACATTTAGCACATTTTGGCATTCTCTGTGTCTCATTTCGCTGATCACCTGGTAGAACCATGTGCCCTGCAGGATGAACAGGCATGCCCCAAGCAGCTCCAAAATAATGTTGTCTCTCACGAAAACCTCCAACATAGTGCTGGCTGATCCTCCAAACACAGCCACTAGAAGCAAGGAGTGGATGTGGGCATCCAGATGGGGCCGACTGTGCACATGGTAATAGAACAGAAACCCTGGATGGTACGGGAGAGTCAACACACAAAAACGGCTCAAATACACGTAAGAGGACCATATTTGTGATGTGAAGGAAAAACGTTCAACTAAAGCTGACCTTCGGTACAGCTTACCTTCGACAAAAAGAGCCATGGAGAGAGCAAGGCGGTCAACACCTAATGGCACCAGTTTGGATGTAGTAGTGGCAACCAGTGCTATTCCAGCGATCCCAAAGAACAGATACATTGTGCTGTGCTGCCAGTTCATCAGCTTGACCCAGGAGCTGTTCTCTCTGTCATAGAGGTGGGCATGCGGCCCATCCACCACAAACTGTTCAACCATAATACCTGCAGCAGGACAACATCAGACAAATGAGAGGAGTTAAGAATAGGCTTCGAGAGCTTGAGTGTGCAGATGGATTGACAGGAAAACTGACCCACAAATGAAGCAAAGATTTGGAGTCCTCCTTCAAAGTAGTCCATTCTTTTAAAAAAAGGTGGCATATTCTGTCTTCCTTTGGGCTGACTTGTCCTCCAGTAGTGATGGAGAATGCGTTTGGCTGTTAGCCAAAAGCCAAGGAACAGGAAAAAAGTGCCAGGAATGGCATGGCCTCCAAAGTTGGCCATCGTTAGGTCTAAAAACAGAAGAAAATATACCTGAGTAATCAGTAACATACATGAGAGAAACAATGTTTATTTTAGCCTATGGGCTCTTATTCCTTTGAAGGTGAAGGGACTCGACTGTAAGGTCAAAGTGCAGGCTGATAGCTTTATTTTACTGTGTGCCGAGCCATGTAATGATTACAAGCAGTCATACGTCAACCAAAGAAAAGGAAAAAGGAATAAAAAGAGCGGCTGACAAAATCTGTAGATTGCATAAAAGTTATTGCAAAGTCCCAGGTATATGATATACTTTAGTCACATAGCCAGTTCATGAGTATACTGTACTCATCAGTCAGTAAAGCATCAGTCTTTGCAAATACTGATAATATTCATGTCATATTAATTCACTAAACTCTGAGATGCAATGGCAGCAAAGATCTTTAGGCTACTATAAACATTAGGAAACTCTGAGTACTTGGTACTAGACCCTTGATTTTATCTGATCAGGGCTTGTCCATAGAGCATGCACTTTGAGCCAGGCCATAGCCACACATTTGTCTTACAAAAATGAAATTCAAATCAGACAGAGCTGTTTGCTCAGTTAACACATTGGCCTCTTAAGAACTTCAGTAATTTGTATATCAGTTTTAGAAATACTGGTTGCAGTCACTGAAGTGTTACTGATAAAATATGAAAAGTTGAGTAATGTACTTTCAGCTTAATGATGCCATTGAGGTATTTATATTGATTAAAAATTAGACATATTATGTTGACTTGAGGCGGCCAGTTGGGAGCTTTTTCATGCTCATAGCTGAACCAACACTTTTAAAATTGACCAACAAGAGAAAGTCAAGCTTCCTTCCTGTTATGCTCAGTGTCAGTAGGCGAGAGTCACAGGCGTGTTTAGAATCCACATATTCAGTCAGACAAGTTTTTCTTGACTAGCCCTGTTTGTCTTGATGTGACTTTTTTCCATTCACACCTTCTACATCAAATATCAGATGGAACTGACATTCAGTTTTTACCGGATACATTGTAAGAAAAAGACTACAAAAAAACCTTAAGTACAAATGTAAATTCTACATCTAAAGCATAGGTAAGCTGTTGCAGAACAGTCTCCTTAAAAGATACTAATTGTGAAAATGAGCCTCAGTTCTCACAGGTATAATAGATGGTTTGGGTAACAAAATGTACATACCTTATTTAATTCCCAAATGCTGGTGGATGCAGGAGATCAGGAGAAACCTGTGAATGTTGGCAGCTGCCAGAGTGAGAGCACTCTGGTCTGTGTAAACTGTGCACACCTGTCTCCTGCACCTCTAACCTGTGTTGACATCATAACATAGCCCCACCCATCATTTGCATTGGTTTCTGAGACTAAGGCAATCCTCCTGGGCAATAGCTGTGACATTCAGGCAGAAAAACAATACCTGTCTACATATCATGTGGTTTATTCAGGTATTAAATTAAAAAAATAAGAAATTATTATCAAAGGGAAATGTATTATTTCATGATGTGTGAAGAACAAATTTATGATTTATTTTGCCTATAATTTAATATCTTACAACTAGTCAATCTAAAACATTAAATCCAAGATGGAATTAAAGAATTTTATTATTATTGTTGTTGTTTTAAAACTTTGGACACACAAAGTTTTAAAACAATGTAGTGAAAATGTATATATACCAGTGAGTTAATATATAAGCTGTATGCACAAGGAGAGGCGGAAGAACAGGTCTGTGTAAATGAACTTTGCACCCATTTTCAATAAATCTTTATTGTGCCATTATCCTATTAAAATTATGATCATTCCTCAGGTAAAGTTAGTCACCAAAGAGCTATTTGAATTACAAAACTGCTAAATGTTGTAAAAGGGTGTTGTTGTTTTTTGTTTGCCATTTAAGTCGACACTGAATTTACACATTAAAATAGTGACTATAGTGTTAGTGCATAGACATTTGTGTGTGAGGGTTATAGTATTTCACAGAATAATTTCTTCTCTCGGAATGGGTTCTCAGAGGAAGGTACCGGGGTCACCAGGGGGTCCTCTTTGGCATGAGATTCACAGTAGGCCATCAGCTCAGCCGCTGCTTTGGATACCTGCACAAAAATAAGAGGATAAAAAAAAATGTCACATTTAATTAATTAAAACCTTTTTTTTTCTTCCAATGATTTAAATCTGATTGTTGCAAAATGGTGATTGTACTGGTTGGAGTGTTAATGTTTGTTGGTACATGATAATCTACCTGTTAAATACATATTGCTTTTCAGATGGTACGGTATAAGTTTGAAAATAGATGCTTATGTTTATAAATTGGAGTAAAATTACCTTTAAGACACAGAAAAGTGAAAAGGAAAAAATAATTTTATTTCGTCTTTAATACTCCATATTAAAAAACAAGATATGTTCATTGATCATTCGAAAGCGTTATCTGATAAAAAAGTTTTTATAACTTGTTTGGCTGTACTTCAATAATCTGCTGACTCACCAGCATCCTCTCTATGTTGACCTCCAGTTTCAATTGTTCTACCGTCTTTCGAGCATCTGCAATCTTGGCCATGTTGTTAGACATCCTGCCTCTTTCACTAAACTCAGTCAGCCTGCAGCAAAACGTCAGATGTTGAGTTATGAGGCAAGAAATAACAGTACACATCACTGATAAAGAGTCCAAGTGGAAGAGAAAATTCGAACATGATCACACAGTGTGTGACAAATTACTGAAGGTATCTCTGCAATGGTTAGAGTCTGTTTCAATTTGCTTGTTAATTCTGCTCCCTGGGTCTCAGCTGCAAGTGGCACAGGGAGGGTCTCATAGGAGCAGGGCAGGGGAGGGGAGGCAGAGCAGCCCTCCCCATGGGGGGCATCCGCTAGCTGAGAATGTAAATACACCTAACATTAACATCAACTTGTTGCTCTTGCACAGTACGTTTGTCATAAACTGCAGATGTAAAGCTGCTATTGATGTTATCTCCTGACTTTATGTTGCCCAGTTGCTGGCACAGACCTTTCATTCATCTTGCTGAACCTCTTAGAAGGCATTAAATGAAAAGCATCATTAGTCAACAACCAAAGGCTCGAGACATATGCGTTTGCCAATGTCTGTGAGTAATTGTGAGAAATTAATTCGTCAATTCTATCAATACAAATCATTTCTACATACTAAGTTACTAGGCTGTCAACATTAGCACACATGCAGTGATATGTAGAGATATCATCTAAGCTGTTTCTAAGCATCTGTACAAAAGTAGATTTAAAAAAAAAAAAAAAAAAGAAGGAAATTGTCCAGTTTCTCAACATTTATCCTAACTCATAATAATCCACAATATCACTCACCACAAGACCGACAGCAACCGTTGGGCTCCTGGAGTGAAAAGTCTGCTGGTCTTCAATAGGGTCCTCCACACCGACTTACAGTAACAAATGAAGTGAGATTAATGGCAAAGATGAGGAAGGAGACTTCAATAGGTTCCCTCCTTCAAATAATTAGCTGTGGTTCTGCCCCCAGGATGGGCTCAGTGCAGCAGTTAAAGGCAACATGTGGTGTGACCTTCATCTCTTGAGTCTCCATCACTCGCTTACCTGAGCTAATAGAGGAGCTTTTGTTCTGAGATGGAACATTAAACATATATATATATATATATATATATATATATATATTATATAATATATATATAATATATAAAAGAGTCGAACTACTAATTCTCTTCAACAGTGTATTAAATATACAGCAATGTTTTTTTTCCTAACACAACAACTTGAAAAAGATATTAGACTGTAATGAAGAAGCTCTCAAGAGAATAGGCAAGGTTGTTTTTCCATACCTATAATAATTTTCCTGTTGGAATTAATCAGTAGACAAAACATCAAATCTTTGATACTTGGATATACATTTATCAATGACATCATCGAAGGCTCACTGGGCTTTATGTCATTCTAAGAGCACAAAATAATGATGCAGTGTTTATCACAAGTTTACTCCTATATTTACCATGTGGCACAACTGGATGTTAGAATCCAAAATAAAAGTCCTCATCACTGCTTTGAGCAGTTAGACAAAAAAATGCTCCTCATGCCTGTACAAAAAGATCAAATTTTGGAACATTTTTTATTGCTCTGTCTCTACAAAGGGACAGCCATGTCAACAAGGTGTGGTCTGACATAGGAAGGAGAATAATTCATTCAATCTTTATTGAGGACACAGCTCACGGGGGAGTCCATAGGATGAAAACAACAACAAACAAAAAGAAATACCTTTGGATATTTTGTTTCTTCTCTATCATGTTGCACTTCTTGTGTTTTAGGTTTAGCTGTAGGTCAAATGGAACTTGTGGGTTGTTTCAATGTGCAGATTTACAGTATAACAATAGTAAGCAACGGGCTCTATAACGCACAATCAAGGTATCAGTAACTGGTGCTGGTATCACGAGGTGTGTGTTGGTAAAAAGCAGTCCTATCACGCCCAAACAAATAAGAGCCCAATTCTTTCCTAAAAACAAATACACAGGGACACTGGGAAACGTGCAGTATTACCAATGAGTTTGCAAGGTAAGTGATTGAGTTTTTGTTCAAGGTGTAAGTTTTCTCAAACAACAGAGTTATTTGTCTCATGCTGAAACTATCCTCTACAAAGCTGCCTGTCTTTCCTGTAGAGCTGACAGCTATTCCACACAGCAGCAGGGGGCAAAGTGGCAGTGCTATGGAGTTAAATGTCAAGTGCCTCATTAACATTTGTTTCCCTGTAGTAATTGGTCTCTCTCTCTGGAAGATTCAGGACCATGTCAGTAGAAAGAGTTGCTGCTTCACCTAACCAACCCCTGTTACCACAGGCCCAAAAATATAATATTCCCAGTGTTATGCATGCTTCCAGGGGGATGTTCAGTCTGTGGTCCCTCTTTGTAAGGTCTTTATATTGTTGCCAACTCTTGACAAATATAAACTCGAACCATCCATCAAGCCAACCGTATGTCTCCCTTTCATTCTGTTCATTTTTGACAGACTCTATATCATGGGATCAATGAGCCAGAGAGGAGGGCAGAGTGCCTGCATATCCCCTCAACACTAGAGTTAAAAAGTGTACATCAATTGACAAACATATATAACCCAACTTTAAACAGCTGCAGGATCAAATGAGGCCTATATCTTGTACATATTTTAATGTGGCCTAGCTCCTGTTGTCTCCTTGTTGATTGCAAATTATATATACTGTATATATATATATATATACAGACTAAACAAGAGATCTTAAAATGAGTTAGTACTGTTTACTGCTGTATTAGCAGATTAGCAGATCTACACAAGACAACACCAGAGTAAGAAGTTTATAAAGAGAAATGATCTATACTGCCATAGTATAAGGGAAATACTCCTCATGTAGAGCTTTGGCTACAACTCAGCAGGTGAAAATGTATAGAGGGATTACAAAACAGAGCAGGCATGTCTGCAACAGTTGTTTAAAAAAAGAGAGGCAGCAACATCTGACATGCAGCAACATGTGGCCACATGCAACAACATTTTCCAATATGTTATGGTACAGTCAAAACATTTTTACTATCAAGTGTCCCAATTTCATAAAACCCTGAAGGTGGCAAATGTAGACATACTGCATAGTGACACAAACATTTACAGCTATCAATGTCAAAATGTCTCAGAGCCCTTTGTTCTCCCGGATGCCCTTATTGTTTTGTTTTTTCTGCAAACTGGTCACAAACCAGTTTTCTCATGCTGCTCTCAATGTGTTGAACATGACAGACTCATCAGTATTGTTATGAGCAGCATTCACAGGGGTTACTGGAAATATTGTGTAGCTTATTTGTGACTTGGAAAAGTCAGTTTCACAATTATAAAAAAATATCGATATCAAAGGCAAAAAGCAAAATAAACGTCTTTTTTTAACATGTTTGCAAATTAATTTATGACATGGTAATAAGAATGTGTAGTTTAATTTAATGTTTTGTTTTGACCTGTTTGACATTAAAATCTTCCATATAAATTATGTAACTAGCTAGGGAATTTATCATATCTGTACAGCAGTAGTTGTATCATTTTTTGAGTATTTTAATGTAATAATGCTAGATGTGGAATTATAAATTATTTGTCTGGCAAACAAGTAAAAACAGTTAGTTGGTCAAGTTCCTCACTCAGTAGATGTTTTAGCCTAAACACAAAACTGGCATCAAATAGCCTCCCTACATTTTAGCCTACTCAGGTACAAAAGGTCTTTAAATCTGCTTAACAAGTATCATTATCGGTATAGTGCTTTATAGCCACAAGAAAATGACCATAT